GTCATGTTTCTCTCCAGATATCTCAGTATCTGTATTGGCATTATGTCATTTGAAACTCAGCCAATCAGTGTCAGGTTGATGATGGCAGGTGTTATTGTCTCCCTCCAGGTAAGGGTCAGTGGAGCTAAGTGACTGGCCCAGCTTCTGTTGTTCATAGGTGGCACAGTGAGGGTGGGAACCAGGTTTTTCTTCTTGAATCTCATATTCTGTGTCCAGAGCCAAGTAGCCTCTCTAGTTTAATCGTCACACCTTTCCTGTAAGTTTTTGACTTTTAACCAGGGATTTTCTTTATTATTAAGGTTCTCTACATCTTTCCAACTAACCAGTTCTGGTTAGAATGCACATTAGATCTTAGGAGTGGAGCCAGGAAAGGTAAGGTGGAAAACCCATTGGCCAGTAACCCTGTGGTCTCTGTCATGATATTGTGACATTGCGTTTCTTTTTGAAATTTTCAAAGTTTCACATTTTATCTGCTTCTTAGTCTATCAAGAAGAGAGAGTTTCTTCCCAGGACTGGCAAACATAAGGTTGCTATGAGCTTTGGGCTCCTGTGCAGGCCTGTCCAGATAAGCCTGCCTCCCCGGGATGCTGATAAACGCTCTGCTGATAGGAGGGCAGGGGTCTGCCTTGTGTTGTACTGTGCTGTCTGTGTCCCTCTCTTCTTCCTCCTCCGCCTTCATTTCTCATCTGTGTGAAAATGCTTTTTCTAGCTGATTCAGTATCTGGGTTGGCAGTGAACTTTCAAAGCCTTCTTGGGCTAAACTGTAGGCAGGGTACTGTCACAAAGGGTGAAATGAGTAGATTACCAGAGTTAGTAGAAAATACCAGTCTGACAAGGATGAAAACATACATCTAAAGGCAAGTCCAGTGTGGATTAGGGTCCTTCTTGAGAACTTGGCCAGACCTTCTGGGGCTACAACTTGTTATGGGAGTAAGTTCTATATAATGTGCCATATAGGAATACACAAGTACACAGGCATGTAAACAAGGATTTGCATTTTTTTTAGTTGTAATTATGAGAATCTAACAATAACTCTGACTATCAATAACCTAATAATAACTTTGACGTGTGGATCACAACAAACTGTGGAAAATTCTTAAAGAAATGGGAATACCAGACCACCTGACCTGCCTCCTGAGAAATCTGTATGCAGGTCAAGAAGAAACTGTTAGAACTGGACAAGGAACAATAGACTGGTTCCAAATTGGGAAAGGAGTATGTTAAGGCTGTATATTGTCACCTTACTTATTTAACTTAAATGCAGAGTACATCATGTGAAATGCTGGGCTGGATGAAGCCCAAGCTGGAATCAAGATTGCCAGGAGAAATATCAACAACCTCAGATAGGTAGATGATACCACCCTTATGGCAGAAAGCAAAGAGGAACTGAAGAGCCTCTTGATGAAAGTGAAAGAGGAGAGTGAAAAAGTTGGCTTAAAGCTGAACATTCAGAAAACTAAGATCATGGCATCTGGTCCCATCACCTCATGGGAAATAGATGGGGAAACAGTGGAAACAGTATCACACTTTATTTTTTTGGTCTCCAAAATCACTGCAGATGGTGATTGCAGCCGTGAAATTAAGAGACGCTTGCTCCTTGGAGGAAAACTACGACCAACCTAGACAGCATATTAAAAACCAGAGACATTACTTTGCCGACAAAAGTCCATCTAGTCAAAGCTATGGTTTTTCCAGTAGTCATGTGTGGATGTGAGAATTGGACCATAAAGAAAGCTGAGAGCCAAAGAATTGATGCTTTTGAACTGTGGTGTTGGAGAAGACTCTTGAGAGTCCCTTGGACTGCAAAGAGATCCAACCAGTGCATCCTAAAGGAAATCAGTCCTGAATGTTCATTGGAAGGACTGATGCTGAAGCTGAAACTCCAATACTTTGGCCACATGATGCGAAGAACTGACTCATTGGAAAAGAACCTGATGCTGGGAAAGACTGAAGGCATGAGGAGAAGGGGATGACAGAGGATGAGATGGTTGGATGGCATCACTGACTTAGTGGGCATGAGTTGGTGATGGCCAGGGAGGCCTGGTGTGCTGCAGTCCATGGGGTTGCAAAGAGTCAGACACTACTGAGCGACTGAACTGAACTGAACATTAACTTAACTACCTGTGCACTAGTAGAATACCTATATTAATTATGGCATGTGCATGCAGTGGGCACTGCGTAACCCTGAGAAACAGTGAGAGCTGGAGGCAGTAGATAGAGAGGTGTGTGTATATAGAGACGTACTATTTGTGGGAAAAAATCCATGGTTTATACATATTTCATCTTTAAATATATGTATACATATACATAGAAAACCTTAGAAGGATATACTCCAAACTATTAACATAAAGTCATAAGAATAGGATAGAATTAGGATGAAAGGGGGTAGATATTTTATTTTAGTTTAAACACATTAATAATACTTTTCCAATAAGTAATCAGTCTTGTAGCTTTAAAACTAACAATTATGATGGGTAAAGGAGTTAATGACATATTGTTATCTTTAATGTCTGTCTTTTTCTGAAATTTTGCATTTCTGCCTTGGGTTTTCTCTTAGGATATGAACCTCTGAGGGTCACTGAGTTGCTGGTCTCACTCTTGGTTGGATGCTGGTTTTGATTTTTAATTGTGTGAATGTGGATTATCATTCTTCTGTGTCTGTTTTTCATCAGTTTCGTTGAAAGAGTTTTTTCTCACTGACATATTAAAGAATAGTGAGTTGTGGTACTAATTCAGTTAAACCACCCTTCTTTTGGGAAGTGCAGAACTGTTCTGCGAGAGTTAATATAAAGGACACAAGCATCAGGCTTTCCTAGATTCTGGCTGTCACCCCACCTGTGTGCCTACCCCAGCTCTGGGCTCATTGCTTATCAGCAAAGAAGGGAAATTGTTCATAGAAAAAGTCATCTTCCTTATAAAAATGAAATATTAGAATGCTGCTTCATCATTTTCTTCTTCAATTCATGATATTTGGTTTTGGTGAAGAAAGGAGAAATAACATGTGCTGTGTGTGGGCTTAAAAAAATTGAGGTCTGTCACTTTTGACCGGGGGAGTTAGGGCTTCAGCATATGAATTCAGAGGGACTCAGCATTCATAACATAACATAATGTATTGATAACAAGTAAACCAAATATGGAAGGTTCACTGGCTACTAGCTCATTAATTTCATTTTACTTGTGCTTTCAGTTAGCCCCAGATGCCAGATTAATTTCTTCTAGCTTTTTGCAAGGGAATTAAACTTCTGTTTCTCTTTTCATTCAATCTGGACTAAAGATTTAGAAAATATTAAATTATTTCTAATGTTTGAAATGCCAACTTTAATGGTTCTCTGTCATTTATTTCTTCTGTTACTATGTGATTATAGTCTTCATGTCCCTATTAGTAAAACAGTGGTCTCCACAGTAGTGAAAAGAGTTAATTTATTTTTCTTCTGGGTTTGTACTTCAGTTCCAAAAGTTAAGCATTAAATTGTCTTTAGTTGCATTTATGCCTTGATCGTTGTCCAGGTCTCTACTATGAAACTGAGACTTGTGAAATTTAGATGCACCTGTGAAAGCCCAGCCTGCAGTTCATATATATGGAGCATAATGTCTTTTAGTTTCTTTAAAGTTTGTTGACTAAGCAAGCAATTTGAAGTATAATTAGATGATAATTTTAAAATTTGGAAAAAACCCCTACCCCTACCTCAAGGACTTCCCTGTAGCTCAAATGGTAAAGAATATGCTGCAATGCAGGAGACCAGGGTTCGATCCCTGGGTCGGGAAGATCTTCTGGAGAAGGGAATGGCAATCCACTCCAGTATTCTTGCCTGGAGAATTCCGTGGACAGAGAAGCCTGGTGGGCAACAGTCCATGGGGTTGCAAAGAGTTGGACACGACTGAAGCGACTCATACACCCAAGTGACTTCATAGTCACCAGGTCATTTTATCTTCACCTACCTTGAGAATGTTGTGGTTGTTTTAATCACTCAGTTGTGTCTGACTCTTTGCGACCCCATGGACTGTAGCCCACCAGACTCCTCTGTTCACGGGATTTCCCAGGCAAGAATACTAGAGTGGTTGCCATTTCTTCCTCCAGGGGATCTTCCTGTCCCAGGGATCAAACCCATGTCTTTTGCATTGGCAGGTGGATTCTTTACCACTGGCCACCTGGGAAGCCCCTGTAAAGAAAATAAGCTTGTGTAATCAGTAACATGTCTGGAGGGAACAGAGCCCCCCAAAATGACTCTTTTTTTGGGCCCTGGTCCTTGTTTCACCCTAGGTGGACTCTGCTGGGCTGCCAGAGGAGGTTCCCTTCACAATGAATGGCCTTGCTTATCAAGTATTTCTCCTTTACCTTTTCCTCTGCCTCAGTCTGCTGCTCATACTGTTTCTCCCACTTGAAACACGTTGTCTCTGGTCATTTGAAAAGCGAAAGGATAATGTTGTGAGGGCATTTTTGGTGCTTTGCCGAAGCCATGGTGATCTTTGTAAAATTAAATATACACATTTATTTTTCCTAAACCTTATGCCTTCCTTTCATCAGATTTCTAGCCTGCTGTCAGTCAGTTACTTCCTAAAATGTTAGCACAGTAGATCTTATGGTCTCTGACTTGAGTGAATCCAGAATTGGAAACACATAATCTTGTTGTATACAGGATTACTTTGAAGTTGCTTCAGGACTGACTCAATATTCTCCTGTGTGTCTTTTTTTCTTTCTTTTTTTTTTTTTTGCCCCATATAGGTTTTTCCAAATTTATGGTCCTGGTTTTTTTTTTTTTTTTAAACTTGCCAATCTTTTCCCCTGCTCCCAACCATCACTTAAAATAATGAAAGGTAGTCAGGCTGTTTTCAAATGCTTTAACTTCACTGACACTGGTGGAAACTTTGAGGTGAACTATCCTTTGATCAGCGGCCCATGTTTTCCTGAGGCCTGGCCGGGGCGGGCTCTGGTGACCAGGGCTGGCGTTGAGTCTCCATAGCCAGTGGGGTGCAGTGACCCTCTGTTTCTCTTTCCCCAGTGCGATCGCGTCCATCCTGAGGGCCTGGCTTGACCAGTGTGCAGAGGACTTCCGAGAGCCCCCTGACTTCCCCTGTTTACAGAAACTGCTGGGTTATCTCAAGCAGATGATGCCAGGCTCTGACCCAGAGAGAAGAGCACAAAATCTTCTTGAGCAGTTTCACAAGCAAGAAGTAGAAACCGACAGTGAGTACTCATTTGATTCCAGGGCAGAAACTAGATCCTGATCCTGCAAACCTCCCACAACGACAACATGCTTTCCCTACGTGTTGGGTCGGAGGCCTTGGTTTCCCTCCGGACAAGCTGACGGGATGGGTGGCCCGTGTAAAATTCTTAAGGTTATTGAAGTCCCAATTATAGGCTGTATAGAGCTGGAGAACGGAATCCCCCTGGAGAAGGGAATGGCAACCCACTTCAGTATTTTTGCCTGGAGAATTCCATGAATGGAGGAGCCTGGTGGATCTACAAGTCCATGGAGTCACAAAGTGCCAGACACAACTGCGTGGCTAACACTATAGAATTTTAGAGCAGAGAAGGGGATATTCAAGACCACCTAATCTGACTCCCTCATTTTATGGCTGAGGAAACAGTGACTCCGGGACGTGAAGTGATTTCCCAGGGTTCCTTTTACTACCATACAGAGGACGACCTCCTTGATGATCTTTTGCCTTTCCTTGTCATTGCACAGTATGCTGAACTTGAATTCATTCTTCATTACCTGCCTGATCGGTTCCTCCTTCTGTCAAATGAAAACCCATCACAGACAACCACCCCCATTCAGCAGGCAGGGAATTAAATCCAGTCCTGCCCCTGCCCTCACGAAAGCTTGGGAAGCTCAGAAAAGATGTTTCTCCTTCAGCTGGAAATATCCCTGCTCTCTGTCCCCTGCCTGAGGCAGATCTCGCATCTCCAATGGACTCTCCCAAAGGAAGTCTCTGTGGCTGTTTTTTTCCTATCTGAGGAACTGACTGCCTATTTTCAAGGACAGAGCAGAGGCCACCACTGCAGGTTCTGGGCTGCTTGGAACCATCAGGCTTTGAAGAAAGTCAGAAAGAGGTTAGGACAGGCTTCCAAGCGGTGACGTTTTGTCTCCTCACTGGCTGCATGGCGATGGTTGCCATGGCGGCTGACCCACTTGGAGCTTCTGACAGGCATTTCCCTGAAGTGACGCCTGATTTCCTCAGTGAGGGAAAGGAAATGGTTCCTCAACACCGATAAGGGAAGCTGCGTCAGTGCCAAGGAAAACAGCCTTAAAATTCCAAACAGGACCTGTTGACTTTTTTTTTTATGGACAGGGGACCAGGGAGGGGAAAATGCCATTGCATCATTGGAAGCTGACTGCCAAGTCCTCTGTATCTCAGATGACTTCATGTGCTGGGAATGTTTGAATACCAGGGGCGCCCCTCCAGCTGTGGGAGCTCTGCTCCCCTCAGGACCCCCCCTTCTGCCTTCCTGCAGGGGTGGATGCTCTGTTAGTGCCCAGCTGTCCCCACGGGGGCTGCCCCTGGTTCCCGGCCTAATTGGGGAACCGGTGGGACCAGTGGTTTGTTGTTTGTAACAGGCACTGGAAGGCCAGCTCCTTTGGCAGGCCGAGGCAGGGGAGAGCGAGTTTGCCTGACATTAGAAAGGCTTTTAGGCAATCCCAGGAGTGAATTTTTAATCAAGAACTCTCTGAACTGTCTGTTTATTAAGTACAGGAATATTACCAAAAAAGAGTTTTAGGAGCTCGGTTCCCATATGCTTCATTTTACCCAATTTCATGCCGGCAAAAGCAAACAAGCTCTCCTACATGTTTTTCAAAAGTGAAAATTTTGCTTCAAGTTTTTGCCTGCTTATCCCTGGAAAAGAGTCAGAAGCAGAAACAGTGAGAGCATGGAGGAGACCCCGGAGAGAAAGGACCTTGTAACCTTCAGGCACCACAGCGTTGATCCAGGGCACATAACAGGCTGCTGTGAGTGTTGGATGAATGAGAAGATCACGCTTTAGCACACTTACTCCTTGCCTGAAGTTGGCCAGCCTCTGCACTGCTGAGCAGCGAGGATAGATTTGTATCCAGTGGTTAGCAAGAGGATTGAGAGGCCCATTCTGAACCTTTGGGAATTCAGATGTCTTATTCCTCCACCCAATGAGAGAGGGCCCGAGTTGTGTGGAGGAAAAGTGGTGAAATCATGGGGTGTTAGCTTTCTTTAGCTCATGCCTGTTTGTATCCCAGCCTCCAGGGGCAGGCAGAGGTCCCCTCCTGCTTCCCCGCCTACCCGCCTTGTAACCAGCCTCGTTCACATTGGTACCTTCAACTCCAGGGTGAGGCAGCCAGCCTTAAATCCTCTTGTTAGTGTTTAGTCACTCAGTTGTGTCTGACTCTTTTGCAACCCCATGGACTGTAGCCTGCCAGCCTCCTCTGTCCATGGGATTTCTGAGGCAAGAGTGCTGAAGTGGGTTGCCATTTCTTTCTCCAGGAGATCTTCCCAACCTGTGGATCAGACCCATGTCTCCTGCATTGCAGGCAGATACTTTACCGCTTCATTCACCATACCTGTCATCAAAGTTGGCAGATTCCCATGTGGTTCTCTGAGAGGGGCAGTGATGCAGGATCCACTGAGCACTCCCTTACCCCTAGGAAACTAAGAAAGTGAACGTGTTATTCACTCAGTCATGTCTGACTCTTTGTGACCCCGTGGACTGTAGCCCTCCAGGCTCCTCTGTCCATGGGATTTCCGAGGCAAGAATACTGGAGTGGGTTGCCAATCCCCCTTCTTCAGGGGATCTTCCCGACCCAGGGATTGAACCCGGGTCTCCCTCATTGCAGGCAGATTCTTTACCGTCTGAGCTACCAGGGAAGCCCAGGAAACTAAGAAAAGACCACCCCAATTTGATCCAAGATGTCTAAAGTCTTTTATTTTGCAAAGGCTTACATTGTAAACATCCTGGGGGAGTAGTAACACCCTGATTTAAACGTCTGCTAAGATCTGTGTATGCAACTAGATTTTTCCTATTGAGAACAGGTCTGCCAGACAGGAGAACAGGGAATGTGGTTGGGAGACAATTCAGGAATTGGGGAAGGTTTCCAGGACTGAAGGCTAGAGGCTCAAGGTAAACTTCTTCCAATTGCATAGTCTTTGACAGTAGAGACCCGAGATCCTGCCCCATGTGCTGAGTGCTTATGCTTTTGGAGTCCTAGGTAGTGATTTTTTTTTTCTTTTGTTTCTTCAGTCTGTGTCCTATTAATTTGTAATTGATGGTCTTATGTCTAACAAGGCTCAGGTGAATTTAGTTAAAGGCTGTTTTACTGCTTCATGCATCCTTTATTTTTTATTGGAGGATAATTGCTTTACAATGTTGTGTTCATTTCTGTTGTACGTCAGTATGAATCAGCTGTGTGTATATGTATAACACCTCCCTTTTGAGCCTCCCTACCACCCCACCCCACATCCCACCCCTCTCTAGGTCATCACAGAGCTGAGCTCCCTGTCATACTGCAGCTTCCCACGAGCTGTTTTACACATGCTAGTGTATATACGTCAGTGCTGCTCTTTCAATTTGTCCCACTCTCTCCTTACCCCACTCTGTCCACATGTCCATTCTCTATGTCTGCATCTCTGCTCCATTACTCAGTAATAAAAAGGAACCAAACTGAGTTGGTTGTAATGAGGTGGATGAACGTAGAGCTTGTCATACAGAGTGAGGTAAGAAAGAGAAAAGCAAATATCATGTATTAATGCACATACATGAAATCTAGAAAAAATGGTACTGATAAGCCTATTTGCAGGGCAGGAATAGAGTTGCAAGCATAGAGAACAGATATGCATACTTAATTTTAGGTGGAAGTTGAAAGCTACTCTTAACGTTCTGAGAATTCTGAGGACTTCTTGAGAGTTCTGAGGACTTCATCAGTATTTCTGACGCCAAAATGGCTTATTCTACTCCCCAGAGCCTGTCTTGCCTTCATGTCCTTTCCTTCCAGGCTTCTGATAATTACTGGCCCAGTAATTAAGAAATGAATAGATGGGGTTTAGGAAATAGTTGGATTAATGCTTGAGCTGATCAGAGGGATTTGAGGGTGCCTAAATTGAGAGGGGGACCCCTGAATGTAGCCCCACTTTGCTTTTTCTAGCCTTTGTTCTACTTTGTCCTTGACTAAAGATCCTGTGGTTTGTCAGAGTGACAACATGGGACCTCTGGACTCAGTAAAACCTCTAGGGACAAGCCGAGAGAGGGAAGACCTTCATTTCACTCCATTTATTATGCTTGCTCTTCTCTCCCTGTGAGTTTTCTAAGGGTCAGCCCCCTTCTTCCTAAATTAAATAAGTCCATTTTTGACTCTGTAAACAAGGTCATATACAGCGGCACCAGACTACTGATTATTTTTTCCCCCACCTGTGAACAGATGGGTTTCCCAACAGCATCTCCTTCAGCCTGGAAGAGGAAGAGGAACTGGAGGGCGGCGGGTCTGCGGGGTTCACGTGCTTCTCAGAAGATCTCGTGGCTGAGCAGCTGACCTATATGGATGCAGTACGTCTTCTCTTTGTGCATTTGACGTGCTTCTGCTTAAAACATGGGCAGTGACAGGACTGGTGGCCCCTGGGAGGGCAGTAGGGTCATGTGAGTTAAGTCTTTTCAAATCCCCAAGAGAGGTTGTGCCAGTAAATGCACAGGGAAGATGTGGTTTGAATCCATCATCTGAATAATTCAGGCCTCAGCTCTTCTTACAGTTCTGGGTGAAGGCGCTTTTCACTCGGCGCTCCACACCCAGAGGGAAAGGAGAATTCTAATCCTAGGGAAACAAAATCTATCCTGTTCCATGGGTATTTCTCTCCGTTTAGACTCATACATACTTCAAAATCTGAACTGTTTATTTGAAGGATTGTAAAGGGGTCAAAGTATAAGTTAGGACAAAATAAATTCATTGAATCCACATGCGACTCTATCTGACAGCTCGTTTCCACATGTGCTTCCTGGTCTTTTGAAGTCTGAGTATTTTTGTTAGCTGTACATATTTGGTTTCATTAGTCACATTTCATAGCTCAGTGTTAGCTGGTTAAAGAAAAGAGGGCCATTATCAGGGATCACAGTGGTTTCAGCTCTTCCACTCTTACCACTTTGGAGGAAGCAGCGTAGAAAGTGGCTGTGAGTGTCCATCTATTTAGCATGCAAATAGACTCTACTCTCAGAAGTAAATCAGATGGACTTTTTAAAAAAATTTTATTTATTTATTTACTTTATATTGTAGTGTTTTTTGCCATACATTGACATGAAGTAACCATGGATTTACATGTGTTCCCTTTCCCGATCCCCGCTCCCACCTCCCTCTCCATCCCATCCCTCTGGGTCTTCCCAGTGCACCAGCCCAGATGGACTTTTTTATAAAGCAAATGCTGGCACATTTGCTTTTACACAAACCCTCTCACATCTTGTATCGAATTGTTGTATAAATGAGAATCAGATTAGTTCAACAACTTTGTTGTTGTTTCAAAAACCAGTAGTGTAAGAGAACGATGGAAAACTTCATTGGCTATGACTTTTAGGCAAAAACCTGGAAAAGAAAAAAGTGAAAGTAAAAGTTGCTCAGTTGTGTCGGACTCTTTGCAGCCCCGTGGACTATGAACTCTCCAGGCCAGAATACTGGACTGGGTAGCCTTTCCCTTCTCCAGGGGATCTTCCCAACCCAGGGATCGAATCCAGGTCTCGCGCATTGCAGGTGGATTCTTTACCAGCTGAGCCACAAGGAAAGCCCAAGAATACTGGAGTGGGTAGTCTATCCCTTCTCCAGTGGATCTTCCCAACCCAAAGACCTGGAAATCAGGCTTCAGATCCCTCTTTCCTCCTTTTCCTGTGTGACACTGAATAGTTTTTCCTTTTGTTTGTTTCTCACTTTCTTCACTTTAAACGATGGGAAATAGTGAACTTGATGAGTGTCACTTCTGTGAGTCATTTTTCAGGTAGCCGTTCATATTCATTATACACAGTTCATGATTGTGAGTGCCCAGAATGTACCATGGATATGATTTTGAAGTCAAAGTAATCTTAACCACTTCTTGGTCAGAAGTAGATTTTTACCTGGATTTTATTCTAAGACAGAAAAGTCCAAATGTTTTTGGTCATTTAAATTTTCTGTTGGTCATCGTGTACCTTGTGTTCAGTTGAGCAGATTTAGAAAGAACATGGGGGCTTTTCTGATCAGTTAATATATTAATTATTTACTTTTTTCTGTTGAAGTGGACACCATGAGGCAAATCAAGTAGAAACGAGCGATTCACAAAATACCAAGTTACAGTAGATGACATGCTTTGCCCTATGAAATGTGTGCGTTGTCCTTAAAGTCAGTTCCTCTCTTCTTCTAGCAACTATTTAAGAAAGTCGTGCCTCACCACTGCCTGGGCTGCATTTGGTCTCGAAGGGATAAGAAGGAGAACAAACACTTGGCTCCTACGATCCGTGCCACCATCTCCCAGTTTAATACCCTCACCAAATGTGTGGTCAGCACCATCCTGGGGGGCAAAGAACTCAAGACTCAGCAGAGAGCCAAGATCATCGAGAAGTGGATTAACATTGCTCACGTAATTGTGTTTTTTAAAATATCCTTTGGGCTTAGCAGATATGGGAGGCCATGCCATCATGCTGATGTTCCCATCTGGTTGAAAGGCAGTCAGAAAACCATATGTGAGGGCCCATTGGGTTTTTGTTGTTCTTATCGTGGTCCTTCCAAAGTAAGGGGAAAACTTGCCTTTCTTAACATGGGAGTTTATTTTTCCTCTTTAAAAAAACGGGTCCCTTGCTTACTTGCTGCTGCTATGGGCCCCTGTAAGCGCTGCTGCTTCAGAATGAAGCCGAATGTCTGCTTCTTCACAGACTGTTGGCTCTGCCCTGTGTTCAGTACATGTGAACTGATGGTCTCAGTGTCAGATAGACTGCTCTTCAATGCAGCAAGATTACCCCACCCCCTTCCAGGACCTGGACTCATTCTATCTTCTGCAAACCTGAAGAGCTAGTACCTTCTCAGGATCTCACATCCCTTTTCCAAAGGACTGAAATATACAGATTCCATATTAATCAAGGGCTTTTCTGAGAGCCTTATATCTGAAGTTGGAGGGACAGAGTCTGTTCTTGTGACTGAATTGCAATTCTGCTGGGTGTCAGTCCAGTGTGCTGGGTCAACTGCATGCATGTCATATGACCTTGACCTTCATTTATCAGCATCTTATTTCCTGATTGAGAAAAGGTGAACAGTAGTCAGTCAGTCAGTCAATCACCACGTATTTCATGAGCCCATAAATGCTTCTGACCTGCAGTTTAATGTACTTTGAGGACATAGGTAGGCTAAACACAGTTAATTTGGTCCTACAGGAGCCTAGTCTAACAAGGAAGCTAAGAGATACTGGAGTCATCTCAGCCTAGGAGTGGAGTCATACGACATAAGTGCTGCAGAAGTGGGGGAGGGAGAAATCCATCCTGGCTGCAGGTGATCCAGGCAGATTTTCATGGACAGGATGATATTTGAATTTAGCTTTGAATAACTGATAGGATTTGGGGTATTTGAAGACTGAGGAGGATTTATTTATTTATTTTTTGTCTAGGCAGAAGAAATTACATCAGCAAGAGCTATGTAATTAACAGCAATTTTGACAAATAATTTTTATGCAAATATCCTCTGTTCTGGGCTATATGGGGTCAACTCTAATGAAAACACATTTTGTTTTCTACCCCATTATTTATTTTTCTCATTGAGCCCCTATCTGTGGGCCTAAGACTTAAACTTTTACATTCTCTCTCTTTTGTTTCACATTCCCTTGTGGTCTTTGGTTAAACACCAGAGCCATAATTGTGCCAGAGAGTTTCCTTTATTTTGAGTCTGTAGGTGGTCTGATGCTACAGATTTTTTTAGTATATGGGAAAATACTATATGGAAGAAACAAAGTTTTACACAACTTAGACTTTTCTTATTCTGAATTGAGCTTATTTATCAGCAAGTAAGAGCCACAAAGGAAGTCCTGATAGAGTATGATAGAACATGAAATTTATCTTCTTAGACTGATAGGAAAAAATACATTTTTTGGCACAAATGCCAAAAGAAAATAGTCTATCTACTTTTAAAGTATTCAACTGCTTAGAAAATCTATGGTAAGCATGTAGTATTTGTATACATGACAGGGTGGCTCAAACAGTGACTTTGGTCCAAATTAAATACCAATTGTGCATTTATGTGATAGTAAGAAGTACAAGTTGTATAATTTCAGGTATATTCCAAATGCCGTAGCATGTGCTTAAAAGCCGGTGGTCTTCAACTCTTTGTGATGCACGAAACCGTGTCTCTTGAAATTGTGTAGGTGACTTAATAAAATAATAAGACTCATAGGTGTTTTCCAGTCAAGATTTATTTTTCCTGAATTAATCATAGTCATTTTCTACTGAGAGGATGTTTGAAAAATGATAATTTTACATGCAGAAGATATTTCTGACCTAATATGACTGTTTTGTTGGACTGGCCTTACTGCTACATTTTTGCATCAAATCTCCTCAAAGATCACTCCTTTTTTAGCAATGGGGCCAGATGCCTCTTGTATTCCTTTAAACTCTTAGCTTAAGCCTCTTTCTGAATAATGTGTTCCATATGTTTATTACAATTTGCATGAAATAGCTGGGCCCGAGCTCTTTTATTTATTGCAAGTTTCCTGATTTTTAGAACATAACTTTTGGATTCTGAACCTTTGTTGAACCATGCTCTCATGGGCTTGGTTTCCAGACTGTAATTCAGTGCTCCTGCTCTCTCTCTTTTACTCACTCTCTTTTTAAATAAAAAGAAAGCATTGAGGCATTTCAAAAGAGTGGGCATGACTTTTGTAAAGAGCTTTGGCATTTACTCTAAGAAAATCTTGGGGAGGGGGGTTGCTGGTTTGGCATAGTAATTTTTTTTAGTTCTTATCTTTTTTTTTTTAAAAAAAAAAAGCTTTTTATTTTGTATTGGGATACACCCGATTAACAATGATGTGATAGTTTCAGGTGGACAGCAAAGGGACTCAGCCATACATATATGTGTATCCATTTTCCCCCAAACTCCCCTCCCATCCAGGCTTGGCATAGTAATTTTAAGCAGCCAGATGTGGGCGTGCTAAGTTAAAGAATGCCATTTTCCCTTCACAGTCAGGACTAGCGTGACTTTGTGAAATGTTCTTTTAAGCAGTATGCATTTATGCCCAGCCACTCTGGAACCTCTTGCCTCAGATGTTCCGCATGAAGCCAAGCCCATGCTCACACGGCGTACTCAGTCGTCAACAGCGGATGTTTTACACTCCCACATGCCTGCAGATGAAGCACCTCCTTGGACACAAGGCACATTCGCTCTCGCCCAGGGCTTCCGCCTTCCCCATCCTGGCTGTGAAGGGGACCCTCTTCCTGACTGTTTTGCTGTGCCTGCCATTCATTCAGCAGGATTTTGACTCCAAGGTCGCTGCCTGCTGATGCTACAGCCTCTGAATGGTAGCTTAAGTTTCAGGCTCTGGGAGGCTTTCTCCTTCCCCAGAAAATGACATCCAGAATGTTTCCTGTTCCCTTTCTATTTTGTTCTAAAACGCTGCCAAAATGAATTTTCTTTTAAAAGCCCAAGTTATTTTGGAAACATTGTAAGTACCAAGGTGTTTCTGAATGTTTATGATTGAGGCACAAGCCAGTTGGAACTCAAATGAATGTGTATAAAAATATTCCCTCTTGGCTAAGGACGTAAGAGCCAAAGTTCAACTTGTGGTGAGTTTTTACTGCCAAGTTGTATACCCCTTTCCAGACAAGGGTTGGTCCTGAGATGTGTGATAGCATCTGACCTTGAAGTGGCTGCGACCCGGTTCGCTTTGTGGGTCTAAAGGTTACGGTCATCTTTCATGTGTGTTTTTAGGGCATCTGTATGCTTTCAGCAGAAGAAAGTTTGCTTTCTCTAGCACAGCTCTGTAGGCTCACCGCCATTCGTGTTTTTACTGGGAAAGCTGGAAACTATAAAACTGTAACAACAACGCAAAAAAATATATTAAAGGGAGAAAAACAAGCATTCGGTGCCAAAATCTATAAAGCGTTTCGGTGACTGGGGTGGGAGTGTAAGGAGCCACTTTTTGATGTTCAGTATTTATACAGCTGCCTATTTAGTGGGAAGAATTCATAGCAGCTGTGATACTTCTGAAACAGGAAACCACCAACTCACTGTATTATTGATATTTAAATGCCTTGTATGTTTTAATCACTCTCCATACAGGAATGTAGAATCCTGAAGAATTTCTCCTCCTTGAGGGCCATCGTTTCAGCGCTGCAGTCCAATTCCATCTATCGTTTAAAAAAGACCTGGGCTGCGGTCCCAAAGTAAGTTCCCAAGCGTCTGCTCTACTTTGTTTGGCTGGGCCGATTAGCTGCTGCATCAGTGGTGTGGGTCCCTCTACCTTCAAAGTGCATATTACATAACAAGAGAAACATCATTGAAAGCCTCTGTGTGTTCCAGGCAGGGTGCGTTTTACACATCATCATTAATGAGTTTTGAGGCAGGGCTGCTGCAGAAATCAGCCTCACCCTCGAAGGGTGCCAAAGTCAAGACGGTTGGCTTTGGGGGTGATTTTAAGGATGTGCGTGTCATCTGGGCTTGGAAGGATCAGCTCAGCTCGCAGACAAGTGAAGTTACAGCAGCTTGCCAGTACTTCCGGTTATTTGTTCAGCCACATTCCTTCAAAGCCCTAAGCCGTTCCAAGCTGTGAGGGATAATGTGTGCACAGAGGACATTAGTTCTTGCTGTTCAACATGAATCCATTTAGTTAGTTTCTGCTTCCCCTATGACATGCTATCTTAGTGTTGTTAAACCCCCCCCAAGTATTCCTTCCTAGGAACCTGACTGAAAATGATTAACCTCCCACATTCTGTGTTGGATTTTTCTTCATGTTTCTTGCTGTAACCTTTGGAAGGGTGAACAATCGAATGTCCTCATTGTTTCACTGTCGCTCTTGTCCCTTGTCCAGAGCTTCACTGGACTCTACCTTTTGCGAAGGTGGGAAGGGGAGTAAGGAGGCAGTTCTGGTCCCCCCGAGAGTACAGACTGAGAGGCTGGGGAGTGTGTCATGACTACAGACCAGGCCAGTTACTTTCTCCCTCCATTTGTACTAATTGCAAAGTCATTCCATAACAGGCAAAAATGCCTAAATTGTTTATAAACCGCAAAAATGCCTATACTGTATGCAGCACAGTCTATACTGTATGCGGCAGAGTCAGTTCCAGACGGGAGAGAGGCCAGCTGGCTCCCAGGCAGTCCTGCCTTGTGGGTTTAGTAGATTCTGTCCTTAGAGCAGAAGGTCTCGGTACTCAATTTCATCAGCTCACTCAGAGTCGATTAAGCCTTAAGTGTTCATTGATCAGTCATGTCCGACTCTATGTGACCCCATGGACTGTAGCCCACCAGGCTCTTCTGTCCTTGGGATTTCCCAGGCAAGAATACTGGAGTGGGAAGCCATTTCTTTCCCTAGGGGATCTTTCTGACCCAGGGATCGAACCCAGGTCTCCTGCATTGATGGCAGATTCTTTACCGTCTGAGCCTCCAGGGCAGCCCTAAGCCTTAAGAGACTGACCCTACCAAATTCTCTAGAGACCCAGGTTGGTAAACCAGAGTTTCATAGTTTATGCTGAAAAAGGAGTGCCAGAGTACTCAAGCTACTGATAAGCTCACATACTCCATCAGAGGAAAGGCGGCCTAGGGGAAGTCACATTACTTGTTACGTAACTCTTAGAAGCAGGTGATCGTAAAGCCTGGTGCTGCAGAGATACAGACACCCTGCCACTTGGTCTCCAGCGCTCACATGCTCTGTTATCTATCAGGAGAAAAAATGGAGCTGGGACTTTTCAAAGTCCAGTGCAGTTTTCTCGATTACCACTCTTCTCTTGGGTTCTTCTCCCCTTCGTGAGTTTGAATGATCAAGGCGACACTGTGTGTGATAGATCAGTTGATTGGAATCCTCTGCACAAGAGTCTTATGAAAGATACGGACCATATGAAATCAACAGATGGTGGGCCCAGGTGAAATATGATGGGAAAATCAGATGCATACAGAGTCCCCATCCTCGGCACCCCAACCTCCCCCTTCCCCTCATCACTGCTCCCCACTTGTGGTATCAGAAACAAAGGGATGGTCTGGGGCTAAAATGCAGCCTTGTCCCACTTGTAGCCTTCTCTTTTAGGCAGTGAAAGGTAATCTGTCTTTCCTTGGTGGTTGATAAGTAGAATACTGTGGAAGTCACTTATCCAGCCAAAGGTATCTTCCACAGCACATTTGAGGCTAAAACACAAGATAAAAAATGATTGGACTTGTTTCTTAATCTCCTTGGTTATCATCAGAGAAGGTCCATCCTTCCAGCTGGTTTCTGTATTTAAGAAATACCGCAGAACAGACCTCAAAGCCCCGTTCTGTACAATACAGTCATCTGGTTTGTTTCTTCATTGGTTGGTGGGCTCATGTTTTAGCAGGAATGCTGCAGAAGTACCACCGTTCCTGAGAGAAGTCACTTTCGTATCAGCTTTATATAGTTTCTATCGCAAAATTAAAGGAACAGGGTTAAGATATTTTATCCGGTTATTACTTTTCCAGTCACCCTTTACGTTAATAGCTTTCAGTGGACAGAGAAGACATCTATTTATTTTCTCTTTATTTCAGCACACATGTAATTAAGTTCTTAATGACTTTCCAAAATATTAATAGCTTTTATGGTTTATGCCTTAAGAAAATGCCAGAGAAAATGGTTTTCTTTATTCTAAGAGTAATATTACACTCGTTGTAAAACACATAAATTCTTTTTTTTTTAAATTGGAGGATAATTGCTTTACAATGTTATATTGGTTTCTGCTGTATAGCAACATGAATCAATCATATATATATATGTATGTACACACATATATATATACATACATATATGTACATATGTGTACACACATATATGTACATAAATATATATATATATATATACACACACACATCCATTCAGGAACCCTGGAGGGGTGGAGAGAAAAGCTTGAGGCCTGTGGAGACATGCTGTATCAGGGAGGGGCTGGGGAAAGAGTAGGTGCTTTACAAGTGTGATCATGCAAGGGTGCTGTCAACATTTCCACTGTGCAGATAAGAAAACTGAAGCTCAGGGAAGTTGAGCAGCTTGTCTCAGATCACTTAGGGCATGAGTGGCAGAGTTGGGATCAGAACCCAGCCCCTCTGACTCCAGAGCCCCTCCTGATTACACCATCCACTCTGACTCTGAGAGTAAGAGCACTGGCCTGTGAGTCTGGAAACCAGGGTTCTATACTGCAGCTCTCAGCAGTTAGCAGCAGAAGCTTGGGCAAATCCCTGACCCTGACATCTTCATCTCTCAAATGAGGAGACTGGCCAAGATGAGTTCTCAGGTCCTGTGGGGCTGTGGGTGTGTTGCTAAGAGGATTTTTTTTTAAACTTGCTGAAGAGAACTTGTCCCAGTTGTACAACTTAACACCTCCTGTGTAGCCAGAGGTCCTCAGGAAAGACAATCCAAAGGTGTTGAGCTTTTGCTAATCTTCATTTGTTAATATTTTCTCCATCCCTTTTCTAGGGACCGAATGCTGATGTTTGAAGAGCTTTCAGATATCTTCTCAGACCATAATAACCACCTGACCAGCCGGGAGCTACTGATGAAGGTGAGGATGTGGGCTTGCACCCTGCTCTGGACTTTGCTCAAGGGAAGAAGAGGTGTTTGAGGGCCCTTTGGCTGCCTGCAGTCCCTTGAGAGAGCCTCAAGGGACTGGAACACAGGACTTAGGGTTTTTATGCCAAATCAAAGAAGCCTGGGACTGAGAAAATTCGAAGTCCTGCCCCTTGGCTTCACTGGGATGCAGCCAGATTGTGAAACTTGGCATTGCTGCCTGTAGCCCCTGAACAAGCCTCCCTGCAAACACCGAGTGCTGGTGGGCCTGGAATATCCTTCTCAGCAAAACATTTTCTCGAAGGGCAGGGGCCAAGCCTGCAATTCCACATCCTTTATTTGCACTAATTGCGCAACCTGTCTGTCAGCAGTATTTATTGAACACCAGATGAGTGCTGGCTGCTGGACAGCCGGCTAGGTAGAGCTGCAGCTCAGCTCATTTTCTTTCTCTAGATGTTTGATGAGTGCCTCATGTTTATAAAGCATTTGACTGGCCTCTGGGAGTATGAAGAAGACTTAACACAGGCTGTTTTCAGGAACTCACCTTCTGGTGGGTAAGTGTAGACACTGAACAAGAATGAGTAGTCAAAGAAAGGTACGAATGATAGGTTGTAAGCAGTCATCAGAGGGGAGCAGATAGTATCTTCACAGCCTTTCTGTAGATTCCATCCTTCTCATTTTGCAGCTAGCCAAGGCTCAGAGACGTAAGGATACCCCTGAAGTTCCACCCCTAGAGGTAGTGGAGCCAGAATGTGAATCCAGCCTGGTGAGACCCTAAAGCTGCTGCTTTCATCACTTAGGCGCATAAAACTATTTCTTTTGACCACTTGGGAGTAGGAGGCAGCGTAGGTCAGGTGAAACTTCAGAGAGAAGGGAAGTCATTCATTTACTATTGACTGGGCATTCACCATGTGCCCAAATCAATCTCTGATCTTAAGGAGACTACAGTCTCATGGGGGAGGGTGGTTAAATGGGCAGTTATTAAAAAAACAAAACAATATGTTACCCTTTTGCCCTGAACTGGGCAATTAGAGGATTCTTATCCTTAGTCTCCTTTTCTGTGAATTGAAGGCAATAATAGTACTATTTAGTCTACTACTGATCTCATAGAATTGTTTTGAAGATTGACTGAAATCACATCTTTGAAAGCACTGTGCAGCTGTCAGTCATTTTTAGCCTTTGGCAAACCATCTACCAAAAGTGAAACCAAATTATGCATGACAAATGAAAAGTATAAACTATAGATGTAAGCTTAGCATAGACACTTGGCGTAGGAATGAGAGTCTAGTGGGGGTAGGTTTACTTAGAAAAGGCCTCAGTGATAACTGTCAGGTTAGTCATTCCTATAGAGGCATTTGTTATGATCTTCCTGTCTGTCCTTCTCCTAACTCCTACTCTTCCTCCATGTCTCCGTGAAGACTACATTTCTGCTCAAATCCTTCCTTGACACACTCAGGTCTGATTAGGCCCCTTCCAGTGTGCTCCAGAAGCCCATCTTGTCCTAGCTCTCATCACGTGCCTCGTTAGACTTGCCTGTGAACGTCATCTGTCTCCCCGTGGGCCTGTGAGCCTCTTGCAGGCAGGGCTTCTCCACTGTTATCTCTCTAATGCCTAACACACTGGGCATGTCACAAGTGTTCAGAAATGAGGTTGGACTGCACGCCCTGATGGGCCTTCTCATTCACATGACTTTAACCACTTGCTTACTGTTAGCTCTGCTTGGCATAGAGAGTGTGTGCAGGGCAGGGTGGCTGCTGTCTCTGGATTCGGCCCACCTGATGTAGCCCACATGCTACACCATGCCTGGTTTGCTGAGGTCATGCTCCTCCCTGCTTCACATCCGCCTGGATTTGCAGGGTTTAAATGGAAGCTCATCTGGCTGGAAGGAGATGCTTAGTCGTCTCCCTGTCAGTGATACAAAGCTAGACTTGGTGGAGCCACACAGTCAAATCCCAATAGCTCTGAGTCATCTTTCCAAAGTAGATAAATTGAATACTGTGCAGCTCATTGCCCGGTGGCCCTCTTCTGGCTGAAACCGTAGAAGCAGAGCTATATCTAGACATTAAAGATCCCATAAACCTTTCTGAAATGTACAAGTTTACCTCGGTGCTCTAAGTTAAATTTCTTGTATATGGCTGGAATCCCAAAGAAATTAAAAACTTGGCTATGAATTCATGTGGTCTGTGCATTATCATTAATGATAGTGGAATGTTTTGGGCAGGTCATATGTCTATGTGGGTCCCTTTCCAGTCATCTTTGTTTATTATTCTTCATATGAAGCATATCATTCTGGATGTTAATTCTCAGCACAGTTGTAATAAAATGAAATCAAGGTACTTAGGTTTTCAGAAGAACCATGCCTGGCCTCTGTTTTTAATATGCTGGACATAAACTGATTTGAACTGAACTGAATCTTAGTCTTGAATGACCTTTCTTCTGCTTCTGGGCAGATGTAAGGTGCTACTTCTATAATACTATGGCTGAGACAATATCATAATTAGCAAAAATCTATGGTTTTCCTTTTAATTGTTGGAGGCAAATGTTTTTATTTTACTCAGAGATTTGTTTTCAACCTGTTACTCTTACGATTTCTGAATCTTTGATCATTCCAAGCAGCTTATCTATGGAGTCCACATGTTTCAGTATGACAGGAAAGCAGAACACTACCAAATCTTCTTCATTCCTGGGACTCTTAGTAAGAACTCTCCTTGGTTGAATTGTTTGAAGCAAATGCTAGGCCCAAGCATTTGGCTCTGGTAGAGATGTCTGTTTAAAGACTGAGGTCAGAGTTGGGGTAGAAGACTATAGGGCTGGGAAGGCCTATTGCATATAATTACTGTTAACTCCTGAACAGTCATTTAACTGGCAGTGAAAGTGACAAATAGATTTAAGGGACTAGATCTGATAGAGTGCCTGATGAACTATGGACGGAGGTTTGTGACGTTATACAGGAGACAGAGACCAAGACCATCCCCAAGAAAAAGACATGCAAAAAAGCAAAATGGCTGTCTGAGGAGGACTTACAAATAGCTGTGAAAAGAAGAGAAGTGAAAAGCAAAGGAGAAAAGGAACGATATACCCATTTGAATGCAAAATTACAAAGCATAGCAAGGAGAGATGAGAAAGCCTTCCTCAGTGATCAGTGCAAAAAAATAGAGGAAAACAACAGAATGGGAAAGACTAGAGATCTCTTCAAGAAAATTAGAGATACCAAGGGAACATTTCATGCCAAGATGGGCTCAATAAAGGACAGAAATGGTATGGACCTAACAGAAGCAGAAGATATTAAGAAGAGGTGGCAAGAATACACAGAAGAACTGTATAAAAAAGATCTTCATGACCCAGATAATCATGATGTGTGATCACTCACCTAGAGCCAGACATCCTGGAATATAAAGTCAAGTGGGCCTTAGGAAGCATCACTACGAAAAGCTAGTGGAGGTGATGGAATTCCAGTTGAGCTATTTCAAATCCTGAACGATGATGCTGTGAAAGTGCTGCACTCAGTATGCCAGCAAATTTGGAAAACTCAGCAGTGGCCACAGGACTGGAAAAGGTCCGTTTTCATTCCAATGCCAAAGAAAGGCAATGCCAAAGAATGTTCAAACTACCACACAATTGCAGTCATCTCACATGCTAGTAAAGTAATGCTCAAAATTCTCCAAGCCAGACTTCAGCAATATGTGAACCATGAACTTCCAGATGTTCAAACTGGTTTTAGAAAAGGCAGAGGAACCAGAGATCAAATTGCCAACATCCGCTGGATCATCAAAAAAGCAAGAGAGTTCCAGAAAAATATCTATTTCTGCTTTATTGACTATACCAAAGCCTTTGACTGTGTGGATCACAATAAACTGTGGAAAATTCTGAAAGCGATGGGAATACCAGACCATCTGACCTGCCTCTTGAGAAATCTGTATGCAGGTCAGGAAGCAACAGTTAAAACTAGACATGGAACAACAGACTGGTTCCAAATCGGGAAAGGAGTACACCAAGGCTGTATATTGTCACCCTGCTTACTTAACTTATATGCAGAGTACATCATGAGAAACACTAGGCTGGATGAACCACAGGCTGGAATCAAGATTTCTGGGAGAAATATCAATAACCTCAGATATGCAGATGATACCACCCTTATGGCAGAAAGTGAAGAAGAACTAAAGAGCCTCGTGATGAAAGTGAAAGAGGAGAGTGAAAAAGTTGGCTTAAAGCTCAACATTCATAAAACTAAGATCGTGGCATCTGGTCCAATCACTTCATTGCAAATAGATGGGGAAACAGTGGAAACAGTGGCTGACTTTATTTTGAGGGGGGCTCCACAATCACTGCAGATGGTGACTGCAGCCATGAAATTGAAAGACGCTTTCTTCTTGGAAGGAAAGTTATGACCAACCTAGACAGCATATTAAAAGGCCGATACATTACTTTGCCAACAAAGGTCCATCTAGTCAAGGCTATGGTTTATCCAGTAGTCATGTATGGATGTGAGAGTTGGACCATACAGAAAGCTGAGTGCAGAAGAATTGATGCTTTTGAACTGTGGTGTTGGAGAAGAGTCTTGAGAGTCCCTTGGACAGCAAGGAGATCCAACCAGTCTATCCTAAAGGAGATCAGTCCTAAGTGTTCATTGGAAGGACTGATGTTGAAGCTGAAACTCCAATACTTTGGCCACCTGATGTGAAGAGCTCACGCATTTGAAAAGACCCTGATGGTGGGAAAGATGAAGGCAGGAGGAGAAGGGGACGACAGAGGATGAAATGGTTAGATGGCCTCACCGACTCAATGGACATGCGTTTGGATAAACTCCGGGAGTTGGTGATGGACAGGGAGGCCTGGTGTGCTGTGGTTCATGGGGTCGCAGAGAGTCAGACATGGCTGAGCGACTGAACTGAACTGATGGAGAGGGGTCCCCTGCCTATGTAGCACCTGGTCGAAGAGGCCCCTTGAGGCCTAGGAACAGGATGGATGAGGGCAGCTGTCTTCTGCCAAAGATGGTGATAGGCAGTGAGACTCAGGAGAGAAATTTGCACCAGAGAGAGAGAAGGACAGAGGGGGAAAGATACAAGAGGAGAATGGAAGGTTGATGGAGGGCAAGATTTGGAATTCTTCGAAGCATGGTGATAATGGGGATCATGGGACAGGATGGTATTTCCAGATACCTGAGTAGAGCAAAAAACAAGATGACTTTGTTGGAAAGAAGAAGAGTCATCAAGAGAATAAAAGCAGGAAAAGGAGGCAGAGGAGAGGCCCAGAGCGATGCAGTCACTGTGCCCTTGAAGAATCTCGAGAAGTTTCAAGGGATTGGTGGTGTGAGCCTTGCAGGACAAAGGACTAGGGCCGAGGCAGAACACTGACATGGTGGATGTGACATATAGTGGATTTCTGTTGACACCTCATCTGGGATAGCTGGCATTAGTCATCAGTCTTTTTAGTTACCTAGCCAGGAGTGGAGCCTCACTCTCCTAAAGTCATGAAATCAGCAAATCTTCCAGCTCCCAGTCCCATATCTTTCTCCTCCCCACAAGGAGGTTGTCCTCAGTGCTCTTTTAAGCTCCTTCCTACTTCTGTGATTCTCAGGGGTCTCTTAGCTTTTCAGAAATCTTTCTCAAGAATTTTAATGCACCTGCAGTGATGTCCGTACATTAAATGTCTGTCAGTGATTAAGAAACTGGAAGGGAACCAGGAGGGCCTACTCCCTGGAAAGAGATGGATATCTGCATTTGAGTCAGGAAGAATTGATTTCTGACTTCAAACAGATTCTCAAGAATTTGAGAGGACTCACAATCACCCAGCAGAGGAAGTGGCACATTTTAGGACACTTTCGTTCATCCCTCAGCAAAAACTATAAACAGGAGATCGTTAAACTATACCTCTTCTATTTGTCATTTGTAATAGGGAGACTGACAGTCAGTAAATAGTCACTATGGGTTTTGTCCCTAGAGATGTACCTGGACCCAGGTAAAGGCTGGTGAATAATATAAGATACTGATGCCTCACTGTTACTGGAAAGGCCAGGTCACTGCAAAAGGTCCACTTGTAGTCGGACAGTAGTGAAAGATCACGTGCTCTGGTTATATGATAAACCCAGGGAAAACTGACGAAGGGAAACCAGTGTGGAGTTAGGCGCTCCTGAATTGTGAAATCTGCCTTCCATTCATGCAGTTCCTGGAAAATGAGAACTTAACAAGACCCCAAAACCCACAAAACCCAAAGCACTTTATGTTCAGTCAGCAAACTGGAGATTAGTCATTATGTGGAAGAGTTTGTTGTTACAGCAAATGGGAGGAGAGAAAGGGTCGCCATCTGTCCCCAGGCGCCAGGAGGAAGGAATTGATTTTGTCGGCGTTCCAAACCTAAGAGGCAACTTGGAAGGAAGGGTTGAGGGAAGGAAGGGTTGAGGGAGAGAAGGGGAAAAAAATGTATGAGGGTCTGGCTTTCATAGATCAGCACAGGACTTCCTCAGAAAGCTTCCGGTACAAAAGTTTCATTTAGCTAAGAAATACCACAGAAGTAGTCTCTTTTCTTTCACAGGATGCTGGCACATGCCTTTCAGGCCAACTTCAAGAAATCACAAAAAGTACAGAGGAAGAGATGTTTGTTTCCAGACATGTGATTACTTGCAGTGAAATTTGGGACATGTAAAAGTTGTCTCCATTTCTGGGAATTCCCTGCCTTATATTAATGATTGATTTTATAAAAATTGATTGGGGGTTCTTCTTACAAAATAGGGGGAAACAGGATAAGACATGGCCACCAGGCCCTCTCAAGAACAGACTGCTTGCCGCAGGTCAGCTAGGTGTTTGCATAAGGCAGTCCAGCGCCTGCTGGAGGCCTCTTCATTTCACACGGTGTCCACATAGTTGTATGGAGGCTCTGCCCCAGAAACTAGGTGCCCCTTCCCTTCTTTCTAGCATCTTCCTCCATCAGTCTCCTCTCTTGTGTGTGTCTGTTTCTCAGGAAGGAACCTCAAAATTTGCAAACCTGGACAGCAGCGTGAAAGAAAACCAGAAGCGGACCCAGAGGCGGCTTCAGCTCCAGAAGGACATGGTACAGAAACCCCTGGGTCTCCCCGAGGGCCAGCCATGGAGCCGCCCCGTGGGGGTGGCGGGGCTCCCACTTGGCACCAGAACCTTCCATCTGCAGGGTGCCCCTGCTCTCAAAAAAGTTCTCGTGCTCTTTACCTTGTCTGTTCTCAGCAGCCCTGGGAGGTCTCAAGGCAAGCCATTTTCACTCCCACTTGACCCCGCAGGAAATAGTTTGGACTGAGAGTCCCAGATGACGTTTGTGTTTTGGAAATTTCTTTTTTTCCTGAAAGTGATGGCAAGTCTGTGGCAGGTAGGCTTCTGCCCCCTTTGCTGTCTTATTTTATCCACTTCTGTACTTAGGAGGTTCTGTGAACTGAGACCTCCTGCAGTGCCTACTGTAATCAGCATTTTTTTAGCCATGCTACACAGCATGCGGGATCTTACTTCCTTGACCAGGGATTGAACTCGTGGCCCCTGCATTGGAAACAGAGAGTCTTAACGACTGGACCCCCAGGGAAATTTCAACTGTTTTCAAAGTCCTAACTTTGAACACACAATAGCCCCAGGACCTGGTTGTTGGGGAAAGAGAGTGTCAGTTCCCAGGACTTGGTCCTTGTACTCAGAGATCTTTTCATTTGTTCCAAACCCTCTAGTCATTTTCTGGATCTCTTCACTGATGCCAAGTACTAACCAAATCTTTCTAGTTTTTCAGTATTCAAAGGCGCATCATATCTCCTTCCTTAAGACTAAAAGATAACTATTGACATCACTGGCTCTATTTTTAAAACTCTCCTAACTTTGAGCAGAGAAGGGGAAAACCAAAGAGAGCAGACTGGAGACTGACAGCTCTAAATATTTTTGTCCCTGCTTGAAGATTTTTCTCCTTCTTTGGAAGGCTGGTCATAAATCAGAAATGTTGTTTTTGAGTGATGGGCCTCTTCTGTAGCATAAAGCCTGTAAAACATTCACAGCACTTCAAACTATTTTGATGGTTCAAAGACAAGTTAAAAATAGCTGTTAAGAGAAGATTATTTTGGTTCAGGATGAGACCTCGTACACATAATAGGGAAGGACAAACTGCAGCTGACAGTGAGTTCTTGAAGGACAAAACCTGCCTTGGTGTGAACCTAGCGAAGCAGCTCTGACCGAGGAAACAGCCAGCCACGTGCACATCAGGCCGCCTGGTTTCACCCTGGCGGAGACTTTGTGTTCTTGCTAGAATTTCTGTAAGTGCCTTAATGGACTTTGGGACAAGGTGTGTCCACGGAAGCCCCTTTTTATTTTCTCTTCAAAATAGTGCCTTGGTGGCCTTATGGAGTATAGGAATGATTTCCAAGGAAATTTGGTGAAATTAATATAGTACGTATATACCTGGAGAAGGGAATGGCTACTCACTCCAGTATTCTTGCCTGGAGAATTCCACGGACAGAAGAGCCTGACAAGCTACAGTCCATGGGGTCACAAAGAGTCGGACACAACTGAGTGACTCACTTTTTTTTGGTTGGAGGATAACTGTTTTACAATACTGTGTTAGTTTCTGCTGTACCACACCATGGATCAGCTATGTGTACACATGTATCTCCTCCCTCTTGAGCCTCCCTCCCACCCCCCATCCCACCCCACCCCTTCCCAGCTGGGCTCCCTGTTACACTGCAGCGTCCCCATAGCCATCTGTTTTGCACATGGTACTGTGTGTATGTCAATGCTACTCTCTCAATTTGTCCCACCCTCCTCTTCCCTGCTGTGTCCACAACTCCGTTCTCTACGTCTAAGTCTCTCTTCCTGCCCTGCAAATAGGGTTCATCAGTACCATTTTTCTAGATTTCATACATATGCGTTAATATATGATACTTGTTTTTCGCCTTCTGACTTAACTTCACTCGTATGACAGACTCTAGGTTCATCCACATCACCACAAATTTAAATAAACTTTTAATTTTAGAATTTAGAGAGAAGTTCCAGTTAATATATAGAGTTTCTCCAAACCCTTCACCCTTCCACTACCACCCCAGTTAACACCTGTAACCATGGCACACCTGGCAATACTAGGATATCGACATCCTGATGCTCACTGAAAGCCAGACTTTTTTTTTTTTTTTTTAGTTGGAGGCTAATTACTTTGCAATATTGTGGTGGTTTTTGCCATACATTGATATGAATCAGCCATGGATTTACATGTGTTCCCCATCCTGCACCCCCCTCCCACCTCCCTCTCCATCCCATCCCTCTGGTTCATCCTAGTGCACCAGCCCTGAGCACTTGTCTCGTGCATCAAACCTGGGCTGGCGATCTGTTTCACAATTGATAATATACATGTTTCAGTGCTATTCTCTCAGATCATCCCACCCTCGCCTTCTCCTACAGAGTCCAAAAGTCTGTTCTATTTATCTGCGACTCTTTTTCTGTCTTGCATATAGGGTTATCGTTACCATCTTTCTAAATTCCATGTATATGCATTAGTATACTGTATTGGTGTTTTTCTTTCTGGCTTACTTCACTCTGTATAATGGACTCTATTTGTCTGCTGATGGGCATCTAGATTTTTCCATGTCCTGGCTATTATAAACAGTGCTGCGATGAACATTGGGGAACACATGTCTCTTTCAGTTCTGTTTTCCTCCGTGTGTATGCCCGGGAGTGGGATTGCTGGGTCATATGGCAGTTCTATTTCCAGTTTTTAAAGGAATCTCCACACTGTTCTCCATAGTGGCTGTACTAGTTTGCATTCCCACCAACAGTGTAAGAGGGTTCTTTTCTCCACACCCTCTCCAGCATTTATTGCTTGTAGACTTTTGGATAGCAGCCATTCTGACTGTGAAAGCCAGACTTGACTTGGATTTCACCAGTTTCCCACTGGCATCATCTTGCTGTTCCAGGATCTAACCCAGGGCTCCCCACTGCATTTAGTTGTCACCCTAGTCCCCTCTGCTCTGTGACAGCTTCTGAGTCTTTCTCGTTGGTCATTACCTGACAGTCTTTAGAAAGACTGTCCTAGTGTCCCTAGAATGTCCTGTGGCCAGGGGTGTATGTTGTTTTCCTGGTGATTAGACTGAGGTTAAGGGTCTGGAGAGGAGTATCACAGATGTGAAGTGTCTTCTCATCATGTTAAGGAATGAAGGGCATCAGTGTGACATTGATGTCACTGGTGACTTTAGCCTTCATCACCTGGTTAAGGTAGCATTTGGCAAGTTTTCTAGTTTAAAGGTACTGTTTTCCCCTTTCCCTCTTGTTCTCTTCAGAACCGAGTCACCAAGCCACTTTGCAGTGACGCCCCAGCCTCCTGCGGGCACATTCCCCCCCGTGGGCCACGGCCACGCCTCGGCCTGGGGAGGCTGTCCTTCCCAGGGCTGTTCTGAACCCCCAGGGGTGTCCACACGCTGTGAGCGAGAGCAGAGCTCCCTCCGACCTTGTGTTGGCGATGTGCAAACCTCAATCCACCTAAACCATCTCCTGCCTTCAAGGCTTGGTTTTCATGACTTTGAAAGTCACCAAGTTACCTTGGTGATGGAGTTCCCGGTCAATTCATAAAGGAATTTTAAATTTTTCATTCATAGAGGTTAGCACTAGTGGCCTTAAGAGAGGCCTTGAACGGTCCTTAAGTACTCTCCAAATGCTGTCGAGGCTCCCCTGGCCGTTCAGAGTGCTGCCTCCATCTGCAGATGGGCACCCTGCAGACCGCAGCAGACACAGAGCCCTTGGGGCCGGTGTGGAGCAGACTTGCAGTAACGCAGAGACCGTTTCGCTGTGCTTGCTCTTCAGGGTGTGATGCAGGGCACTGTGCCCTACTTGGGCACCTTTCTGACCGACCTAACCATGCTTGACACCGCCCTCCAGGACTACATCGAGGTGAGTTCCGGGCCGGTGGTGCAGCTGCATCTGTAGCCTTCTCACTGGTTGCCCAAGAGAGAAATACACTCTTGTTCACATCAAGTGGGGCTTCCCAGCTGGGGCAGGGGGTAAAGAATCTGCCTGCAATGCAGAAGATGTGGGTTCAACCCCTGGGTCGGGAAGATGTCCTGGAGGAGGGAATGCCAACCCAATCCAATATTCTTGCCGGGAAAATCCCACGGACAGAGGAGCCATGGGGTAGTAAAGTCAGACGTGACTGGGCGACTGAGTGCATGCACACACACACACACACACACACACACACACATCAACTGAGGGCTCTTCATGAACATGGCATTGTGCTAGATGCCACGAGTTATACAGAGATGAGTGACTCCAGCAGTGCCTCACAATCTCGTGGAAGGTGTATTTCAAAGCAGGCAGTGATAGATGGGAATAGTAAGAACTCAACCAGAAATGAAGTGGGAGAAGAGGGGAAGCCTTGATTGATTCCTTAGGCACAGAGGTCATGGCTTGGCATTATGAAGGAGTGGGTTGGAGCTTTGTCAGTGTTTTATCAAAAGGGAAGTCACTTCTATGTAATATCATTAACAGAGTTAAGTTTCAATTCTCCAGCCCTGCCAGCTTCTAGTCTCAGTGGGCTGAATTTAACTTTTTGATCATGGGTCGCTCCAATGGTTTTGAAAGTTAAAAGTCAAATCCTGCCCAGTGTTGGGTAGGACTTTGGCAGGTGGAGCTGAGGGAATAATATGCCCTCACGTTCTACCTGCTGGGATAGGAAGTCAGTCAAATTCATGGGTTTTCATGTATCTTTTTTTGTTTCATATTATTACCGTCCCTCTCTCTTTTTCTCAAAATGGGAAATGAAATGAAGCCTAGAAGAACCAGCTGCTTGTTAGTAACAGAATATTACATGGAGAAGAGATTTGATATGTGAAATGAAACTTAAGGATTTCTCATGTATTTCTTTATCTCACATTCCTGTTATCACGTGCAGTCAGCCGGCGTTTTACTCTATCATAGTTAGGAGTAGCAGTTATCTTGCAAATTCCCACCTCCAATTTCATTATAAATGTGGACATGCTCACTCAGAGAGCAGTGTTCCACATCTGTTCACATCCTCTGCCTCAGCTTATCTCAGGAAACACTGTCAGAGTTAGGGGAATTTGGGGGTAGTGACCAATGCTTTAAAAGTTAAATTCAGCCTATGAGAAGAGGAGCTGGGGGGCCGGAGAATTGAAACTTAGCTTTGGTGATGAGGTTATGCAGAAGTGACTTCCCTTTTGATAAAACATTGACACTTTGGTTTCCAGTATGAGTCAATGACCATATATTTTTGTTGCTTTTGGCCAAGAAGAAAAAAGTGTGATGGAACATTTACCCAAGCTTTTGTCTTTACTGGCTCTGCAAGTATATTTGGATTCTGTGTTGTTACTCCTTTGTCATTACGTTTTAGTTTGTTTCAGGCATTGTAAGAGAAGGCTGTCCGCCTATATCTTGTCCTATGATAAAGAAGTGTTTTTCCTTAAGCAAATGATGCTTCTCTTCTTCCAAAGTAGCCATAATTACTGTCATGAATAATTGTGACTTTATTGTCCGTTTGATCTATTTTAACAAAAATCTAGAACAAAGAGGGCTATGTTTCAAAGTAGCTTGGTTTGTCATTCTTTTCAAAAAATTTCTTTCAGGGTGGACTGATAAACTTTGAGAAGAGGAGAAGGGTAAGTAGGAGTCTTGGCTGTGGTTTTCCATTTTACTTCTTCTGTACTTGGCATGCTCTTATGCCTTATTGCCCAAGAGCCCTTGTGAGGTAGGTTTTATCATTCTCAGTTCAAGGGTGAAGAAACCAGGATTCTGATGAAGTAACTTGATCAGAGTCACCTGGTGGCACACCCAGGGTTCAAATCCTGTCCAGCTTCTCCTGAGCCCACATTTCTTCCTTTACCCCCTCCTCATCATCATCTTTACAATCAGCCTCAGCAATAACAGGCTTATCCCATTAAGAAGAAAGTGTTTCATAAGAGTATATGATATAGAAGGGTTACTAAAGATGGTTAACTCTGGTAGGCCTATTAGAGGAAAGGAAATGGTCTTCATTGTTGCATTTGGATAATTATTCTTTTCCTTTCCTATCAGCATAGGAAGGGGCGTTCAACATCAATTTGAATTTTTCTGTGGAAAGTAGAATAGTTCTGTACAAAGAGAGAGAAAACAGAGCTTTGGAAATTTTCTATGGTTTTAGTGTTAAAATGGTATATTTAAACAATCCCAAGGAAAATGAGTGAGCAAAATAATAACATCACCCCATGTAACGCTCGTTGTTTTTTAGTTATTCACTCATTCTTTCATCCCACAAGCGTTTCTTGCAGACCTAACACTGGATGGGAAAGTGGATAGGTTTAGGGATTGCATCAGAAAAAGCCCAGAGCTCCCTGCCCTCATGAAGTTACAGTGAAGGAGGTAGGTAGGCAAACAGGCAGTTATCATGCACCCTGATAAGGGCTCATAAGCAGAAGTAGTGGGTATTAGAGGAGCATGTAAGAGGGGCATTTGTCCCCATCTTGTGGGGTCGGAGAAACTTCCAGGAAGAAATGACATTGCAGTTAAAACCAAAGTTTCAGGAGCTAAGCAGGCTGAACTCATAAGTAACAAGAGATAAACACCACCTGAGACAAATGTACGTCTTCTGTCCCTGGCAGCATATGATGATGAATGCTCCTTGCGGATGCTGAGGCCAAGGTGGGGGTCACTGCATGGGAAGTTGACACCTATGGAATCTGCCAGTTGTTGAACTGCTTCTGTCTTGTGACCATCAAAACCAATTCAGTTACTGCCTCCACAGTTACCCATCTTTGTCCTTTCTCTTCAGAATAACCCTAGAGGGGAATCTCTTTCATTTTAAGACTAACATGTTAAACTTTTGAAAAGTTTGAGTATAAAACCTAAAGTTAAAGCATATACTCACTGCTGACTTTAAAAAGTCTTTATTGAAACATCTAAAGAAGGATAAATAATTTTGGATATAACTGTACACTTGCTTCTCTTATGAGCTTTAAAAGACTGAGTTAAATGATTTATTAGAGTAGTAAAACCCCAAGGATTCAGGAAATCTAAACATTCAAGTTTATGAGGCTCTGGCCTAGTTAGATATTCAACCCTACCAAAACTTACTTATTGAGGGCATAAGGGTTGAAGAAGATGGGAATGGAGAACTTGGGAGCTTCCTGACTCAGAATAATTTTTTTCTTTTATATTTTAGAAAGTAGAATTTAAAAATACATTTTAGAAGGATTCAGCCTTAAAAAAATAAGTTTTCTATCCCAAGAATGGAAATGGAAAAGAGAAATAGGAAGTCACTATGACTTCAGGTCATACCTAGAACGGGTCGCCTTGGGAACTTGTTTTATTCATGTAAAAGGCTTTTTCAAAAAGAAAGGGTACAAAGCATAGACAAAAGCCAGTGAGTCAGAATTCAAATGTGTGAGTTATCCAGCTGTTTTATTTCTAAGGCAGGCAATTCTTTATAAGCTTCCTCGATGATTTTGTCCATTGTTTGTTCTACTGCAGTATGTTTTCATGTAGAGAAGATGTATATTTCATTGGCTTTTTAGTTCACTCCTTGGTGCTCTGAGGGATTCCCTGGTGGCTCAGATGGTAAAGAGTCTGCCTGCAATGCAGGAGACCTGGGTTTCATCCTTGGGTCGGTTTGATCCCCTGGAGAAGGAAATGGCAACCCACTCCAGTATTCTTGCCTAGAAAAATCTCATGGACGGAGAAGAATGGTGGGCTACAGTCCACAGGATCACAAAGAGTCTGACACGACTGAGCGACTTCACTTTTACTTTCTGCTTTAGGAATTTGAAGTGATTGCCCAGATCAAGCTCTTACAGTCTGCCTGCAACAGCTATTGCATGAGCCCAGACCCAAAGTTCATCCAGTGGTTCCAGAGGCAGCAGCTCCTAACAGAGGAGGAGAGGTAGGCAGACACATTGTCCTTAGGGGTGGAGCTGCAGTGTTGGTCAGAGGAATACCGCATCTGGTTACTTACTTGGCCATTTATTCAACAGCTCTTTAGCAAGCAGCAACAAGGTTTTCAAAGGATAATGGTGTAGCAGAAAAAACTGAACTGCCAGCATCAGAAAATGTGCTTTCAGATTCTTGTGCTATACCATTCATTTACCTTTGTCACCTTGAACAAGTCACTTATTCTTCCCAATCTTCAGGATGCTTATCTGTAAGATGTCTGTTTGAGAGGATTAAATGTAATCTTCTTTGAGACAGCATCATTGCTGTCACTATTAGTCACTATTGGTAATTGGTACTAGCTTTGAGGGAGTGTTCAAGGGGGCAGGAGAAACAGACTCATGAAGAATTGAAATAACTGCAATGGGTAATCGAAGTGCTGCAGGACCCACTTGGCCAAGGATGGGGGAAATGGGGAAGAGCTCATAAAGGCATTAACTTCTGGGCTAGGCTGTGGAGGAAAGAAAAGATTTCTCCAGGAGAACTGGAGAAGAGCATTCCAGACAGAAGAATGTGAGCCAAGGTCGGGTGGCCTGACAAGCTTGACATTTGGAAGAATGGTTAGAACACTGGTGTGTCTGGTTCATGAGTGGACAGGTTTCAAAACAGAGGTTGATGAGCTTGGAGAGTACACTAACGCAGTGCCTTGAATGCTGGCCCATCGAAGATGGGTAGCTTTACCCTACAGCTCAGAGGATTAGAGTTCACAGGCCTCATCCAGCCTACCAGCTGTTTCACATACTTAAATGGTTGAAAAAGAAACAACAGAAGAGGACTATTGTGTCATGGGATAGTTATTTGAAATTGAAATTTTAGTATCCATTGATAAAGTTATGAGGGCTTCCCCGGTGGCTAAGTGGTAAAGAATCCTCCTGCCAATGCAGGAGACACAGGAGATGTGGGTTTGATCCCTGGGTTGTGAAGATCTCCTGGAGGAGGAAATGGCAACCCACTCTCATATTCTTGCCAGGGAAATCCCATGGACAGAGGGGCCTGGCAGGCTACAATCCATGGGGTCACAAAAGAGTCGGACATGACTGAGTGACAGCACACACACATAATAAAGTTGTATTGGAACACAGCCCATTCATTTCCCTCTTATTTATGGTTGCTTTCATGCTTTCAAGGCAGAGTTGAATCGTTGCAACAGTTACCACATGGCCTGCAAAGCCTAAAATACTTAATATCTCGTCCTGTACAGAAAACATTTTCTGACCCCTGCTGTAGAACAGGGGATTTCCTTGAAAGTTTCTCATCAGGGAAGGTGAAGTGGACTGCAAAACAAGTATTTTGCCAATGAGGAAATTGAGGTTTAGAGAAGGGCTGTAATTTGCCAGAGATAGACTTTAGATTCAGAGTCAGGTCTTCCTGACTTTACAACCTAAGCTCTGAAGGTGGTTGCATAATGTTCTGTAGATCCTGTAAACTCCGTAAGTGTGCTGCCTCATTTCATACGCACATGTTTTCTGAGGTCCTTGGTAATGGAATGGATTGGTCCTGTTACATTAAAACCTTTGATTAAAGAGAAAAAAAAGCTCTTTGATTCAGAGTACTCATCAGTTAATGAAAGTTTTATCTTTTCTATGTATTGAATAGAAAACAAAATATTGCCTTTTTCTACGTTTTCTGGTCTGGTGATCAGTATATATGAACTTCGTCTCTGTGCATCATATTCATGTTTGGAACATTCACACCATGGCCAGTGACTTGAATCAGAAAGTTCAGGGTCAGAATATCAGCTGTGGAACTGACTTTTTAATGATTAAAGGAATCTCATTAAACATATCCTATTTTTTTTTCCTTGTGATTTATAAAAGCCCTGTGTCTAAAGTTACTATTTGAATAATGCCTATATCAATGAATACTTCTGCTTGACCAACTACCTGGATACATCTCTAGGTTTAAAAAAGTACACAATATTAGCAACTTAGCAAGCTAATATTTACCACTTACCTTCTTCACCTGAACTTCCCAGGTGGCGCCCAGGTAAAGAACCTACCTGTCAATGCAGGAGACGTAAGAGGGCGCAGGTTTGACCCCTGGGTTGGGAAGATCCCCTGGAGGAGGGCACAGCAACCCACTCCAGTATTCTTCCATGGAGAATTCCATGGGCAGAGGACCCTGGCAGGCTATGGTCCATAGGGTTACAAGAGTTGGACATGACTGAAGCGATTTAGGATGCACGCATGCTTCTTCACCTAGCCAGAACCAAGTACATCTCCTAACTAGAGCTACGAGCTTTCCTAAGAGACATTTCAAGGCAGACATACATTCTTCTTGTGCTTATGGAAGTTATATCTGCCTGGCATATAGATGTCTGAATCTGGAGCATTTTTAACTTGGGATGTTTTGGCAATTAGAAATGATATTTATATATTTTTTATCAATAATATAACTACCTATGTTTATTTATTAAAGATTAGATCATTTACAAATGTCTCTTTCATTTCCTATAGATAAACAGTAAGTTGAGTATACACACACACATACACACGTGTGGGCACACACACACGCAGACACACTCAAAGTAGTGGGTGGTAGCTGGTAATGGGAGAAGTAATGGGAGAAGAAATGATTCTTTCCCTGGCCCAACCGCAGGCTGAGAACAATCAGGGAAACAAAAGGAGTCAGCTTGTGATGCAGCCAGAACCAGCAAATCCATGTGTTTTGAGTTGTGCAGAACTAAACAGCCTCAACCTGTATACCAGTGGGCACTTGAGGGGAGGAGGCATAGATGTCAGTTTGTAAAATCTGGTTGTTAAGTCAGTACCCTCTGACCTTTGTCATAGAACAACATAGTCCATCCATATCTTGACTTTGAACAGTCAGAGCCTTCCTCTCAGAGGAAGCCAGTGAATCCTGTGGATTTAAATCTGTTCACTTCCCAAGCTCTGTCCTCACAGGCTCCCCTCTCTCCCCAGCTACGCCCTCTCCTGTGAGATCGAAGCGGCTGCCGATGCCAGCGCCACATCACCCAAGCCTCGGAAGAGCATGGTGAAGAGGCTCAGCCTGTGAGTACCACCCTGGGGTCCTGGGCCAAAGGGGGTCCCATCAGAGCGGGAGTGGGGAGGATGTTCAACAAAGTTCCCCTGAACCCGTTCACTCACTTGTTAAATCGTTAATCTGTCTGTCACGACTTCAGTACATTTCCTAGGTCCATTCTTCCCCACTGTTCTCTCTGGCCTGAACCACCATCATACCCTGCCTGGACCACGCTCCAGCAAGATCCTTACTGACTTCTGGCCCCACCCTTGCTCCAACAGTTGTATTTTCCACCCAGTAGTCTGGTAGTGTGTTTAAATGTACCCCAGATTGGATCACTTCCTTGCTTTAAAACGTCTACGGGTCTTGTTTTAAGGTAGCACCTGAATCCCTTATCCTGTTTCGCTCGGCGAGCGTGATCTTCCCCAGTCTCTGGCCACCTTCCTCTGTATGGAATCCCCCTTGTTCACGACGATCCAGCCTCACCCACCCGCAGCCCTCCGTTAGGCTCCCCAGGCTCCGTGCACACTAGATGCACCACGTGTTTGCACTGGATGTTCCCGTGGCCTGGCACGTGTCCTCCCCAGCACTCGCCCCTTCAGATGCTGGCACAGCATTACCTCCTTAGAGAGCATCTTGACTGATGCTGCCATCTGCCCGGGTCACTCCCAGCCATGCCTGTTGTCTCCTCCAGTAGAACGTAAGCCACCTGAGAGCAGGAACCTTCTCCATCATATTCATGGCTGTTTGTCCAGCTCAGGGCCAGGCGCAGCTAACTTCGTCATGCCTGTCTCCCTCTCAGCACAATCCAAAGTCTTCACAATGGCTCTCAAGCCCCTTCAGGACCTGAAGTATCATCCCAACCCTGTCCATTTGTCTCACCCCGTCTGTCCTCACCTTTTCCCCTCACTGTCTGCACCACAGCACCTCCCAGGCTGCCCTGAGCACATGACGCACACCCATTTTTATTTGCTGTTTCTTCTGCTTAGAACACTGTTCCCCAGATAGCCAAATGGCTCAGTCCCTCACTTACTCCGAATCTTTGTTGAAGGGAGCCTTCCCTGACCACCATATATAAAACTATAACCTGTCCACGTTACCTGCCCTTGGCACGCTCTCTCACCATCACCCACTTTGAATTTCCCCATTGCATTTACCTCCAGTTGACATGCTGTATTTGGATGTATCTGTTTATTAAATAGAAGGCAAACTATGATGGCAGACATTTATGTCTGTTTTTGGTTCATTGTTAACCCCGGCAATTGGTGCCCAACACATAGTAGGTGAATAATAAAAGTTTATTGAATGAACAGATTGAGTCATGTGCCAACACTGTTCTGAGAACAATATATGTATTTCTCATCCGATCCATAAAATAACCTACTAGATTCTACTATTATGCTAATTTATTTTTGGCTGTGCCACGAGGCATGTAGAACTTTATTTCCCCAACCAGGGGTCGAACATGCACCCCCTGCATTGGAAGCATGGCATCCTAACCACTGGACTGCCAGGGAAGTCCTGATAACCAATTTTATAAACCAGGTAAGTAAGGCACAGATAGGGTTAAGAGTATGCTAGTTATTGTCAGATCTGGGCTCAAATCCAAGATTTGGCTCTAGAGGCAGGGTTATAACCCTTTTACTATCTGCCTGGTGGCGAAATACCTTCTGGAGGAAGAGGAGAAGGAAATAGGAAGTAAGAAGTGGAGGAGGGGAGAAGATGTGGGGGGGGGGAGGAAGAAAAGGTGGAGAGAAAGAGTGAGGAGAAAGGAAGGGAAGGAAGAGAGATGTCAGTATAATTAGACCCTGTGCTTTGAATGTGGCAATTTTTATGGAAGAGTCTTAAGAGAACCTAGTCTCTGTCTTGAAGTTGATCTCATAGACATTAAACTCTGAAAGACATTAATTAGACTAATGGATCTAATGACAGCTAGAGAGACTAGTTCAAGGAAAGGATTATCATTTGGTTAACAAATTTGTCCTCCCCTTCTGAAGGTGTATACCGATGTCTGATCCTTTCACTGACACAATCTCTTGGCCAGGAGTTTCGCTCTTCCCCCCACAAAGCCTCAGTAGTGCTTGGAGGTCCAAGAAAGGAAGCAATGTGGAAAATGGGGCAAGAGGTGGTTGGATGGAGTTGAGACAGAGCAAAGATATGCTTTTTTAGGTCTTGGAACTTAAGCTTCTAATTCTTCAAATTATTTAATAAAAAAAAAATCAAGCCTATCCTCATTGTTTCTCCTCTTGTTATTTTACATGGAATATGTTAGTCGCTCAGCAGTGTCCAGCTCTTTGTGACCGCATGGACTGTAACCCAGCAGGCTCCTCTGTCCATGGGATTTCCCAGGCAAGAATGCTGGAGTGGGTAGCCATTCTCTTCTCCAGGGGACTTTCCTGACATAGTCAGTGCTTATTTGGGTTTGGACCCATTTGCTAGTTTCTTTACATACCGTTCCTTCTTGCATCTTATGCCTTCCTTCCTGTTGTTTATTGATGGTAAATAGTCATTGTCTGAAAAAGTCTTTGTTTTGCCTTCACTCTTGGAGTCCTATGGTATAGAATTTCAAGGATGACGGTTATTTTCCTGCAGCATTTCAAAGCTATTATTCCATATCTTCAGACCTCTGTTGTTGCTTTTGAGATGTCTGCTGTGTGTTTAATTTTTGTTTTTGTGTATTATGCCCCCTGCCCTGTTGCTTTTTTTTTTTGCAAGTTGTATTAATGTATTCAATAAACTTTTACAAAATATTTTATATCATATATGCCCACATAGACTATGCATACTAATATAAAATTAGTAAAACAGTATCATTTCTATTATTAGATGAATGTTGCCCTGTTGCTTTTAAGAATTTCTTTTGTCTTTAACACACCACTGTGCAGGTTAAGTGAGGATTTCGTCTTATTTATCCTATTCTGGGTGTTCCTGGATCTGAGGATTCATGTGGCCCGTTAGTTCTGGAATCTCTTTAGACTCTCCAGACATGGTGTCTTTTCCATTCTCTCATTTGTCTTCTTCTGGGACACTCCTTACATACATTGCAGGCATCTCTTCCATTCTCTGTGTCTTTTAACCTCTTTTGTTATTCATGTCTTTATATTTTGATGCTGATCTCTGAGGATTTTCTTCAGACCTGTCATCTAGTTGACAGTTTTTCTTTTCAATGTTTGTTTAATCCTTCCACTGAGTTTTTAAATTTAAATCACTACCTTTTTGTCAGAGTGCCTTGCTCTTAACCACTGTTTCAGTTTCTTCTCATATGTTTTTAATGTTTTTCAACGTATTTGTTTTATAGCTTGGCTTGTGGTAGACACTCTAATTATTGAATGAATGAATGAATGAATTATTAGTTTGTTTCTGACAGTTTTTATAATCTAAAGTTCTCGGGAGTCTAGACTTGCTGTTTTGGGACTTCCCTGGTGGTCCAGTGGTTAAGACTTCACCTTCCAATGCATGGGGTGTGGGTTTGATCCCTGGTCAAGGAGCTAAGATCCCACATGCCTCGAGGCCAAAAAAAAAGATCATATAATCCTCTAGACTTACTGTTTGTTATGCTCCTTTCTTTGGATAGGTTATTTCCTTATGTGTATATTGTGAGCTCTTCTTCACCAGGGAATTCTCTTCAACCTTTCCTTCAGAAAGGTTTTTTTTTTTTTTTTTTTAAATGCTAGTTTCTTCAGAAGGATCACTGGCCTGAGAGTTCCTAGTTCTTAAATCAGCTAAGTAGCGAATCTGAGTGAGGTGCTGGCTAAAATCACATGTGATTTAGGGGAGAGATTTTTCTCCTACCCAAGCTCAGGCCAACAGATAAATTTCCCTGTTGTCTTCCTATGTCAGTAGGAAGATTTTTTTTTTTAGCCCATCTTTTTACTAAGAGTATAGGTTGAGAATTGACAATCCTGCCTCTGTATAAAGGATGTCAGTACTAACTCTCTACGTTACATAGACAGAAGCCCTCGTCTTTGGACCTTATGTACGTGTTAGAACCCATGTGCTGAGTTTGCCAAGGCTGGCACCTCCCACTCGCCATCCAGAGCAGCTGCAGAGTTAGCTTGCATGTTCTAGTTTTCAGTTCCCTTTTCGTTTCTAGCCTGCAGGGATTTTCCTGACTATCTTGTAAGCCCAACTTTGAAAAGAATTTGTAATGCTTCTCATCTAGTTGTTTAATGATGAAGGGGTTTAGGTTATTTTAGTTTATTTAGTTTAGTTTTAGGGATTATTGGAGAAGAAATCTTCCTGCTTGGTTTCTTGTCCAGCACAGGGCCAGCCTTCTTTTTTAGCCTCTTGGAGTTCATTTTATGATGGGAAGTGAGAGGAGTGTGGCCACAGCACTTTGATCCTGCCAAAGTGGTCCAGGAACTCTCAAAAAATGGAGAACGATTGACCCAGGAAGACCTCAGATTAATAAGGTCCTTCCTCCAGCTAAGCAATGTGTGTCCTTTGAGGTTAGAAATAACCTATTGGGACAAGATGTTTACTGCGATCTATTAGAAGCTGGGTAGCAAATCTTTCCTAAGATAATAACAGTAGGGCACACAAGACTGAGAAGACATCAAGGACTTACTAACACAAAAATACTTGCTTAATCACGGATTCCAGATTTTTAAGAGCCCGAACGCCTGGCATTATGCTTTCTGCAGGCTGTTTCTGGGGTCGGACATTATCACCAGTAGCACTCCCACCAAAGAGCAGCCCAAGTCCACCGCCAGCGGGAGCTCCGGTGAGAGCATGGACTCCGTCAGCGTGTCATCCTGTGAGTCAAACCACTCGGAGGTGGAGGAAGGCTCCATCACTCCCATGGACACACCCGATGAGCCTCAAAAAAAGGTACATCCTTAACCTTTTCCGTAATTCCTGATGCGGGCACCTGACCCAGCATTTGCCACATGAGGAATGTCTGTTTTCTGGTTGATCTCGCTAGAGGATTTCGCAAGTCATGTTTTGAACCAGGTGTTCAGTCCGGGGACTTACTCCTTAGAGAAAGTGTCCAGAAGTGATAAGGCTGTTGGTTCCCTCACCGAGCCTTTGGAACATCGTTCCACACCTACATCCAGAGGCAACTGAAGGACTGTGGCTTGTAACGTGAGCTCCCCTTTATTTGGGAGATGGAGAATTGTCTTTGAAGAAGCGAAAAGCCAAGAGCCAAAGGTGTGTCGGTTTCTCGGGGTCATGCCTTGTCTCAGCCAGGCTTGTCCCACGGACGTACTACGGAGCAAGCCACCGCAGACTTGGCGCCCTCAGCCAACCACCATTTGTCCTCTGCCCCGCGCCCGCAGGCTGGTTGGTTTGGCCTTGGGCTTGGTCATGATCTGGCCCAGGTCTCCTCTGCTTGCCTCTTGCGGTTCTTTGAGTCACCCAGGACCTGATCTTAGCATGCTAAGTTTGGATGAGCAAGAGGGCATTGCACGTGCCTAATAAGCCTCCGCACGGGCTCTATCTACCAGTATTTATTTTCCAAAGCAAAGTTGTGTGGCCCAATTCCACATAAGTAAATGAGTGGGGAACTATACTCCACTTCCGGTGGGAGGAAGTGTGGAGTCACAGGGCATGGGTGCAGGGCAGGGTGAGGAATGGGTAACAGGGATACCATCTACCGTGTCCCTCAAAAGGGAGAGTGATGAGAGGTGATAAAGGAGTTCTCAGGGAGAGTCTTCATGTCCATGGCTGTAGAAATAAGTGAAAAGAAAACAAAAAGTCCATGTGCATCTCCTACACACACCTGCTTCAGTGTGTTGCTCAAGGAGCTTGGATGAGAGCTGTCAACTTGGACGTGACTAAAACTTGCCCCATTTGGGGGAGGATCTTGCCTGACTAGACTTGCTGTGTAAGTGACTTCTGGCCCCTTAGTTTATGCTGAGGCCAGCGAGGTAGAGTTGGTCGCAGTCTCTTCGTTTTGGTTAGGTTCGCCCTTCTGTAAGGGGATGTGTGTGCTGCTTCATGTTGTGATATAAGCACCGGCAGCAAAACTGGAAACTCTCAGATGACCTTGTCACTAAAGGAGTCAATCCAGGAAGGGCTCATTAGGCCTGAGATGACTCAGATGCTGCCCCAGTGGGATTTCTCACCTTCCTGTTTTGAAATCTGGAGACACATCTTTAATGCTCCAAATATTGAAGGAAAGCTCTGCAAACACCCACGGACTGGCTGTTCTCTCAGGCATGTCTGCCTCATCAGGGATGGAATCATCCTTCATGACTTGACATTCAGCACTGAATCTGTCAGAAATCTGGAGTGAAGTGTCATCACTCACCTTGTGACAGATTCTTGGGCTTTGTAGGCCCCATTTCCGATGGACTTTGATGATGGACGTTGTGCAGCAGTGACAGCTATTGCTGTGGGGTTTCTGCCTGTGCAGGAAGGACATGGAGTCACGTTTGCATCTGTTGGTGCCATGGACGTACCCACAGGTCCTGGTCCTCCCTTTGAAACTGTGCAGAAGCCCAGCGTGTGTCCTGTGCACACCGCTTGCCGCATTCTTTTTGTCTCCTCCCTTACACACTGGCTCTTTATGATTTCTTGCACAAGTCATGAATTTTAATTCTTTGGCTGAACCTTTCTCAGAGTCAGAGATTTCTCTAGGTTTAAAAATGAGTAATTGAATTGGATGCCAAGTAATTGTTGGGCTGCAGAAGCCCAGGATGTTAACCCAAAAGGCCTCAGTCCTGCTCAGGGCTTGGCTGGCCGGGGAGACCTCCGTGGCTCCTCCCTACCCTGAGGTCTGGCAGCCCACCACACCCTGCCTTTCCCTTCGGCTACACTGTGAGGTCGCTCTTTTGAGTAAAGTGTAATTTGCATTCCTTTGTCTTGGTTCCCCTGATCATGATTTCTAAACATTCGCTTCACATTTGCTCCGCATTACTTAGATTCCCAGGAAGAATTTGGGCTCATGAGGTGGTCTGTTTAATGGTGCTATAACCCAGGCTCTTCAAGGCGGTATCTTGAATGTAAATATCTTTAAAATCATGAAAAAATCTAATAAAGGAAAAAAGATTTATGTGGAGGAAAGGGAAGGGGGAAAAAACTGAACCAGTTATTGGAAAATGGACCCTCTTCGCTACTGTGTGGTACACCTGCAAGCAAAGCCAGGCTGTTAAATTATTCACCAGCAGTTAGTCCTCAAATTGAGCCATTAAGGTAATTCACTTGGGAAGCTAAGGAAAAAAAAGTAAACCATATTATGATAGAGCTTCAGTTAGACTTCTGCATACCAGAGTTGTCATATCAGCTGACTGCCTCTAATTAAACTAATGATGCAGTTGAATTTAATGTACGGTTATGCAATAGGAAAAAGTTCATAGGAAATAAAATAGAGTAGACTTCATTTTACTTGGAGGCCAGATAATCAGAAAACCAAATTTCTGTACTTTGTTTCTATGGGAGGGTAGGTGGGTATGAAAGACATTAGTAAGTTTTCTATTTTTTAAATGACCTCCAGATTATCTTATTGGATTAATGTGGTATAATTTAGCTTAGCTCATTGAGAAATTATTTGTAATTTTCTATAATAAGAATTGATATTTTAAATGATTCAATTAGTGGTGTGTGTGGTTTTTTTTTTTTGGAACACCACCTAATGAGTTGGGGACATTGTCTTTCTTTGGTAATTGGTGTTGCACATATAAGAACTCTGTCATGAATCAGAAAAACACATTAACTTTAGTATACCATTCCTTAATTATTCTTGATATGCGACATGAAAATGTGTACAGTTGGTTCTAGAAACAAATGTGGTTAGGGTAGGCTGTGTTCCCTTGGGCAAGTCACTCTGTTTCTCTGAATCAATTTCTCTCATATTGATGATCCTCTGAGTTTTGTTCTTGAGATAAGATACCCGAAAGCTCATCACAGGCCTCACAGTGCTGAGCATCCCTGAGTCTGGCGTACTGTGTTCTTTCACCATCTTATCATGGACTGGAGACGGGGGCTTGGTTACGCCCTTGCTATGTGAACCTGGTCGTGGGAGCCAGGAAACTTGAGAGCATGTCCTGATGGTGCTGTCAACACCCGTGGCCTCAGGTTCCTCAGCAGCAGAAAGAGAGTGGGGCCAGGCGATCTCCAGGGCTCTGTTCCATGCAGAGCTGGATAATCTGTGGTCCTTGTCTTAGAAACGTCTAAAAATACAAGCCATTTCTCTCCTGCTCTGAAAGCCAGTGGTGAAGTAGAATCACAGTAGAACTGTTCTCTGTGGGCAGGTCAAACATTCTTCTTGCTCAAGGCAGAAGGATTGGGCTTTGCTCCTGCCCTGTCATCTTCCGGCTTCTTTTGGGAGTCCGTGTTGCCTCTAGTTTCTGGTATTTGCTGCCATCTGCTGGTTAACCTCCTTCAGAGCAGCTAAAAGCTCAGGAAATGAGAGGACCGCCTTGCCTCCCAGGTTGCAGAGTGATTCTGCCCTGGGTTCTGAATCATAGACAGGCCTCTACCATGGGAGTGCTTCCATCAGAGATGAGACCCACGTGTGCTGTGGATTGTTGTAGAGCAGATAACTGAAGTTTATTAGTCTCAACATTGACCTCTGCTTTGCAACTTAGCGCACCGTTGGCCAAGGTTCTAACAGTTCAGTTTCCTTCTGGGGTGTGCTTACTCTTCCAGCTCTCCGAGTCCTCCTCCTCCTGTTCCTCCATCCACTCCATGGACACAGCTTCCTCAGGGATGTCGTCCTTGATGAACCCCCTCTCCTCCCCTCCGTCCTGCAACAACAACCCGAAAATCCACAAGCGCTCTGTCTCTGTGACATCCATTACCTCGACAGTGCTGCCCCCCGTTTACAACCAGCAGAACGAGGACACCTGCATCATCCGCATCAGCATAGAGGACAGCAACGGCAACATGTACAAGAGCATCATGGTAAGGCTCTCGGACCGCCACCCCGAGGACCACGTGCTGTGTCCGCATACGCACGTGCGTTCCTGCCAGATGCATCTGTGCCATGTGAACCAATGCCAGAGTCTCCCCGGATATAGGCCAATAGCATGTTCTTTAAACTTTTTATTTTATATCCAAGTATACAGGCAGTTAACAATGTTGTAATAGTTTCAGATGCGCAGCAAAGCGATTCAGTTATACACACACATGTATCTATTCTTTTTCAAATTCCTTTCCCATTTAGGTTGGTACAGAATGTTGAGCCGAGTTCCATGTGCTGTACAGTAGGTCCTTGTTGGTTATCCATTTTACACATAGCAGTGTGTATACGTTCCTCCCAAACTCCCTAACCATCCCTTTCCCCCTCCGTTCCCCGCTGGTAACCATAAGTTCCTTCTCTAAATCTGTGAGTCTGTTTCTGTTCTGTAAATAATATCATTTGTCTCATTTCTTTTTTGATTCTGCATATAAGGGATATCATATGATATTTTTCTTTCTCTGTCTCACTTGCTTCACTCAGCATGACAGTCTCTAGGCCCATTGATGTTGCTACGAATGACATTATTTCATTCTTTTTAATGGCTGAGTAATATTCCACTGTACATATGTATCACATCTTCCTTATCCATTCCTCTGTCGATGGACAGGTTGCTTCCACATCTTGGCTTATATAGACTAATAACATATTTATATATAAATGTGCATATCAGCAGTGTATATAAGATACAATTTTTTATGTCTTAAAAGTTGCTAAGCCTTATTCCTCCAAGTCATTGTCACCTTCTTCAAAACTCTCAATTGGGGTGACTACATAGATGTATCCCAGGGAGGACGCCACTGCTGCACACCTCCTTGGAAGTCTTCCCAGGGACTTACGTGTTCACATGTCTAATTGAATTGCCATGCATCCTTAGCAGTGTCCTTGGTGGTAGCAGTTTTCTCATCTAGTCACGTGGAGTCACATACGGTACAAATGGATGATCAAGCTGAACGTATAGTTTGTGTCCACAAGGAACTATACTTACAAATAAGTGAGACTTGCCTTTTTGAGCTTCTTGTAAAAATTGTGTGTTTCTGAGCATAGTCCCTAAAATGTGTTTTAAATAATGGCAGTCTTTTTGGATTACAAACCATGCCTCTCCTGGTATTAACCTTGGGTATGTAAGGTCTGGTGTGTTTATTACAAGAGCAGACTCCTTATCTTAAAGGACATAATGTATTGAAAAGCAGACTGATCTGGAGGCACTGTCTTTGAACATCTAAAGAAAAGCTTTACTAAAGCGTTCACTGAATAAACAAAATGTTTCATGACCATTAGTTGTGTACTAGTCTTTGGACCAGGCTTTGGGAGTAGGGAGACAAATGATACATTTCTGTCTTTGAGGAACTTATAATGAAAAAGGAGATTGTAAAGCACTTTTCAAAACATATTAACTATTCTAATAGAGGTCTGATCAGATTTTCCCAGGGCCTACAGGCCACATGAAGGCATTTGTGTTAATCCTGCAGGCAGTTGAGTCTTATTGAAGGCTTTTGCATAGCAGTCAGATTTGCTCTGTAGAGAAGTGACTGGCTTTGTGGAGATCTCATGCTGGAACACAGGTGGGTAGATTAGAGATGAGGGAGAAAATTAGAAGCTGCTATCATATTCCATGTAGGAGGTGATAATGGTTTGAAAGAAGGTCGTGTGGCTGGAGATGATATGGATTTTTGAAAAATTTTTGTAAGTTAGAATTGTAGAATCTATCCATTTAGTTATCAACTTTTTGGTTGCTTTTGTGGGGGAGCAGAAGAGGAAGGACTAAGGTAGCTCGATGGTGGTGGTCCCAGACTAAGGTAGCTCGATGGTGGTGGTCCCGTCAAGTGTGATGTAACTGCTGGAGGAGGAGGTTTGGGTGCACTTACATTGGAGGTCACCACAGGACATCCAAATGGCGTGGCCTCCCTGGTAGAGAGTCAGAAACACAGGTTGGTGCAAGGCTGATGCTGGGGTCAAACACGGGGTCGTCCAGCCTCACGGGGTGGACATGGTCTTGCAGGGGAGGGGGGAAGGCTGAGACGTAGCCCATGTGGTGGTGACAGAGGGGCTGATAAAGGAGTGTCGGGGCGGAAAGGGGAACCGCCAGGCAGCCAGGGTCATCAGTGTTATTGTAGTATTTTCAGGGTAGTTTATTCACATGGCTTCTCTCACATTGCCATCCAGGGAAGTAAGTGCCCGCTGTGTAACCGCGGTGTCTCTGAACTGAAAGGAGCTGAGAACTGAACACACGGACACAGTCAACGTGGATGAATCTCTAAAACACCCTGTTGAGCCAGAGAAATCAGATATACCGCTTCCTGCAAGGGGTCTGATGTTTCAGAAACAGGCCTGACTTGGGGCATTAGAAAACTAACCTCAGGGAAGGGCACAGGGAATGTTTTGAGTTCCTATATAAGGTGTGTGAAGGAGACATCCAGGCACCGTTCAGTATTGTAACCACCAGCCGTGTTCGACAGGTGAGCGTTTGAAATGGGAGAGTCCAAACTGAGATATGCTCTGAGTGTGAAATGCACCCAGGTTCTGAAGACTTAGTACAAAAAAAAAAAGAATGAGGATGTAAAATATCTTATTAGCAATTTTGTATTGATTATATGCTGCTATAATATTTTGGGTTTGTTGGATTAAATAAAATATTAAAATTAATTCCCCTTTTGAAAAAAATTCAAATGTAGCCACTGGATGTTTAAAATTACAAATGAGGCTCGTATAGTATATATCTATGGGACAGTGCTGGTTTAGTATATCAGCGTAGCGTTATGTGGCTGAACTCAATGCTATCCGTGATGATCAGTTCTCCTGTAGCTTTTATGGTACAAAGTTACAAACCGTCAAGGAAAGCCTTTGGCCATCCCATCCGCATGGACACACCTGGGGAGGCTTAACATAAAGAAAATAAGGGTAGCCTGGCTTCCTCCTTAAGTAGGTTCAAAGTTGACAGCTGAACCTAACATTAACCATGAAAGTGAAAAGTAAAAGTGTTAGTTGCTCAGTCATGTCTGATGCTTTGTGACCCCATGGACTGTAGCCCACCAGGCTCCTCTGTCCATGGAATTCTCCAGACAAGCATATTGGAGCAGGTAGCCATTCCCTTCTCCACGGCTTCCTCCTGACCCAGGGATTGAACCAGGGTCTCCTGCATTGCAGGCAGATTCTTTAATAAGGATGTGCCAGATGTTTTGGTGATACACGCTTGAGGAGGGTCTTTATCACTTACAGGGACCCCATTGTAATGCCTGTTATTTATTGTATCACAAATACAGCTGCTTCTCCAGACCAGAGAGGGGCCCGTGGGCCCAACATCCTCAGGCTCACAATGACAGTTTCTTGGAGGGAATCAGACTTCTTTTTTTGGCTCTCTTTCCTCCTGGGGAGAGCAGCTTTTATTTCTAAGTAAGAAAATCTGTGTTTTCTCTAGCTTTCTTTCAAATTTAAAAAAATCAGCCAAGGGATAATACGAAAGTGAGCTCTCCCTTTTCCTGTTTCTCTGAGCACCCTGAAAATAGCTGACTGATGGGCAGAGATGAAGGGGAGACTTGGGCTGAAAGGAGCTTGTACTTTGAAAAATGTTAGATTTATTGTTTGTAAACACTCAGAAGCTAATTTTTAATTGAAGCAACATTTACATACAATTATATAGATCTAAGTGTTCTATTCTTTGGATTTTTATAATTATAATATATATATATTTATTTAACTACCATATGTGTGTGTATATATATGGTTATATATATATATGTATGTAACCACCATCTATCTATATATATGTAGCTGTCATATATATGTATTTATCTATGTAACCACTATATTATATATGTATGGTTATATATATATATATATGTAATCACCACTGCAAGTCTAGATAAATAACATTTTTCATCCACTCATCCCTTCTTCATTCCCAAATTCCCTTATGCCCCTCCAATCCTGCTTTAAGCGTAGCTGAGTATGAGTTTAACATTAGTTTTCTGACCCCGCAGGTTAATTTGGCCTGTTTTGTGAGAACAGACTGCTGCAGCCTGTTGTCTTCTGGGTCTCCTTCCTCTGGCTGTCCGTGACGTGTGTGAGATTCATCACTTTGTTGTGTGTTTCATTTCCCTTTAGCTGTTACATCATGCTCTGCCCTGAACACACAGCACTATCTTTATCCTCCCCTGTTCTCCTGTCGATGGAGATTCAGGTTGTTTTCAGTTTGGGGCTGTTATGACTAAATCTGCTGTGAAAGTTTGTACAGAAGTCCTTTTGTGGACACACGCTTTCATTCCTCTAGAGGTAGGCTTCCTGGGTTGTGAAGTCAGTTGTACTCTTTGAAATGGTCAGTGTGTGGAACTGTGGCCACGTCTAACCCACAGGTTGTCACCGGTGCTCAACAGGTAAGGGTAATCTTGGCCCAGGACCGACAGCACTGTGCATTTCCCACTTCCCTCATACACATTCTTCCATTGGAACCTCCACTGGAACTGGCAAGGCACCCCGGGGTGTCGCTCCTGTTTTAATGGGGGAAGACACTGTGGCTCTGCAAGAGGAGCTGATGGAAAGAGTAGATGATCTGTCCTCTGAGGGTAGAGCCAGAACTGGAATCCAGGAGGGCTGGCTCCTGGTCCTTGCTCATTTCACTGGGCCATTTCTCCTGGGAAGGCACAAGACAGCAAGATGAAGATGGTCAGGAAAACTCTTCCAGGAAACACACAAAGTTAAATGCTTTACACACCCTTTCATTTGGCTTTTCAGTTGACGAGCCAGGATAAAACTCCCGCCGTGATCCAGAGGGCAATGTTGAAGCACAATCTGGACTCGGACCCGGCCGAGGAGTACGAGCTAGTGCAGGTCATCTCGGAGGACAAAGGTAGGCACGTGTTCCTCTTCAAACCAGGTTGCCCCAGTGTGAAAGGACCCTATGTGGATACAGTGTATGTTTTAAATGGAACCAAGTTGGGGGTGGGGTGGGTATTTTTATTTACTTGTTTATGTAATTAATCTTTTATTAATTATCACTGGAGTAGAGTTGCTTTACAATGTTGTGTTAGTTTCTGCTCTATAGCAAAGTCAATCAGCTATATGTATACCTGTATCCTCTCTTTTCCAAGTGGGGGTTTTGAATTGCCCAAGAGTGGAGTTGTGTGGGGAACCATGCCATCACCTCACTTGTTATTAATTCTCTCAGGCTGGCCCCCCAGCAAACCTTGTTTTTTTCTGAAGTTTTGCTGAGCATGCCTCCCACCCATTCTCTGTAAATTTCTTGTCAAGCATTTTTGTAGGAAGAGGGCCCTCCTTGTGTGTAGGCGGAGCCTGTCTGGTCTTTGCCTGCGGCCATCTACCTCCATCACCCAATTACATGTGTCCAGGTTGTATGTGAACCTGAAATGTAGCAGTTCCTGCAGTGACTTCTCATTGTTTCAGTTAACCATTTGTGAGAGTTCAGCCTTCAGTTGATCCTTACTCACGACTGATCTTCAAGTAGCCAAAGCTCCTGATGGCAGAACTGTGGAAGGTTCTTGACCTCACGCTTATTGAAGCAAAGAACCAGTGAATATGAAATGCAGCAGTTTGGCGAGGAATCCATTAACTAAAGAAATCTCCTTCATGGAAACTCTGGGCAGATAATCCCCCTGAATGTATCAGTTTGTTAATCTGAATTGGGGTTGTCTTTGTTGAAAGGAGGGGGCAAACTGGTAGGTGACTCCTCTATGCCACGGCACATCCGAGAACGTGACTCAAGCAGAATAAGTCTGCTTTCCAAGTGCAGAAGGAACAGCTAGTACTGTTGACTGAAGCCAACCCTGTTTGCTGACTGACCCAACGCAGGTGTCTCATTGTGGGACTGTTCCTCAACAAGCATTCCCCCTATAAAGGGAAAGAAAGAAACTCTACAAGGTGGGGATTTGGAAAGGGAGCAGCTACTCGTATCCCGTTGACCCAAAAAATCACCCAGGACTGTCATCTCGGGCCCAGATAAGAGTGGGCCAAATTAGAATAATAACCTTTTCCAAGCAACAAAAAGCCACAGCCTCAGAGAAAACTTTTTCCCACTGTCTCTTGGAAGTTTTCTCATTTATCCAGCTGAGCCCAAGGTTGTGGGGCAAACCTTTCTCAGTTATATCTTTTAGTGTAGTTACTGTTAAAAACCTCAGCCTACAAAGTGGTCTCTTGGGTTTTACCACCCACATTGCCCCCAAGCCAATGCCAAGGTGAGGCCCAATGGGTCTGAAGATCCAGGAGTCCCGAAGCACAGCCAGGGCCCAGCTTCATTCACCACTGGGTGGTGGCGGGTGGGCGGCTTGACCTCTCAGGGCCTTGGTCTGTAATTAGTTAAACGGAGACAGTACCCTACTAGCCCCTCATGCATCATGGGGAGATGGTGACAGGAAATAACATACCGAAAGTGGACAGTATTCAAGATACAGTACAGGTATATATATATATATATATATAGCTGTGAGGTAGGTTGTTACCGACCTCAGGAATATGTGGGTAAGAGACTGGGGACACTTTCAGGGAATTATTCTTTATGAAACACTTGTGCAAAATGTAGCAGAGTCCCTCAGAACCTGACTGCATCAGTCTTGGCAGTGGAATCTCAGTGTTTGATGCTAATGTTAGTTTGACTTACTCCAGTTCTGCAGTCACATATCTCGCCTAGCTGCCTCCCTTACTCCACTGCTACAAAGCTAGTTTTGCACATTTTACCTTTTTAATTCCCTCTTGGTTTTTAAAGATACCCCTTCCGCCTGAGTGCTAAAGAGTGTATACCTTCTCTTTAAATTAAAAATGAATTTAAATAACTTTGCTCGATAACTTCATATTATACTTGGAACAGTCCTTGTTCAGAAATTACAGTTATCTAGTTGGGACTCATTGAAATAGACAGTTGTTTAAGTTTTAACAGATATAGCCTCTCTTGTCTGGTTTCCCTTTAACATTAAAATGCAAGCCCTTAATGAAGCAAGCTCTCAAATGGTGGAAAATACTGACTTGGTTTGGGATTAATTTTAAAATGTTTTGATGTTCCAAGTAAAGATTTCTGGAAAGTGCTGTAGATTTTCTGCCTTTTCCCCCATGTCATTGGATTCACTTAGTCTCTGAGAAAAATTTCACATTGGGTAGAAAATGAGCCACGGAAGGCTGGAAACCCCGGGCTCTGCTCCCAGTCCTGCCGTTGACTAGCTGTGCACTCAGGGATGTCTCTCAACTCCTCCAGGCTTCTGTTTCCTACTCTCCATCCTTCCGGCTAAAACATCCCACATTTGAGCATTTTGTTCACGGCTTGAATTTCCAAGATTGGACTCACACTTAAGTTTTTAAAATTGGGATTGGGAAATTGTTGGAACCAATTTGGTGTGACTGAGTGGTGGTCGTTATCCAGCTCCGTTCACATTCCAGGAACAAAGGACTATAATTGCAGCCATGAGTCTGGGCAAAATTTCCATCTGCCATGGTCAGCGCTGGGCTGACCTATACAAGCTGACCACCTTCTCTTACCTCATCTCTCTCTTTTTTTTGTTTTAGAACTCGTGATCCCAGACTCAGCAAATGTCTTCTATGCCATGAACAGCCAAGTGAACTTCGACTTCATCTTACGCAAAAAGAACTCTGTGGAAGAGCAAGTAAAACTGCGTAGCCGGACCAGCCTGACGTTGCCCAGGACAGCTAAACGGGGCTGCTGGAGCAACAGACACAGCAAAATCACCCTCTGAAGGCAGAGACGCGGGGCCCCTTGCTTGCCAAAGGCAGGGTGGGGCTGAGAATAGGCCATGGTGATCGCAACTACCACCCAGTGTTAGAGGATCGTTGGTGAAGTGGACTGAAGTTTGTTGAGCACCTCTGGTGTGCAGGGCACTACGATAGGCATCGTGGGGAAATTGGAGATGAGCTTGACACAGAACGGATGACCGATTCACTGATTCTCTTTGACCTGAGATTGAAATGCAAAATTATCCGCATTTATAAATCTATATGTATGTACACATATTTGGTATGTGTGTGTATATATATAAATATGAGGGACTTGTGGGATATTCTGGACTACGGGAAAACAAATTTGCACAATGGCCTGGGAAGTCGAGGTCACTTTTGACAGGGAAACAGAAAGAACTGAGAACCTTGTCTCTCACCTCCCAAGTAAATGGAATCACTCCTAGGATTGCAGAGCGTCCTTTGTGCCAGTATTATAAGAAGTCCAACCTATTTTTATAAAGGGAGAGGATTACTTTCTCAATCAAGTGCCACCAGAAAAGAACCACTGCAGAGGTGGGAACTGCCGCAGGCTGAATGAAGGGCCACGTCAGACAGGGCTTGGATGAGCCAGTGGCTTTCACCTCTGCTTGCATCGGCCAGTGCACCGGCTACCCCGGGGAGGGCGGGGTGCAGCTTCGGAGGCCCCTCTGAGCCACTGAACCAGCCGTCAGGACACCTCTGGAGGCAACGCAAGCCCGTTTTGATTTGGTAACTGCATCGTGTGTCTCCCATCCCCTAAAGAACATATCACAAGCATTTCTTGCACACGTAGCCATTTTCTTTGGTAACTTATCAACCAGAAAAGAAAGCTCAGAAGGATGATGATTCACTTGGACTCTGATCCGTCTCAGAATGCCACTGCTTCATTGTCTTTTTCTGATTGCCTTTTGCATGTGAAACTATATGTTTGCAGTCTTTTGCCATCTGGATCGTAGTACCTCTATATATTAACGTGCAATTTGTTCCTCAGGTGTAGAAATCCCTACTGCAGTTGACTATGTCTGATCATTTTGGGACCTGTGAAAGATTTCTGAACAGCCATCGCTCTGTGAATAGCCCCCTGGAGATGTTCCCAGCTGAGAGCAGTGTTCTGTTTTTACTAACTTTTACAACCTTCCTGTGCCTACTCATGGGGACAGAAGTGGGGCTTCGGCATACTATCCAGACCATTTCTAGTGAGGTACACACATTCTTCCAGATGGAATCATTAACTTTCCTTTTCAGGTTCCCACACTCTGTATCCCAGTGTCACTGTTAAGTGACACTTTTGCCTTCAGTAGCACCATCATCCTCTCCCTTCCAAATCTGAGCTGTGCTGGGGTTTGAGCTATAAAGCCATAACATGTGGGATGTTGACATGTGTAAGAAGCACTTTTAGAATGTTGTCCTTTTTAAGAAAAAAAAAACACAAAATACCAGTTTTTATTCCAAAAATAAAGAACAGACCCAAATAAGAAGTGCAGATTGTAATGTAGACCTTTTTCTTTCTTTTGTTCACCACCCCCCCCACCCACTCCCCACCCCCTGTCCTGTAAAGAGAGCTCCCAAAGGTTATGTGTGATTCATGTTGTGTAAATAGTCATATGAAATCTTCAAGAAGCACCAGGGAAAGTCTAGAGATTTGTGCCCTTGGACCAAAGAATGAGAATGAGCCAGGAAGGCCTCAGATTTCCTGTAGGTCTTTCTAGGTCAGAATGTACGTTGTAAAGACTGACTGGTATCAACTAGTTGAAAAGCATTTTTTTTTTTCTTTTTTCCTATTTGCGAGGCCGGTCTGATTTGTGCTTCTGTGCTTGGAGGAGGGATGGCCAGGGTGCTAGACATCATGGAGATGAAAGGAAATGTATCCTCAGCCTGAATTTCTTGGCTTGAAGATCAAAAAGAAAATGTAGAATTGTCAGCCTGGTTTAGGGTGCAGCTACCAAGATTTACAAGTTACGCCCGTGTGCTCGCCTTGTGTATTTATACTGTATATGTAGAGTCTAGATTTATATACTGCAATGTAATATATATATACATTCCTTTTTTAAAAGACAATGGAAGTTACAAGTAGATAAAACAAAGCTTCATTTATTTAATGCCACTTTAAATGTCAATTTGTTTCCTGGTGGACTGCTGGGTAATGCTTTTAGCTGCTGACATGCTTGTCTTTCTGCCTCTCTGTCATCTGTTTACCTTTTGGTTAAGTTAATAAACTGATTTGGGACTTGGTTGGCATGTGCTGCCAGACTCAAAGGGATTGTACCTGGAGTGTTAACCTGGTGGATCTGGGTTTCAGATGTGTCAGTAAGCGCTTTGGGAGCCCGCTCTGGTCAGGCTCGAGGGAGCAGAGGGAGAGCCGGTGGCCCAGTTAGGAGGGGTCCTCGCCTCCGTCAAGCATCATTTGCATTCAGGGGCAAGAATGACATCTTAGGAAATCGCCGTCAGATGTGATGGCTTGCTGGAGGGCATCCTTAGGGGTAGTTTGGCTGGGATACTGTATAAAATCAAACTTAGGATCCAAGGTAGGACTTTGCCTTCTTCCCAACAGCCTTTCCTGAGTCTCCAGTTGCTACTGTCAGCATAGTTCTTGAAACCATCCTTGGTGTTCCAGAAGATGGGACGGCCTCTGTGGAGGAAAGAAGGAAGGCCTTCCCAAAATTCAATCAGACCTAGACCAGCTTCATTCAACAGATGCCCGTCGGCATTCCATCATATCATTCCCCAAGAAAGGGATTCCTAAATAGATCCAGATTATCAAGTTTTCTGGGTCCCTGTGGGATATAGGAGACAGCCAAGTAGGTGTTATAATAATTGATAATATGGGCAGGAAAAAGGGAGGTTTCTATTTCTGGCACTAGGTGACTATATTGTCAAGATTATCTGAGAAACTGGGTTCCCTTGTTTTCTCTCCCTTTAGAAGCAGCTTGAACCATGAACTTCCAGATGTTCAAGCTGGTTTTAGAAAAGGCAGAGGAACCAGAGATCAAATTGCCAACATCCGCTGCAATTTGATCTCTGGTTCCTCTGCCACAAGCTGGAATCAAGATTGCCAGGAGAAATATCAATAACCTCAGATATGCAGATGACGCCACCTTTATGGCAGAAAGTGAAGAGGAACTAAAAAGCCTCTTGATGAAAGTGAAAGAGGAGAGTGAAAAAGTTGGCTTAAAGCTTAACATTCAGAAAACTAAGATCATAGCATCTGGTCCCATCACCTCATGGGAAATAGATGGGGACACAGTGGAAACAGTGTCAGACTTTATTTTGGGGGGCTCCCAAATCACTGCAGGTGGTGATTGCAGCCATGAAATTAAAAGACGCTTACTCTTTGGAAGGAAAGTTATGACCAACCTAGACAGCATATTAAAAAGCAGAGACATTACTTTGCCAGCAAAGGTCCATCTGGTCAAAGCTATGGTTTTTCCAGTGGTCACGTATGGATGTGAGAGTTGGACTGTGAGGAAAGCTGAGTGCCGAAAAATTGATGCTTTTGAACTATGGTGTTGGAGAAGACTCTTGAGAGTCCCTTGGACTGCAAGGAGATCCAACCAGTCCATCCTAAAGGAGATGAGTCCTGGGTGTTCATTGGAAGGACTGATGTTGAAGCTGAAACTCCAGTACTTTGGCCACCTCATGCGAAGAGTTGATTCATTGGAAAAGATTCATTGGAAAAGACCCTGATGCTGGGAGGGATTGAGGGAAGGAGAAGGGGACGACAGAAGATGAGATGGCTGGATGGCATCACTGACTCGATGGGCATGAGTTTGAGTAAACTCTGGGAGTTGGTGATGGACAGGGAGGCCTGGCGTGCTGCGATTCATGGGGTCACAAAGAGTTGGATGGGAATGAACTGAACTGAACTGAGAAGCAGCTTGGTGACATTTTGTCTGAAGGAATAATGTCTTAAAATTTCCTTCTTTGGAGTCTTTTCAAATTTGCTGTGCAGCACAGGATCATTAGGAAGTATGTAGTCTTGCTCTGTGTCCTGATTTCAGTGGTCTTGAGAAGTTTCTGCAGCGCCAACCCTCTTTTTTCTATAGAGCTGCTGCAATGGCCCCAGTTACCTCCTATAGCCACAGTTCCACTCTGAGAAGTTATTTCCATTGTGTTGTGCATGGCTGTTTCCCCTAGGATCTCTGTTAAAATGAAATAACTTCTGGAAGGGATGGCTAGACTAGGCTAGTCTAAACTAACAAAGTGTGAAATCTCAGTAACTTAGGATAGTTTGGTTTTCAACATGTCATAGGTATTGCAAATCGGGCAACTCTCCTTGGTGGCTCAAGGATCCAGGCAGCTTCTATCTTGCAACTTAGTGCTATGGTCTCAGATTTTTTTTCCTTCAAAATCACAGTGATGGTGGAGAGAACTCACAACCATTCCTGACTGCCTTAGTCCAAAGGGACCGTGTCGCTTCCATTCACAGTCCGTTGGCCAGTCAGTGGCCCCAGTCTAAGTGCAGGGGAGGTAGGAAGATGGAGGAGGACACTTGGAGTAGATGAGCATTTCCATCCCTGCCCAAAGGAGTGCTGTATTTTCACTAGGGTACATGGCTTTGTTCATTATCCACAGTCACCAAAAAGTGTTTGGAGGAGATGGTAGAGAGGACTTGAGATGGGGGCTGCACAGAGCCAAGAAGGGTTGAAGACAGAGCGGTGCTCAGAGGAAGAAAAAGTATTAATACAAGAGTAATTTAATTTTGTTTAGAATTAGCCTTACAGAATTTATTTTTAACATGTGGTCACCACCAATTTTCATGCTTCTAATGTAGTCCCTACTCTGACTAAACTAGGAGCTCCTTTATGGATGTAGTTGTATGTCAAATCTTTTTTTTTTTTTTTAATCTAGGAAATTTAAAATGTTGAAATATAAACTGTGAAATCAAATAGAAGCCAGGCAAATTTAATTAGACTCTGAATTAGAAAACCACCATTTGGTGTGGTTTCTCAGCATCTCTGCCTAGAAAACTGTGTGGAAGTAATTCACTTATTTAACAGTTTGAGGTATTTAACATTTTCTTAAGACTTGGAAGGCATCGTACAAATCATACAGTCAACACCCTCATATTACAGATCCCCTGGGCTTGAGGCTCAGAGCAGTTAAGTCACATGCCAGAGGTTGGGGCAGGGCTCTGAATGACCAGACTCCACTATGTGGGTGTCACATGGGTCAGGGCTATCCTGACATATTCCCCAGAGCCTTCTGGAGCTGGAGAGAATGCCTGGGGTCTGCTGGCTCCATACCCAGCCTTCCAACCATGTGAAGTTCCACAAGCTGCCTTGGTTAGATGGGCATCTGGTTGGTACTTTCAAATCTCCAAGAAGAGACCTGCAGCTGGTCGGAGCACTGCTGCCTTTTATTCTGAGCATCATTCCATCTCACAGAAGGGGAAACAGGGCTGTAAGATTACATTGCAGGTTAGCTCCCACCTGGGATCCATGATGCACCCACAGAGTGGGTGAAAAGCACCAACTGAATGAGGCATTAAGGGAGTGGACACCAGTGATCAGGACCGAGTACTCTATCACAGCCTTCTCAGAAGAAATCACGGTTAATCCTACCAGTGTTTCCTCCCAACAACAAAATGTTCAGAGCAACATTTTGCACTGCAGTCAGTCTCTCACAATGGTATCCATCAAGCTGAAGAAAGAAAAAAGAGAATGAAATTGTTTCTAGATTGCTCTAGCTATTAAAAATAATACCAAGGCACCAGTTCAAAAGGGAAGAAGCATTTTAAATGAGACTGACTGCTGCCTTGCCCCCAGATGTCTATTTCTGATCCTGATTTATACAACATCTGACATCCAAGCCTCAGAGAATTGGCATGATCAGCTGAAAAAAATTCAGTATATGAGATTTACTAGGTGGGAAGTAAACATTGGAGTTGGAGTTGTAAGCTTCTATGTGTGTGAGAGAAAGAGTTGGGGAGAGAGCGAGCAAGAAAGCAAGCAAGAGATCGAAACATTAGATATTAATGAGAAAACAAGAAACGAGACAGACTCTCTCCCCAGAAGCTTTTCATGCATGCAGTTTGGTGTGGGTGGGATCTCACTGCCTGGCTCTGACTCCCAGGCCACTTAGTATTTTATCTTCAGCAAGTCTGTTAGCTATTGCCTCATCTAAAAAGTGGGGATGGAAGACAGCTCCTATCTCTTGAGGTTCATGTGCTATTAAATTACACAGTGCACATAAAGGACTTCTCTCTGGCGCTGACTGCGGGAGTTCACTGCTGGTATTCCTGGGAAGCCGCCTTGCTCAGTGAGCAGCCACGTGGGGCACACGTGACACTCAGAGGTGGGCCCACAGATGCCTGAATGGCACCCTGGGAAAATCGAGCCTGCGGCTGCTTTTGGCAGAAAGACTGACTCATGGAGTTGGAGGGCAGCCAGGGGGCTCCTGTAGCCTGCTCCACAGCCCTGCTCCAAAGAGAGGGGCCAGGGGAGTGTGGGTCTCACCTACCGCAGCTCCTCCTGGTGGGGCTGTGGCAGCACAGCCTTGTTGGACAGGCTGGAAAGGGAGCGGCTGGCCCCCAGGAAGCAGCCCTAAGCTGGAGCATTCCCCTCCTGGAACCTACAGTGACTTCCATCAGGGCCCCCACCTTCCTGGCTTCCCTCTGCGGTCAGGGGGAAGCAGCCCTGAGCTGGAGCGTTCCCCTCCTGGAACCTACAGTGACTTCCATCAGGGCCCCCACCTTCCTGGCTTCCCTCTGCGGTCAGGGGGAAGCAGCCCTGAGCTGGAGCGTTCCCCTCCTGGAACCTACAGTGACTTCCACCAGGGCCCCCACCTTCCTGGCTTCCCTCTGCGGTCAGGGGGAAGCAGCCCTGAGCTGGAGCGTTCCCCTCCTGGAACCTACAGTGACTTCCACCAGGGCCCCCACCTTCCTGGCTTCCCTCTGCAGTCAGGGAAGGACCATTCTCTCACCAGAAGCTGAGCCCCCCGTTCCTTTCTCCTCCCTCCTGTCTCCACCTGGACCTGGATCTTCCCCTGCAGGATGGGGCTGTCTGCTCTGACCCTCCCTCTGTCCAGGGATGACTCACATGCAGGACAGAGTTGTTGCTGTTCCATAGGCCTCAGGGGGCCCAGGCATCCCACCGTTCCTTTGCAGGCTGTCCAGCTCACTGCCACCTCACCTGTGCACCGTGGCCGGATCGCAAGTATTAAAGAATCATTTTAAGGGCCAGGGTCGCCACTTCCATTCCAAGCCTCTTTTCTACTATTTTTCACTCTGGTTCCCTGCCCTCGCCACCGCCCCCTTTCTGGCCTGTGTGCTGGCCTTACTTCTCCACCAACAATGGGGGTGAGTCTGTTTTCTTATCCCCCTGGTCTTGTTCCTTTCTCCCGGACTCAAACCCCTGTGCTGTGCCCTGCCTCTTTTCTCTCCCCTTTAATGCCCTAAGGCCTGCATTCCTCTTCTGTCCCCTCCCTGCTCACGCTATGGGCATGGTTTCCTCCTGATGTCCGTTCTGAACAGTAATATCCCCTTCAAGTCTTCACAATTCATGCTGGCATTTTACAAAGTAGTTAAAACCCTTCAGACCACACCATCAACACAGACATCTCAACTCCTATGTGAAGGGCTTCCCCAAACTGTCCTTCTCTTTGGGAGAGGACACTTTGTTATGAGTTATTTTCTAAGGTCTCTGAAGAACAGGGAGAGAGGGCTATCCAGGGCACTGAAAAAATCACGTTCCCCCATGAGCAAGAGCCCAGACTTATTCCCCTAGAAGAGGAAGCACCGGAGAAGCCTCATCTGGACCAGCAGGGCCACGCAGCTGGTGTTCAGACATGGAGATTTGGTCAAAGTGCCCACAGCTGAGAAACCAAGCTGAAGAAATGCCAGGGAGGGGCAGAAAAATAAACGCAGTGAATTAAAAATAGAGACAAAACCAGTTATCAGAGATGATTCTTCATTCTTTCCATCCTTTTTGAAGACATGCAAGAAGGTGGCTTTGGGCTGTAAGCTGCCTGCCTAGTGTACCAGAATGATCTTAAACTAAGATCATCTCCATGTCAATACACCTGTGGGTATAAGACAGGCCCTTCTAGGCAAATTCACAGACTAGAGAGGAAGCCACTTTCTGGCCCAACAACAAATTTTAATGGAGCCATTCCACCACTTGCCTTGGAATCCCATCCGGTATTTAGTAATTCTGTCAAATATTCCTGAAAGCACACCTAAACTATTCTTGCTGCAATTTGAGCCATTTTCTCATTCCAGGCACATGATAAGAGAAGGTACCATTTTCTCTTCCTGCCAGGAAGCCTGCACAAGCCTCTAGCCCAGCCTTACCCACAAGGGGGCAGACACCAGAAGCAAGAAATATACAGTCCTACAGCCTGTGGAACTGAGCCTAAAAAACACAAGTCAGAACCTATCCTGAGACTAGTAGTCCCCTGGCTCTTGAGCGCCAAGAGGGGAGTGTACTGCTGGGTCACACAGGATATCCCATACAGAGGGCCGCTTCACCAAGGTTGAGAAGCATGACTAACCCTCCACATGCACAAAAATACAAATAGAAGTTTAGACAAAATGAGACAACAGAGGATTATGTTCCAGACAGAGGAACCAGATAGAACCCCAGAAGAACAACTAAGGGATGTCAGTTCAGTTCAGTCACTCAGTTGTGTCTGACACTTTGTGACCCCATGGACTGCAACTTCCCTGAGAATGAGTTCAGAGTAATGATTGTAAAGATGATCCAAGAACTCAGGAAAAGAATGGATGCATGGAGCAAAGAGTTTTAAGTTTGTAATGAAGAATTAGAAAAATTAAAGAATAATCAGAGTTGAAGATACGATAAATGAAAAATACACTGGAAGCAATCAATAGCAGAATAAATGAAGCAGAAGAATGCATAAATGAGCAGTAGACACTGGTGAAAATCACTGCCATAGAACAGAAACAAAGAAGAAAGAATGAAAAGAAAGGACAGTCTGAGAGACCTCTGGGACAACCTCAAGCACATCAACATTCACATTATAAGGGTCCCAGAAGAAGAAAAGAGAGAAAGGGTCTAAGAAGATATTTGAAGAGATAATAGCTAAAAACGTCCCTGACATGGAAAAAGAAACTATTGGAAAAGATACTATGCTATGTGGGGAACCAGAGGTCATAGGGAAAAACAGAAGTGTCTTCAGGGGACAGTGATTCCTTAAGCAAAATATCATAAAAGACACTCTGCTCCCGTCAACTTCAGACATTCACTTGCACTGCTGAGCAATCAAGGGTTCTCTTTACTACAGCTTGAAACCTTTACCCCAGAACATCATGGAACTTCCCTTTCATCTACAGATCTTCACATCACCTATTCTGGTAAAGTTCATTTTGTAAAACTGTGGGCATTCTTGAAAGCTAAAGGAAAATATGCTGTTTGTACGCCAAGGGATGCTTTTAATTTGCTATTTAAACAAGCCCTATGCGTGGGGAACAATTAAAAGCTACATTGTCCTGCCCGCCTCTAAGAAGGAGGTACCCAAAATGAGGCCATTCAAATAGAAAATGCTAAATCTTGCTAGGTGGGAGCGATAAATTAGGAGTTTGGGATTAATATATACACACTACTCTATACAAAATAGATAACCAGAAAAGGGACCTACTGTATAAAATAGGGAACTATATTCAATATCTTATAATGAAAAGAACGAAAAAGAAAGAAAAAAAAACCACACATATGTATAACTGAATCACTGTGCAATACACTTGAAACTAACACAGCATTGTAAATCAACTACATTTCAATTAAAAAACTCTTAAAAAAAGAGAAGGCACAATTTCTAGGTAATCTGTTGTTAACACATTGTACTAAAACCCACCATCATTATTTCTCTCTTTTCCAAGCAAGCAAAAACAAAGCCAAAAACAATGTGTTGGTCACCACTGACCAGACTCTCCAGCCTTGTTTCAGCAGCGCCGCCTTGACTCAGGGCCACCACCAGCCTACTCACAGGGGAGTCCCTCCCATGTCCACTGCTCTCTCCTCATGTCTCCCCACCCTCTGACACATTTAATCAGAACACCTCCACAGGATGGAGGTTCTCTCTGAAATAACAACCACCACCACCAAACATAAAACTCCGGTGAAATGATTATTTCCAAGGCTGCCTGTGCTGTGCTTTCTGACTGTATCACCCATAACACGCTATCTTACCAAATGACCAGCCTCACTTTCACTCTCACTTTATCATTAGTTAAAGCTTTGGTGAATTAACTTGTCAGTCATAGAGATCACTTACTTGGAAAGAATGTCTCAAAAGCACAATGTAGAAACCTCTTGGGAAGACTCATCGTTATTTTACAGCTACTAATTAGATGGATTTGCTCCAACTAGAAGTGAAAAGATTCCCAAGTGTGTAGCTGAATGGAAATTTTGTTTCAGACACCAGCCTTTGACTGGAAGTCTCTGCATTGTCTGTCAGGAGAAAAACCAAATGTAGAATTCCCCCAGAAACAATGGCCTCTGCATTCATGAGGGCAGCCCAGCGTGGAGGGGCAGCGGCCATGCCTTGCCATCATCCGTGGGTCTCAAGACTGTTACCTGTCAACAACTCCAACACATAGCTGACTTCCATCCTGTCCCACTCCCCATCACTCCGCAGGAGGCCCTTTCACAGCCCCACACCGTCACAGTGCCTGAAAACCTCCCCGCTCTCTGTGCCCAACTCTCCTCCCTCTCCTAAACTCTCATTCATGCTCCCAAACCCAACACAATGGTCACATTCCCAGCAAAGCTGCTCCCTCGATGGCCCCCCTCCTTGGCACAACCAGGTTCCGTGGGTTCTACGGTCACCTTTGTTTCAGCCTCTGAAAACAACCATCCGGCTATACACGGCAGCTCTCCTGGACCACAGACCCCACAGCAGTAGGCACCTTTCCTAGATCTCCGAGCGTCTCGGTGCCCAGCACAGGGCCTGAAACAAGGTAGTGTTCAGACCTGGATTCTGAGGTCCGGGGGGAGCTTGACCTGAAATTCAAAGAGGTCACTGAGGCCAACATGGGTTCTCCCGTTTTTGCCCCAAGATAAACCTCTTTGGCCTGGGACAGGCGTCTCAATATCTTTTGATGAACAGGCTGATCAACAGCACAGAAATGCAAAATGAATTCTCCCTCATCCTTCTCCCACTGGGGACTCCTGTCTCTCTGTACCTTAGAATGCTCTCTGGCTTACCCACCTCTTCAGCAGTCTAAAGCAACCCCCAACTGGCCAGGAAGGCTGGTGACTACTCTCTCTTCTTTGCCACAACAAAGTGATGATTATCTCTGGCCCCCGACATCCGTAGGCCAGGGCCAACCTGGAAATTCCAGCAGTGTGGGCTGTTGACCAGCGCTGGAGGAACCAATGAACAATCACAGGGTTGCACATTATTTTTTAATTTCACAACAAGCTCTAGAAGGCAAGTCATTTATCACTTTCCCACCCTGAAACAACAGAGCATCAGACAGTAGAGGAGGCTGGGATGCCCTCTTGCTTCCCAGAGTCCCTGCAGCAGGCCCCGGTGAACAAAGCAAGGCCCAGCAGTGTGTCCTTGCAGATGGCAGACACTCAGTCCACGCTCAGCAGCACCAGCACCGCTGAAGTCAAGGTTGTACATCCAGAAGATTCCACCTTGCATCTCAAGATCCAGAGAGGGTTTAACTTCCAGAGGCAGACAGCAGGTGCCATGGCTGGAGGCAAAGTCCTCTGACACTGCCAAGGTCAAATGTCTTGACTTAAGGCTAGACGAGAGGGAGGGGAAGAGTAATGAGGTCAAGGAATCCCTGGACTGCTGAACTGGCAATTTTTTTTTTAAAGAAATGCTGGATCTGCAATTCACAAAGTTCACAAAAGAACATTGCTTGGGATTCTAGACCTGAGTGAAGAGAAACAAAGGCTGGGCTGACAAAGCCAGAACTTTATTCACAGTAGAACAGTCCTAAGCTAAAATTCTAGAATTTATGAACAACGTCTTTTAAGAATAAGAATTCATAAACCCACCAGACCAGCTGACAGGAAAAAAGAAAAAAACACCAATGTTCTCTATTAAACAAAACCACACAAAAATTAATTCAATCTGCCTTCATTTCCACTCCTAATACCTCAGCCACCTCCCATCCCCTTTACAAAAAAAAACAAACATAAAATTCATGCACACTTGCACGCACTCAAACATTTAAGCGAAATACAAAATACCCAAGGAAACCTTAGGAATCACCTAAGGGTTCTTCACTAGTTCTCCAGATGCTCTGTTCCTCTAGACAAAGAATCAAGTTCTGACCGCCATGTCTAAGCAATAAAAACAGAGTCGGCTGAGATCCCCCTCCTCCGTTTCCTGGCTCACTGGTCAATACAGAAGAACCAACCATATGTCAAGAGGGAAGGCCAAGGCTGGCGTTCTGTTGGGGGAAGCTGCCTGGCTGTCCTGCAGCTGGGGGCCTTCATGGGGAGCAGTCAGCAGTACCCTCATGGGTACACTCGGCAAGGCCGCCCTGGGGCTCTGTTCCCAAGCATGAAGCTCAGAGTCCAATACCCAGGACACAGGGAGAGGAGCCGGTGTGGACAGGATGCTTGGGGCGGGGATTTCTGGAGACTTAGTTTTACTGCTTGTGGGCATGAGAACAGAAACCTAAAGCAAACCATCATGAGATATCACAGACGGCAGCACTGGAAGAGATGATGTAGGCCAACTCTGCATTTTACATAAAATCCACTTATGGAGAAATCAGAGAGGTGGTCTGCCCAGAATCGTGACTCTAAGAGCTTCCCTGGGTGTTGGCCTACATCAATTGATCAGTCCATTGTTTCTAGCCAAGGTCTCTCACCTGAAGTGGAGAATCATTTGTTTCCAGAAGGTTAGATTCTCCCATTCAACAGGCCTGGGAAATGCAGAAAAACCAGGTTCTAGAACCAACCAGTCTACACTGACCACTTCCCAGGAGTGATGAAAACCTGATGCATCTGTTTCTTTGCCTTATCCTGCAGACTCTCCCCAATCCCCCAACATTTTTTAAAAATAAATAATTCAAAATAGAATGAAAATCCCAGGCAAGGACAGTTGCCGGCCTGAATATGTGCTCTGTTTCTTAACAGACTCATGAAACTCATGCCTGCAATTCACTCCCAGGCTCAGGGTGGATGGGAGAGTCTGACCTGCTGGGGCAGCACATGAACCCCTGGCACAGCAATTATAGACCAGTGCTGGCCTCTTATATATTAAATTTATCTTCATAAATAGAGCATCCCAACTCAAGTGACCATAATAAAGAAGGCCAAAGCTTGAGTGTTTTCTTCAAATAGCTACACACACCCTCAACTATCTATGAAACGATATTCAATATATCCACATGGCAAACCAGACAGCTCTCTATGAGAGCCTCAGTTGTCATGATAGTCAAAGGCCAAGTTTCAGACAGACCCAAATACCCACTCCCTGTTGGATAACGGAGACTAAGATGCAAAGCTCACTTTGCAATAAGGCTCATGACATATGTCTTTAAAGAAAAATCCCGATTAATTTGATTTTTAAATTATTCAATTTCTGCCCTCCAACCCCCCACTACCAAACTTGGAACATACTCAAATTTTCAAGGTCATATCTATGACATAAAACGAGCCCACCAGACCAATAGATATGGTCCAGTTGGGTAGGCTGCCGGGCCTACCCATTTATTGATGTGATAGCGTTGGTGATCACCTTTCCCTTGAGTGAGCATCTCTGAGCTATGCCATTCAACGTTAATGTGGGAACCAGTATCACATGGGTAATGAACTGAAGGACAAGGTGTCTGGGTTGAAGTTCATCCTAATGGTGGCCAGAAAGCCTATCTTCTAGCCATCCTAGGAGATTTGGGTTTAGTTTCCCTATTTCCTTCCCCTGTCAAAAAATATATCAATTTTGATTAATCACATTAGACCACTTTGGTTAGGTCACCATAACCATTAAAAGAAACTGGAGCAAACACATGATTGGCCCATTAGGAAAACCAAAGTGTAGTAACCCCTCCATGGAGCCTTCATAGCTCATCTCTTGAAGGTGCAGTGTCCAGGGAGGCTGGTGGTGGCAGGGCCTCTGTGTTCTTTGCGTTGCGGTGGATGCGACTTTGCTTCCGGGACTTCCAGGCATGTGTCCTGTCCCAGTCAGTGGCCACCGTCTCATTGTCCCAGATGGTCGAGGTCTCCGTGTCACTCAGATACCCCGGCTGGCCTGTGTAATGCGTTGGGTAGATGAGCAAGGGTTCTGCAGAGAAGGCTTTCAAGTCCCTGGATTCGTAATGCTCCATGTACTCAGCGCTGAAAACAAGAGGTGGACAAGTGGGTGAGGGGGCAGAACACTTACACAACAGGGGAAAAGGGTCTTGCTTGTTACCTCCTAAATTCTCATGGATTTGATTATTTTTTAAATTGCGTCCTTTGTGGAAAACTTTAGCCTACAAACACAACAGAATTTTTTCTTAAGGCTTTCAGATGATGTAAACAAATACACAAAGAAAAAGGTCAGGGTATTTCTGTTAAAATTTGGATGGTGGTTTAGTCCCTAAGTCATGTCTGACTCTTGCAACCCCATGGACTGTAGCCTGCCAGGCTCCTCTGTCCATGGGATTTCCCGGACAAGAATGCTGGAGTGGGTTGCCATTTCCTTCTCCAGGGGATCTTCCTGACCCAGGAATCGAACCCAGGTCTTCTGCATTGTAGGCAGATTCTTTACTGACTAAGCTACAGGGAAGATTCAAATTTAGACAGAGTAGCTTAAAAATGAATTTCAGGTCTTGTTCTAAAAATTAAGGTTTAAGCTCTGTTGGGCCATAATAATAAATAAAGTGATCACTTTGTAGAAAATGCTTTGATCCTGGATTAGTGAATGAGACGGCTGGGAGCTGGAGTGAAGGTGTGAGTGACGTGGTGTAGGCTTGGAGGCACACCAGCTTGGCTTTGCTGTCCAGCAACCTGTGAGTGTAAATGAAGGGACAAGGAGCCCTCTCCCAGGGCTCTCTGCTGATTACATGAGGTGACATCTGCTCAGCAGCTAGGTTTCAATTTCCTTTCTGTTAAGAGGATGATGGTTGACCTCCATGTTTCTGTCAGGTAGCAGAGATAAAAATTGGTCTCTGACATGTTGTCCATTTTTACCGAGGACAGGAGACAAAATGGGCAAGATGCAGGGCAAGAACATTGAACTGCTACAAAGAAGACCATCTAGGGAGGAGACCACTCAGCAATGAGAGGAGCCAAGGTTAGAACCTGGTCTCCTGCTCCATTAATGAATTTAGGAAGCATCGATCAAGCAGCTAGCATGGGTAGAATTTGGACTAGACTCTAAGGGCACAGAGATAAAAGATGGTTCCTGCCTCAGAGGCTCACAGGTTCCTGGGGAGACTGACACACAAACCCATCATTTACCATCTTCCTGATACAAGCACCAGGTCTAATGGAACTACGGTCACTGATCACCACACTGTCTTCTTCTGGGGACGCCCAGCTCAGAGGCCATCTCCACTTTCCCCGAGCCTCTAACACATCTCTGTGATTGTAGGTATCACAATATATCACAATGACTAGCTTGTGAGTCACTGCCTGGCCAACAGTATACACAATGGACTAAAACAAACTGAAAAATCTGAGGTGCTTAGGAAGATGACCTTCACCTTGAGGTGTATGGGTTTATGGAAGTAAGAAAATCAAAGATAAGAGGACCGAGCATATTATGTGCAGTTAAGCTACTCACTGGGTATTAAAGAGGACTCCTATGCAAGACTCACCATTTCTGCCTTATATCCCCTGTTTGTAAAAGGGGGTAATCACTCAAGTTGGCCTCTCTTGTCATGATTATGGAAAGATCATTTAGGAAAGGAGTATCCCTTTTAAAAATACCAAGTATTACCCCAAACCAAGTAGCATAATTCATGAATGAATTATGCTCAAGGGACAGGCAGACAGTTCAGGGCAACTCACACAGGATGCTTGTTGTACATGATTGGCAGAAACTCATCCACTGGTAGCATCTTCCCAAAAGGATCTGCTCCAACCAGCTTCTGTGCTCCTTCCAGAGAGATGACGTAGCCGAGAGTCCAGTAGGAATAGTCAGCTTCAACCAGATTAACCACATTGGGCACAGCTTTCTCTGGTTCTTTTACTTGCATCCTCTTCCTACCAATATAACTAAAAGGAAACGGGTGGAGGAGAGAATTCCAATTGGAGTATTAGACATCCATAAGAATGGAGCACAGCTTTGCAGACACTTTTGAAAGCTTGGACCAACTGTGTCTTATTTCAATGTATCACACCACAGGGCACAGCACATCAATCATGGTTGTCACCATCTTCCATCAATCAGGCCATTTCTGTGGTTCCACTTATCAATAGCCCAACTGTCCTTGCCTGGCAGGCTGTTAAGGCCTGAAAGTTGAAATGTAGAGACTAAAAGATCTTTCAGAAGTTGGAGGCGAGATGGTGGAGTAGAAGGACTTGAGCTCACCTCCTCTCACAAAAACACCAATATCACAACTAACTGCCGAATGACAACTGACAGAAAAGACCAGAACCTACCAGCAAAGATATTCTACACCCGAATACAAAGAAGTCCAATGAGATGGAAGGAGGGGCACACTGGTGATAGCATCAAATCCTCTACCCACCAGGTGGATGATTCACAAAGGGGAAAAGTAATTATTTCTCATAAGTTCTCCCACAGGGGTGAGAGTTCTGAACCTCATGTCAGGCTCCCCAGCCTGGGGGGGTCTGCCATCAAGAGGAGGACTCCTCAGAGCACTCAGCTTTCAAGGCCAGGGGGCTCAATTGCAGGAGCTCTGCAGGAATGGGGGAGACAGAAACTCCACTCCTGGAGGGCGCACACAAAAAGTCTCGTTCACAGCGGGACCTGGGCAAATGCAGTGACTTCAGAGGAGTGTGAGACAAAGCTACCTGATGGTCCTGGGGTGTCTCCTGGGGAGGTGGGGGAGTGGCTATGACTTAGGGTGGGGACAAGGACACTGGTGACAGATACCAAGGGATACTCACTAGTGTGAGCAAATATTATTAAAATAATATTTAAAGGAATAAAAACATGATCATCTCAATATATTCAGAAAAAGCTTTGACAAAATTCAACACCCATTTTAAAGAAAAAACAACAACAACAACAACAAAACTCTCCAGAAAGCAGGCATAGAGGAAACCTACCCCAACATAATAAAGGCCAAATATGACAAACCTAGAGCTAGCATCTTTCTCAAAGATGAAAAACTGAGAACATTTCCCCTAAGATCAGGAACAAGACAAGGCTCTTCACTCTCACCACTATTATTCAACATAGTTTCAGAAGTCCTCCACAGTGATCAGAGAAGAAAAAGAAATAAAGGGAATCCAAACTAGAAAAGAAGTTAAACTGTCACTGTTGCGAATGGTATGATACTATACATGAGAAATCCTAACGATGCTACCAAAAACTACTAGAACTCATCGATGAATTTGGTAAAGTTGTAGGATATGAAATTTTTCAAGTTTTTTTACTTAAAAAACTAAAATAGAACTACCACATGATCTAGCAATCTCATTCCTGGGCATATAACCAGAAAAGACCATAATTTGAAGAGATACATGCACCCAGTGTTCATAGCAGCACTATTTATAATAGCCAGGACATGGAAGCAACCTAAATTTCCATCAGCATGGTAACGATAACCCTATGTGCAAAACAGAAAAAGAGACTCCTATGTATAGAACAGACTTGTGGACTCTGGGAGAAGGCGAGGGTGGGATGTTTCAAGAGAACAGCATTGAAACACGTATATTATCTAGGGTGAAACAGTTCACCAGCCCAGGTTGGGTGCATGAGACAAGTGCTCGGGCCTGGTGCACTGGGAAGACCCAGAGGGATTGGGTGGAGAGGGAGGTGGGAGGGGGGACCGGGATGGGGAATACATGTAAAAAAAAAAAAAAAAAAAAAGATACACTATGGTTGTGATAAAAAAAAATAAATAAATAAATTTAAAAAAAAAATAAAAATAAATAAATAAATTTCCATCAGCAGAAGAATGGATAAAGAAGATGTGGTACATATACACAATGGAACATTATTCAGCCATAAAAAAGAATGAGATAATACTACTTGTAGAACCATGGATGAACTTAAAGATTATCATACTAAGTGAATTAAGTCAGACAGAAAGAGACAAATATCATATAATATCACTTACACAGAGTCTGAAAAAATGATGCACACAAACTTATTTACAAAATATAAGTCACAGACTTAGATAACAAACTTATGGTTACCAAAAGGATAAGGTGGTGTTGGGGGGGATAAGTTAGGAGGTTGGGATTAACACATACACACTGTTATGTATACAATAGATAATCAACAAGGACCTACTATACAGCACAGGGGACTGCACTCAAGATCTTTTGTAATAACCTATATGGGAAAAGAATCTCAAATATAAATGAATCACTTTGCTATATACCCAAAATTAACACAACATTGTAAATCAACTATACTCCAATATTAAAAAAAAAACTCTTAAAAATTTCGTGACAAAGAGCAGATTTTTTCAGATCATTTCCCAAAGGTAGTATAGGATTTTCAGCTGTGTTTATAGAGATTGGAAGGGGACAACAAAGACCAGATGTGAGAATCCCAAGTTTGCTTTCAAGTCCCTAGAGTTTCAGTCTGTTGACTTGATATTTTCTGCACAGCTCTCCAAATGCTGGTGGTAAACACAAGAAAGAAAATGCTTTGGAAAAGATATAGTCCAAAGTGAAAGACCTAGGAGCCCAAGAGTAGCTCAAGAGTGTTTCCTCTGGGGAAGAATGAATGTCAATACTTGTGCAGTTTTCTTTCCCTCACTCATCTCTGCCCATGCTTCTCCGGGGTTCTGTCCTCCATGAACTACTTCTGCAACACAGAATGTACCCTCAACCATTCTCTCCATCCCCAGTCTACCCATGGATCTGTGATCCATTGCTTTTGTCTAGAGCCTAGTTGTTTCTGCTTGCCTGGACCAAGTTGAGGAGGTCTGGCTTTCTGCCTGTCAGAGAAAGCTGAATTCCTCTATTTTGCTCTAAAAACCATCTCTTTCAATATTTAAGCTATCCTCCTTGTTGAAACATCCTAGGATATATAGAATAAGTCTATGTTCACCTTCAGTTCTTCTGGAGATATATATAGCCAACTCTCAACCACAGCCTCTTAAAAACAAATAGCCTGAATTTCTTTCATGTATCAAGTAAAAGAGAAAATCCTACTGAACACCTGAATTGTGAACAGAGTGACTGAGGAATTAAGCTTATACTCAACTTGCTATACTAAATTTAAACTGTAATTTTAAAATTGAAGATGTGTAAAATATTTTTTCTCTTCTTCAAAATGTATTATTTTGGTAGGGCTACAGTTTACTTCAACAGTTGAAAATTTAGCATATGGACTGAGGTGTGTTGTATGCATTAAATACATATTGGATTTTGAAGACTGAATGAAAAAAGAATATAAACTAATTCATTAATAGTTTTAAAATACTGATTATATGTTAAAATAATATTTGGATATGTTAGATTAAATAAAATGTATTATTAAAATTAATTTCACCTATTTTTATCTTTTTAATATGATTGCTAGAAAATTTTAAATGATGTGGCTTCCCAGATGGTGCAATGGTAAAGAATTCACCTGCCAATTCAGGAGGCACAAGAGATACAGACTTGATCCCTGGGTTGGGAAGATCCTCTGGAGGAGGAAATGGCAACCCACTCCAGTATTCTTGCCTGGAAAATCCCATGGACAGAGGAGCCTGGTGGGCTACAGTCCCTGGAGTAGCAAAGAATCAGACATGCCTGAGCACACACAGAAAATTTTAAATGATACGTCTCACATATTTTTATTGGACATGCTGCCCTAGATGATTTCAATGGCTTGTCCTATTTTTCCCCGCTTACTGTTTCCTTTTTCTGGAGAAATTTAATATTGCTGTCATAGACAGCCTATATGCTTTCATTTTTTCAGTTTAAATACATTTGCTTTATTCATTTTATAAAGTGAGATGTGAAAAATTGGAAACAGCTATAATTCTTTGTGATTAGATAACAGATTTCAATGGAACACTTGCACTTGATCAGTGATGGAAATTTAGAAAACATCTACCCTGCTCCGCCCGCTGTATCCTTATCAGAACAATAACTCTTCTTTCCTGGATCCGTTGGTACTCTTTCCTGAGAAATGCATCAACCAAACTACAAGTGAACAAGGACATATGTCAATTCTAAGCCTTAGACTCCCCAAATCCAGTCCTCTGAATCCAAGGCTTAAGTGAAAGTTGCCTTTGTACATGTCACATAAGCATGAAATAGCTTTCAAGCTCCATGCCTGTGGGGCCTTAACCACAGGCTGCAGGGCCACAGACTCAGAATGCCTGAGGTGAGAGAACTCCTAGAGGATTCTAGAGACAATGATCAGAAGAGACAGTGCAGAATCTCATCACATGACTGGTACCCGACAGGGAGCCAGTCCCTTTATTACATAGTCCTGGGTCTAATTCCCACGGTTACTTGAGCCATTACTAGGTTTCCTCTGAGCTCTGAAGGGTACATTTTCTAATAAGCAAGTATTCCACCCGAGAGCATAGTTAAGTTTCCCTCCTAGGATGGGAGGAACGGGGACAGCTTGTGGGCTGCAGCTGCTAAAGGAACAGCCTCTGATATGATGAAATCGCCTTTGACACACAGCTGGCAAGTGAATATGATGCTTGGGAACTTTCTGCCTCATAGTGTCATCTCATTGTAAAAACAAAATGAGAGAGAGAGAGAGATCTTAGTTCCCAGAGAGAGCGCGAGAGCGAGCGCGCTCAGTTCCCAGAGGTAGCAGGCAATGAGCATTAACTAAATGTCAGCTCAGAGCCAGGACTCCCTTGGTGAGTCTGGTTTTCCTAAGAGCCTCTGACCCTCCAAACCCAGCTGTCAGTGTTCTTCCTGTTTGTACAGATCCCCTCCCCAACAGGTGCTCTCCCAATGACCTTCCAACCCCTGCCCCCACACACATTCCATCAGAGACTGCAGAGGAAACCCATCCTCTAGGGAGCTGATGCCCAAGTGTGACACAAGTGTGACCCATGTGCCTGGCATGGGTCCTCCGTGTACACGCTCTATGCACCACGCCGCTTCATGGGTGGGTTTCTGCTGTGTTTTCAGGTAAATGCTCATTCTGAAAACCCAAGATCTGCAGGCAGATTCCAAGTCTCAAAGAATTTACCATACTTTCTCACCCCAAAGAGTGTATAGATGCAAAAGTGAAAGTGTTAGTCACTCATTCATGTCTGAGTCTTTGAGACTCTGCCAGATTCCTCTGTCCACGGGATTCTCCAGGCAAGAATACTGGAGTGGGTGGCCATTCCCTTCCCCAAGCAATGTTCCCGATCCAGGGATCAAACCCAGATCTCCTGCATTGCAGGTGGGTTCTTTACCATCTGACCCACCATGGAAGCCCCCAAACCAGTGGGTATCCCCTACCTACTTCTTGTTTCTGGGAGAGAAAGCCAGGCAAGTGGAAGCTTGAGCCCCACCTCCTATGAGTTGGGGCTCTCAGTGCTGAAAGAACTGAAAGATTCTCAGTGCTCTTAGAAAAGCTTATTGTCTTGTCACTCACATCAGTTCCCAGTCCAGCTGAACTCGATCAATGTCATCCATCAGCTTCATCAGCTTCTTTTTAAACTGATGTTCAAAACGCACGTCGTCCTCAATAACAAGAGTCTTCTCCAGCTCCCGGTCAATTACCTGTAAAGGTCACGGGGAAGATACCCTATGAAAAGTTGGTACTTATTTATCTAATCAAAATAGGTATTAAAAAGTCAAAAGTATGGTAGCACAACACATAATAGCTCGTAACTGGAATCTCGGCAAAGGTTCATCAACAGTAAAATGGTCCCACTCTCCTCCCTTCTCATAACAGAACTGCACATCTGAATGAAGCATTATTCACCTCTTTCCAGACAGAGTAATGGCTAAGGAAGCAGCCAATTTCACCCCTGGTTAGAGGCCTGGAGGAGTAGGGATCTCGATATCCAGGCAGCATTTCAATATTCAGGGCCTTCAGCTGGCTTGTGTTGAGTGCCCTGGAAGATAGAACACGGCCCTAAGTTAACACATTGAGAGGTCCCCACCGCAGAAGCCAGGAGGGAGAGGTCTGTGTATTCCCTGGGGCCTCTATGCAAGATGAGGTCTTATATTTTTGTGTCCCTCACAACACCCAACGTAGTTCTAAGTGTCATCAGTTTCTTGGCACCTGTGAATCCGTATTTTCCTAATGAAGGAGAGTGGCTAATAGAAACATTCACTTCAGTTCAGTTCAGTCGCTCAGTCGTGTCCGAAACATTAAATACTATTAAACACTGGAAGGAATGAGGGCAGGAAAGAATCATAAGAGGGATTGTACACATGTGTACATCTTTCCTTTGGAGCTAAAAATTAAAATGCAGAGAGAGTCATGTCAGCAAGAGAAGTGACTCACTACAAACGAAGTATTCTCAGTAAGATTGAGTTAGCTGATTCTCATCTGAAACCGTGGAGGCCAGAAGGTTGACATATTCAAAGTGCCGACTCAGAGAGACTGTCAACCAAGAATGCTGTATCCAGTCAAGCTAGACCTCAAAAATGGAAAAACTAGGGTGTCCAGATAAACAAAAACAGCGTTCCTAGTAGATCTGCTCTACAAGAAATGCGAAAGGGAATCCCTCAGGCTAACATGAAAGGAAACCAGAGAATAACTCAGATCCACATAAAGAAATGAAAGCACTGGTAAATGCAAGTGCAGGTGTTTGCGTGCGTGCTAAGTCACTTCAGTTGTGTTCGGCTATTTGTGACCTGATGGACTGCAGCCTGCCAGGCTCTTCTGTCCACGAGATTCTCCAGGCAAGAATACTGGAGTGGGTTGCCATGCCCTCCTCCAGGGGATCTTCCCAACCCAGGGATTGAACCCGTGTCTCTTATGTCTCTTGCATTATCAGGCAGGTTCTTTACCACTAGCGCCACCTGGGATAGGTAAACATAAACAGTGTAAGTATTCTTTTGTTCATAAGTTTTTCCCTTATCTGATTTAAATTATAGCTGCATAAAACAATAAAAGCAAATAATGTATAAAGAGCATATAAAGAAATAATTAGTATGACAACAGAACAAAGGAAGGGGAAGGAATAAAGCTCTATAGGGGTTAAGTTTTTCCATAGTATTGAAGTTGGTATTTTTTTATTGAGATACAATTGACATATAACATTAGTTTCAGGTGTACAATATAAGGATTCAATATTTTGTACTTTAACATCTTAATTCCTTTGTTTATATTTCTGTATATTTTTAGTTATTAGTGATTGCCCTACAGATTATAATTAACAATCTATAGCCATCAAGTTCATATTAATAGTAGGGTCCTAGAAGAAAACAAGAGGATAAAACTCCTCGACACTGCTTTGGTGATGATTTTTTTAATTTGACACTGAAATTAAAGGCAACATCAGCAAAATACACATTCTTCAACTCTATGTGCAGCATTCTCTAAGAAAGACCATATGTTGGACTATATAGACCATAAATAAAGCCTCAGTACATCTTAAATGGTTGAATTCATACAAAGTATGTTCTACAACCACAATGAAATTAAAAATTGATAGGAAACTTGGAAAATTCACAAATATGTGAAATTAAACAATATACTCCTTGATAGCCAATGAGTCAAAGAAACCACAGAGGAAATGAGAAAATATTTTGAGACAAATGAAAATGAAAATCGCATACCAAACCTTACAAGATGCACCTAATGCAGTACTTAGAGGGCTGGTTACAGGTACAAATGTCTATATGTTTTAAAATAAGAATCTTAAATAATCTGCTTTTCCATTTTAAGAAACTGGAAAAAGAGCAAACTAAATGCAAAGCAAGCAGAAAGAAGGAAATAAATGAAACAGGGAATAGAAGAAAAGACAAAAACAAGACCAAAAGTCGGTTCTTTGGAAAAGAACAAAATTGATAACCCTTTTAGCCAAATAAAAAAGAGTAGACTCAAATTACTTAAACTTAAGAATGAAAGAGGGAGCAATCCCTACTGGTCTTGTGGAAATAAAGAGGCTTACAAGAAAATACTATGAACAATTATACATTAACAAATTAGATAACCTAGATAAAATGGGCACATTACTCAAAAGAAACAAACCAACTCAAGAAATAGAAATTCTGAATACCTGTAACAGTTAAAGAGGCTGAATTTGTAAAGATTAAAAAAAAAAGTTCCAAAACATGGTCCAGGACCAGATAGCTTCTGTAAAGAATTCAAAATTCTGCCAAACATTTAAAGAATTAACACAAACCTTTCAAACCCTTACCAAAAATTGAAGAGGATGCGCTTCCCAACTTATTCGATAAAGTATCATCCTGACACACAACCAGAAAAACATCACAAGAAGACGAGAGACCAATATCCCTTCAGATAAATAGAAAAATCCCCAAGAATATACTAGTAAACAGAATCCAGCATCACAGAAGAGGGATTACACATCATGACCAAATGGGATTTATCCCAGGATTCTAAGATTCATTTAACACGTGGGGGAAAAAAGTGACACATCATTATTAACAGACAAAAATTCCATGATTATCTAAATAGACATAAAACTTGACAAAAATCCAACTGTATATGGACTATTTATATTCCCCCAAGTTCACATGTTGATAAGGAGGTGGAGCCGTAGATCCTAAGGGTAGAACTTTCGTAAATGAGATAAGTGCCCTTCTAAGAAAGCAAAAGCTTGCTTTCTCCCCTCTCTTTGCTCTCTGCCATAGGAGAGTACAGCAAGAGGACAGTGATCATGCTGAGTTGCTAAGTTGGGTCTGACTCTGTGACCCTGTGGACTGTAGCCCACCAAGCTCCTCAGTCCATGGGATTTCCCAGGCAAGAATACTGGAGTGGGTTGCCATTTCCGTCTCCAGGGGATCCTCCTGATCCAGGGATCGAACCTGCAGCTCCCGCATTGGCAGACGGATTCTTTTACCACTGGGCCACCAGGGAAGCCTGCAGGAAGAGGACAGCCATCTACAAAGGAGGAAGGGGTCTCTCACCATAATCTATCCATGCTGGCACCCTTCTCTGGAACTTCCCAGTTCCTGGAACTTTGACAAATGTTTGTTATTTGAGCCACTGGATCTATGGTCATTTATTCTAGCAGCAAATAAACTAAGACACCATCACCCTTTCAAGATAGAAACACTCAACCCAATAAAGGCCATCTGTGAAAACTCTAGAGCCAATTATCCTATTTAATGGTGAAAGACTAAATGTTTCTCCTTAACAACAGGAACAAGCCAAGCCTGTCCACTCGTATCATTTCTATCCAACACTGTACTTGAGGATTTAGCCAAGGATTACCCCCATGACTTTTTGTTCCTCATCCTTATTCGACAACATCTTGCTGCTCATGGGAGTTTCCTTAGCCTCTGGCTCGCTCAACAACTGTTGGGTTGCACCTCCCAAGACTGCAAGCCTTGTAATTTAGCTAGCCTTGAGACCAAAGAAAGAGCCCAGAGACAGTGACAGAGACATTAATGGTTTATTGGACAGGGGGATCTTACAAGTCTGAAGCCAAAGATCCTGGAGCATGTCACTCTCTTGTGTACAACAGACAAGAGGCCAGATACTGCAGCAGTCTTCACTACTTGGCTGAGAAGGAGGCTACCATTTATAGGGGGTATTAACATCACATTGGCTCATCAGTTACCAAGGAAACCAATGACTGGAGAAGGGGCAAGCATGTAGGCAGTTACTGATTAAGCCCTATAATTAAGAAGATTGGATAGTCATGTGAGTGAAAAAAGGCGTGGTCAAGTAGGAGATGTACAGAGAACAAGAGAGGGGTCGTCTTGAATGGCCTGATCATACTTACACACAAACACATTATTAGAACTAATACATGAGTTCAGCAAGTTTGTACGAAAAAGATCAGTATACAAAAATCAACTATTTCTATGCACTTAGCAATCTGCAATATAAAAATGAAATGAAGGAAACAATTCCACTTATCATAACATCAAAAAGAGTAAAATACTTGAGAATAAATTTAACAAAATTAATGCAAGATGTACAAGCAAAAATTATAAAACATCGATCCAAGAATTAAAGATCTAAATGAATGGAAAGATATTCATGATCATGAATCAGAAGGCTTCATATTACAAAGAAAGAAGTACTTCCCTCAACTAACCTACAGAGTCAATGCAATTTCTATCAAAATCCAAACTTTTTTGGTGCAAAATGGTATGCTAATGCTAAAATTTATATGGAAATCCAAGAGACCTAGAATAGCCTAAACAATCTTGAAAAAAAATAACTAAGTTGAAGGACTTCCTTACACATAAGAAGCTACTGTGAGGAATGAGGATTGGCATACACATCAATGGAACAAAATTGAGATTCCAGCAGTAAACCCTTATATTTAATTAATTTTTGACAAGGTTGCTAAGACAATTCAGTAAAGGAAAGAATAATCTTTTAGCAAATGGTGCAGAAACAACTAGATAACTGTACAAAAGAATGAATTGGAAACAAAGAATGAATTGGACCCGTACCTCACATCATATAAAAAACTAACTTAAAATATATCAAAGATCTAATGTGTAAGAGATACATATAAAGCACAAAACTATGAAACTCTTAGAAGAAAAGACAGAACCAAGTCTTGTGGCTTTGGATTTGGTAATGGATTCTTAGATATGACACCAAAAGCACAATCAACAACAATAATATAAACTGGACGTCATCAAATTAACTTTTGTATTTCAATGGACACCATCATGAAAGTGAAAAGATAGTTCATAAAATGGGAAAAAATATTTGCAAATTATACATCTGATAAGAGACTTGTATGCAGAGTATATAAAGAACTCTCACAGCTCAACTAGTTTTCCTTGGTCCATGTGGTCTATGAAGGAGATTGGGGTTATTAGAGGTATTTGAGACTGGGGTTCCCAAACTCCAGTGCATCCAAGAATAGAGTTGCCAGATTTAGCAAGTAAAACACAAAAATATCCAGTCAAATTTAAATGTTAAATAAACAGTAATTTTTTAGTATAAGACCCAAATGTTTGGGACAAATTTAACTAGATGTCCTCTATTCTACGTGGCAACCTTACCCAAGAATCACTTTGAGGCTTTTTAAGTGCCGATTCCCAGCCTAGCCCTACAGATCATCATTCAGCAGCTCTGGGACTTAGGAAGCTGCCTCTTAACCAGCCCCCGGGGACTGTGACATGGGTGTCCAGGCCACACTTTTGAGAAACACTGATGAGATTCTCTAAAAGAGTCATAAAAACTTCCACAAGAGCTTCTAGCCATACTCCTTAGAGTCATTCATACCCCAAATTCACATATAACATGGAATAGGAGGTTTTGCAAATATCCCTGGTGGTTCCAATGGTAAAGAATTTGACTGCAATGTGGGAGAACAGGGTTCACTCTCTGGGTACGGGAGATCCCCTGGAAAAGGGAAAGGCTACCCACTCTAGTATTCTTGCCTGGAGAATTCCGTGGACAGAAGAGCCTGGCGGGCTACGAGTCCATGGGATCACAAAGAGTAAGACACGACTGAGCGACTAACATACTCCTTGAAATAAGAGTGTCAAAGGGCAAAGCAAAGCAGACAACATCAACAACAAAACTCTTGAAGGTATCCAACCAGGTACTGTATGTAAGTTTCCTGCCATGTTCCTGGAAAAAGTGATCAGCCCAGGCAGACTGTGGCATGCATCTCGTGCAACAGGACACACAGACTGTTCTGCATTTTTTCCATTTATTTCTTCAGGTCAAGTCACACAAGGTAAGATGCCTTGCTCTAAATCAGGCTCTGAATGCAACTCTAAACGCATTCCTTCCAAGGCACTACAGGGCTGGAAACCACCACGACCATTGCAAGAACCCCCAGAGACAGTGGAAAATCACGCCCAGGGCAAGCCTTCAGCATAGTGAAGACCAGAGAGCACAGGATGATGAGTGGATTTCTGCTCTACTCAGTGAAATTAACATATAAAAGCTGCTATGAGTCATAAAGTTTTCCCAAAATAGGCTGCACTGTGAAAGCATGTCTATCTTGCAATGACTGCAGATTCCTCTCACTGGGACTAAACCTCAGTTGGAGAGGGTGCATCTCCACTCCAGCCACAGCAGCAAGGGTTCGAGGAGAAAATCCAACTCACTTTCCATCCACAGCCTCCACAATCTTGACCTCAATCTCCTGTTCATACAGGGTGCGTAACATCCGGTCTCGCCTGTCCTTTCTGCGCTTGAGGTTTATCATGAAAATCTAATACAAGAAGAAAAGGGAAAGAAATACAGATTACTCAGGTTTTATTGTAGGCTGCTGAAAAGCAAAGAAAGTATAAGCAGCAAAGCTTCAGTTAGAATAAGGAGTGGGAAAGTTAGGGGAAATGGTGGAGGAGATTTATTTGTATTTCACATCAGGTCAAAAAGTTATTCTTCAGGAGGCCAACGGTGAATTAAACCCAAAACAATATGAGACCAAGGGGAAGGAAGAAGTTTGGTAAGTGGCTAGATTTATCAAGACCTAAGTCTGCTAAGTGTTGGTGTTGGTCCAATCCCTATGCCTCAGTTTCCTCATCTGTAAAATGGAAATAATACTGGTCTTATCACCTGGCTACAAAATATCAGCAATTCTTGAAATTTATATTCTCTGTAGAAAAATTTAAAGTCATTCCAAGAGTAAGAAAAATCTAGTCTTAACAAATTCCTTTCATTGCCAAGAGCTCCAAATTGAATTATTAAGGTCTTAATTTACATAGCTTCTTTACCAGAACTCTTCAACTCTCTTAAGACTTTTTCTGAAAAAGTCTCTTTGGGGGTAGCTCTTTAGGGAGAGTCATAATTTCCACATTGCATGGATCTGAGGGACGTCTTAAAGAGACGACACACACTGGTCCATGAAGTCCCCAAATTGTGCATTCAGATCGTCCCTCATGAGTGCTGGGTCTTCCTGCAGCTCCTCCCCGTAGCCCTGAAATTCCTGATGACTGCACTAATAGACCTATCACGAGGCCGCTACTGGGAGTTATACAGACAAGGAGGCTGGTCTGATTATTCCCAGATTTAAGGAGCCACAGAAGAGCCCAAAGCCTCATGAAAGTTGTTACAGGTAACGAAGGGCTTTAATAAGGTTCTTTTCTATAAGCAGTAATAAACTTACTTTGTACATTAAACTAGTCCTGCAAGAGAGGGAGACTTCAGTTGCCAGTGAGAAATACTGAAATAGCGTGGGAAAGGAGAAGCCTGCAGGAATAAGCTGGACAACACTGGCTTCATCCTAACGACCCATCTAGATGACTTTGAGGAAGACATCTAATGTTACGGGGTCCAGTTCCCTTGTTTGTAAAAAGAGAGAGTTGAGAAATCTTATCTTTCAAGGCCAATACAGATTAAACTGTCTATGTGGTTTATGATAAAGTTTGCATTATGTCTAGAATAAAGAAGAAGTCATGTCATATAAGCAGGCTGTAGTTTTGACTTTATTGAGGGTTAAGCCATGGTTCACACAATCATTCTGAGTGGAGTATCAAGATGTTATATGTTTTACCAGATCAAAAGCTGGATTAAGTAAAATATCAACTCTTCCTTATAAAATATTCTCACTTCCATCCACTTATACAGCTCTAAGAAAAGTACGGATGGGGGAGCAAGATGTCTTCTTTGAAAAAATCATCCATCTGAATCAGAACGAAGTGGATTAGGTACATACCATGATTTTATTACCTCCACTGTTTATCTAACTGGGAAATCCTTTTTTAAAAAATAATTTCTGTGGTAACTCTATTTGCCCTGTGACTTGGGATTTTATAACTTAATGAGTTGTGTTCATTTATATGTCATTTTCTTCCTGTTTAGAATCCTACTGTGATGGGAACACATTCCATCTCCTGATTTTAAGGCTATGGGAAGGAAGAGGCATTTCCTCGTGTGTACACATGGTGACACCTGAGGTCACTCCAGGAGAGCAAAACAAAACAAAAAATGAACAGAAATATAACAAAAAGTCCCCTCAGACCCAAGACCTCAAGTCTGGGAAGACTTCAGTAAATAATAATCCCATCCGGGGTCCTGCCAGGACAAGTGCAATAAAAACTGCAGCTATGAAGGGAAAACACAGACGGCTTGCTCATACTTCGTGAATAGTAAACAGACAAAACGCCACCCAGCCAAATGCAGTCCAGACACCGCAACAAGGTCACAGAGTGCGGGGAAGGTTGAAGAAGCCCTGAAATCCCTCTTTCTACTATCCTATCTCTGTTCCAAACAGAGAGATGACTACCAGGGGTCAGAAGAGCAGAGTCCCCATGTCTGTATCTCCATAGAGTTGGCCTTTCTCAAAAGGATTCTGAAAGTGACCCAGTCCTTCCAAACGGAAGACCAGGGCTAGAAGATCCTGCTTTCGTCCCATGGTATTTGCTCTGATTTGATCCTCATTGGAATGTGTTTATAAAGGGAAAAATGAATATATGTAAAGACCCTTGGGTTCTTTTACCAGGAGACCTGAGAGTTAGTGAGAGCTGCAGAAAAGGAGAGCTGTAGGTAATATGTGTAAGCCAGTTCAGTATCTGGGGTGGGCCAACCTTTCTGAAGCCCTGACTGTTTATCAAACTATCTACACTTTAATTCTTCTCTACTTTAGTCTAATTCATCTCTATTACACTTAAAACCATCTAATCTCATCTTGCCCTCTGTAGAAATAGCATAATAGTTTCTAACTCCTTTCCAATTAATATTCATGAAATATTCCCTTCCATTTCTGAAATCTGCCAACAAATAAATTTTATAGAATAAACCCCAACTTCCAGTTCCAGCAGGAATTTAAGATGGCTGTACTTTGGAGACCCATATGACATAGTACAGGGAGATTAAACAAGGCAATTTCTTTCAATGAATCAGTGGCAATGAGCATAGAGCACAAAGTTTGGCTTATAACATATCACAGATTCATGGAAAAGTTCCATCGTAGTTTGTGGATTCCCAAGGCACTGTCCCAGCCTCCAGATCATCAAGTTCCTGAACATGGATCAGCAGTTATGTGACATGAGGGACCCATGAAGGATTCAGTGATTTTGGAGTCACAATTCTGGTTCTGCTGAACATATCACTAAGACAGGCATCTCATTACATGTCTGCTCAACCATTATACAATTAAAATGTAATAATAAATATAGCCCTTGGAGCATTATTATGAAGTTCTTGCCTGCTACAAAAACAAATTTTAGTATGGGTTTCTTTTTTCTCTTTTGCTTTGTCCTCTAAACCCTGCCCTCCAATTTTTCCCACGGAAGAACAGCAAAGACAAAATAAAGCAAAGAATGTTCCAGAATGGTTTCCACTTACTCAGAATAAAGTTAAAGTCCTCTAATACCTAAAACATATATCTTCTTTACCCTACCCTTGAATCTTGATAAAACATGGCAATATCTGCTCTTAGAAAATATTACTTTCATGCCTAATTAGTGACATCTTTCTGACTCAATGATTAATTCACTTTTACCATGATGCTCCTTTTTTAAGATAAGTGAATAAGGCACAACAAAAACTGAGAACCTTTTCCAAGACCTCGGTTTCTTTTCAGCAGCCAAGCTGATCTGGCTGACTCTCAGACATGTGCCCAGGCTTGCTGTTCTGATACAAACATATAAGCATGACGTACACATGCACACACATACAGGTGCACACAGACACCTTGCCTACCTCATCAAATCCCATCTTGTCTGGATATTTAGGGACAACTGAGACAAACTGGGAAGGTTCCATTGGAGGACCGTCAACTGGAAGACACAAGAAACATGCAGAGTGCTTTGTTAGTGAGAGTTTCAGAGAACAGCATCCTATTCACAGCCTGACCTCTAGAAACACAACCTGCGTGGTCAGGGTAGGGAGTAACCGCTCAGTAGTTTTCTAGAATTAAGTGGCTACACAAGAACCCCAGTGGTCACCGTGCTGGTTTTGAGAGCACTTTTTTTATGCAGATTGCAGCATTTGCTCCATTTCCCTTAAGACCTATTTTTAAGAATATTTGGAGGGTAATTTTTAAAATTTTTATTGGGGTATAGTCAATTAACAACGCTGTGATAGTTTCAGGTGGACAGCAAAGAGACTCAGCCATACATATACATGTATCCATTATTCCCCCAAATCCCCTCCCATATAGGCTGCCATATAACATTGAGCAGAGTACCATGTGCCATACAGTAGGTCCTTGTTGGTTATCCATTTTAAATATAGCATGCATACCTGTCCATTCCAAACTTGGAAGGACATTCAGGGTAATGATTAAGGGTGAAGGCTCTTGGAGTCAGATGATGTGGCTCTAAACTTTGGTCTGTGAAGGTCTGGAGCAGATAGATGACCTCTCTAAGTTTGTTTCTTTCTTTGCGTGTACAATCACGATAATAAAAGTGCATATCTTGGAGTTTTATAAAATTTAAATGAGACCTACATGCAAAGCACTAACCACAGTAAATCAACACAGTAAATGCTCAATAACTTCCAGGTACTACTCAAAGTGACCCATGATGAAAGAACTCAGGAATAGGCTAGACTTTTTCTAAAGAATGCTTTTTTCCCTATACATTTAAAATTGTAAAACTCTGGGACTACTTTTTTTTTCTTCCATCCAGGCAGGTTTAATTATAGGTACTCAAAAGACCATTTATTTTAACCCAAACAGGCTCCTCTGTCTATGGAATTCTCCAGACAAGAATATTGGAGTGGGTTGCCATTTCCTTCTCCAGGGGATCTTCCTGATCCAGGGATCGAACATGCGTCTTCTGCATTGCAGATGGATTCTTTACCATCTGAGCCACCAGGGAAGCCCCTGACTAACACATACCTCCAAGGCTCAGGCCACATCCCAGAACTTGGTACAGGGCTTACAGGGAAGTTTCCAGATGGGAGGGTGTCGCATCTCAAGTGATAAAATTTTCTTTACTTCATATTTCAAAAAAGCTTTATTTAGAAAAGCTTATATGTACATTTTAAAGGTTGGAAGTAATATAGATTAAAGAGCCTGAGAAGGTCTTGAAGATTTTTGGTATGCACAAATTCAAAGTACTCACTTGGTTTTCCTTGAAGACATAATACAAGGAAAATGCTACATGAGAGCAGGTAAATGGGTTGTTTGAAGAACTATTGTTGATGGCCATTGTACTGTCCACCAATATCCATCCCCTCTATTTCAGGTATGTGAAAGGGGCTTTTTCACCTTGAGGTTAGTCATGGCCATCTGAGTTGCTGCTATTCATATCTACAAATTCTCCTCCCATGCTCCCTACTCAGCCCCATCACAATGATCTCAGTAGCCAATGTTGATATGGAGAACGCAAAAATTTGAAGCAGCCTAGAATGAGGTGCCAACACGTGGAAATGAGATTTCGGCATTCTCTATGAGATATCCCAGCATAACTTCTGCTGTCCTGATTGAGATACTGTCCAAACAGTATTTTTTGTTTCACTCAGCCTTTATTGGGATATTAAAGAGAAACCATGACATCCAGTTTCTCTTATGATCAAGTCATGTGAAACTGTAGAAACTAGTGAAACAGATTTCCTAAGCCAAATACAAGAGTTGATCTTATTATTTCAAACCTGACCCTTACCATTACATTTCTATGAGTACACAGTGAGTGTGTTTCTGTTTCCATTAGCAGCTCAGAATATTTTGGTTCTTCCTGCTCCACCCAACTCCATTAATTTCTTTTAAAATCAACAACTGTTGATTGGAGGGTCACCATGTACAGGGTTAGGTTTTACGAGCAAAATATCTTAACATACCAACTCCTTCCCGTTCATGTTGTTTGAGGAGCTGTCTAGCCCTCGCTCCCTGGGCCTTAGACTTGAGAGGAGGGTAAATTTTGGTCTCCCTGTTGGTCTCTGTTGGTCTCCATTTGGGTTGCCTGGTTTTAACATTTCAGCTGGAGTCTGCTTTTAGCCACTTTGCTTCCATCAAACATGGGTAGTCACTGTGTGCACAGGACAAGTATCCCCCCAAAAGCCACAAATGGCTGGTCCTGAAAGCCACCATTGAGCAGAAATATGAGACACAGGCCTGGGTTTTGTAGCTGAAGGCAGAGTTAAGCCATAGGGAAAAACAGGAGATGATATTAATTAGACCTAAAAGGTAACTATAAAAAAAAAAAAAGGTGACTATGTGGGGAGAAGGTATGCCTGTTTGCTGTCATCAGACACCCTAGCTTCTGTTCTGGGTCATTTCTGACTCCATCATCCATAGTTAATTTAGTCCCTCATTGAATCCCTTCCTATACATGTCCTCAGCATACTACCACCAGTGGGGATGTGCCTCATCGGTGCCTGAATTGTTTCAAGATTTAGGAATAACAATAATAGCTATTGGTATAGCTATCTTATTACCAACGGCACTCTGGGCTACACTCTTGATATATGTATTCACATTTATTTAATCTTCACAACATGTTCCACAGGACCTTGCTTCCCACCAAGAACACTGAGAGAGAAATTCACACTGTTATGTTGATTGAGTGACTTCAAAATTACAACTACAGATGTCAAATTGGCACTTGATACTGCCAAATGATGCAATTATGCTTCCACAGTAAACTTACTTTCCCACTCTCTGAGAGGTCTATCTTATGCCTTGTCCTCTCTCCTGAAATCTTCAACATCTCTCTTGAGCTAATGACTGGATCACATATGTAATGGAGAAAATGTTTAAAGCCCTGTTAGACCCATCTTTCCCTTCCACATCAAGTCTACAAGCCCAGCTGCCTCTCTGCCTACATACCCTGCCTTTCCGTCTGCTACACCATCCCTGTTCTATCTAGAACTTGTTTTCTCAATGGCCTTAAATTATCTTCTTTTCTACATCATTAAATTCTCCCTATGTTTTGGACTTTTCTCATTAGCATACAAACGAGTTAAAATCTGATCTTAAAAAAAAAAAAAACTTAAAAGACAAAACACAATGAAACGAGACAGGCTCTCCCTTGATTTTTCACTCTCTTACAGACACTACCCTAATTTCTCCATCTTCCATGCCAACAAGAGCCCACTTCCTCATCTCCCCACGGCTCTCTCTTCAGCCCACTCCAGTGACTTTTGTCCTCATCACTGCACTGAAGTAGTTCTTATCAAGGTTATCACAGATCTCTGTCTCCAGAGAACCAGTGATCAGTTCCCTATCCTCCTTTTACTTGACTTCTCAAAAGCAGCTGGTTCCTTCTTGAAACACTTCTCCATTTCTTCTTCCAGCTTTCTGGCTGTTTGTCTCCCCCAGGGATCTGTCCTCCACCCTGTCCTCTTTTTCTATGCTCTCTAGCCCAGCAAGTTCACACTGTTCCATGGCTTCGAATATCTTTCTATTGCTGATAACTCTCAAGTGTCTGTTTCCAACTGGAGTCTCTTCCCTGAAGTCTAGACTCACTTATTCAAATGTCTCCTAATCTCTCCATTCAGATGTCTAATATATATCTTAAGCTTACATGGCCACAACTTCCCTTCCAAGTCTTTCCCCATAAAGCCTCTCTGATTTCATTAAATGATACACTAGGCCAAACTCCTGGAGTCATCTTTGATTCCTTTCTTTCCTTCATGGGCTGCATCCAGGTCTCTGTAAGTCCTGTTGGCTCTACCCTCAAGATAAGTCCTAAATCCACCTGCTTGTCATCACCTCCCAGCTACAGTTTGCATTCCAACCACCATTATTTCTCACCAGGAGAGATATACTGGTCCCTTTACATGCCAGTATCCACACCACAGCATGAATGATTTATCTAAATACATAAAACACTTCATGTCACTCTCCCTCCCCCATCCAAATGGAATCCTATTACTCTTAGAATAAAATCTGAATCCCTTACTGTGGCCACAAGGCTCTGCATGGTCTAGAGAGGGTTGAGGACAGATTCCAGGGACCAGAGCAAGGGGACGGTTTAAGGATGATTCAAGAGCATTATATTGATTGTGCACTTTATTTCTATTACTATTATGTCAGCTCCACTGCAGATCATCGGGCATTAGATCCTGGAGGCTGGCGACTCCTGCTGTGGAGGAAAAGAAGAGAGGGCTCTGGCCAGCCTCTCTGAGCTGACATCTACTTGGAGTCAAGACAGATAGTCATACAATGGGGCTGATAAGGGAAGACACATCACCAAGCATTGAATGGAGTCCTAATAACAGGAACACTCTCAGTCTTATGGAGTTGATGTCTATTCTTTTATGTGCTCCTCTCAACCCTGCAAAGTCAGTGTTCTTATCCTTACTCCACAGATAAAGGAACTAAAGCTTTTAGAGGTTGTTCTTTCTGCCTACATGACAGAGCCTGAGTTCAAGTCTGTGAATCTAACTTCATGTTCAGAGCTCTTTGCGACACAGGTTTTATTCATTTGCTCATAGTTTCATTGTCTGGTCATGCATTCAGCAAATATTTGTCTGTTACCAATTATATATCAAGGACTGTGCTAGGTGTTTGAGATAAAAGGCAATAAGATACTGCCCTTGGCCTCTGGGTCTAGAACACAGAGGAGAGGCAGGCATACTGAAATTAAAGAAATTCACAAAAGAAATTCCTAAGGGCTGGTTCTAGAAATACTATGCCAGTGAACCAACTGATGATTCAAATCTCATTCCCCCTACGAATACTGGTTCCCCACCCCCCCCCCACATACATTATCTCTATCACTCTCTGTACTTATAGAAAATAGTAGTGAGCTCTTCTTTCTTTTAGAAAACTCAGGGGTATTGAGACTAGGAAAGACCAAATGGCTTGCAAATGATCATGTGCATCAGCAGCAAAGGCTGTAATGCGTGGGTGCTTTGCTCCCCATCCCAAGTATAGTCTATGGTCAGGCCTTGCTCATTACCACCAATATGACCCTGCTATGCTGGGCTGACTGATGTTTTGCAAACACAGTCCTGTGTAAATACAGTAGGAGACCTTGCTATTTAAAGGGATATTCTGATGAATCTTTATAATTATTATTGTCCTTCTTACCTTCTGGTCCTAACTATGTTTCTTAAAAGAAACATTTCTGTTCTTCTCTGTGTCCTTGATTTTTAACTACTTCTCAACCACTTTAAATTCTGAGCCAGCCTTTTCTGAAACCATCATTTTTATGGAAATTAGCTGAAAAAACTCATTGGACTCTTTTTCAGTCCTTATCTCAGTTGAACTTCCTTCTATATCTCATGTTCCTGTTTTCCTAAAATTCTATGATATCACATTATCTTGTTGATGAATCCCAGCTTAACATCTTTAGACTTGATAGAACTTAAGTGTCAGATTCATCTCTCCATCTATCCACTGGGCAGTTTATTCATTTATTCAACAAAGATTTGCTGGGTACCTCCTAGGCAGCAGGGGTGGGTTATGTCTTGAGACTAACATGAAACAATGAATTTATTGCCTGGGGGTGAGGAGCGGGAAACAGATATTCACAGGCCACTCAAGGTTTTAAAATGAACTCATGCTTTTTCTTTGTATATGTCTTCTTAAATCTACATGTGTTTAACATTCCTACAGTCATTCCAGACACTCAAGTCAGAACTTAAAAGTTTCCCTCGGTCCCTCTTCTGCTCATCCACAAACCTTTGGCTAAGTCTTTTCAAGTCTATGTCATAAGGTTCATCTGTACTCTCACTGCTCCTGCCTGAGCTCAGATCCTCACCACCTTCTGCCTAGTTTACCATGTAATATCCAAAATGGTCTCTTCGCTCTGACCCGAGTCCAGCATCCAGTGCCCTAGGCTGCAGCTATACATCTTTTACCAAGAGAGTGACCTTTCTAAATTCAGATTTTAACCTGACGTTTCACTGCTAAAATCTCTTTAAAAGCTCCCTTCCCTTCAGGAAAAGTCCAGACACCTTCTTATACGTTAGAGATCTTTCTAACTGAGCTCCTGCCCACCTTCCAGCCCTGCTTTCCACTGTGCCTCCCAGTCACACCCACTGCCCACATACCCACATCCCACACGCTAGTGATGAATAACAGAGTTTCCCAGCTACTGCGTGAAGATTCAGTGCAAATGTTCCCTCCTCTGCATAGCCATTTCCAAGATCCTCCCCCAGGCAGAGTATATTTGTTACTTTCTCCTTTAAACACCGCTGCACATTATACATAATAATTAGTGGAGGCCCTCATTATGGAGCATTTACCAGTTCTGACATCATGCCAGACTCAGAGGCAATATGATACAGTGTTTAAGAACCTGAGTTTTAGAGATAGCACTATTGGTTCAAATCCCAATCTGTCATTTATTTAGCAGAATGATCTAGAATAAGATACTTACATGTGCTACATCCCAATTTTTTCATCTTTAATAGGAGGATAATAAAACCCTTTTCATTGAATTATTATAAGGATTGAGACAAAGTACAAAAAATGTTTATCATGATCTCTGCTACATCAAAAGCTATTATTAAGTTGAAGTTGTAACTACTGTTTTTGTTAGTATACTTTTTATATATATCATGGAGAATTGGCCCCCTAATCCCAGATGTTTTATCTTCATTTCACAACTAAGGAGGTTAGATTACTTGCCTAAAGTCATATACTTAGAAAGCAGCAAAATCAGTTTAAATCCATACCACAAAACACTATGATAGCCATTATAACATGGTATGAAATGGATTTACTGTATACCCAGCTCTCCACCTGGATGGGAAGCTCCCAGGGGGCAAAGTTCCCTGGGGGCAAAGACACATTTCCATATTTGTAATTCACATAAGGAGAAGTTTGAAATGAATGGACAAATGAACAGCTATGTTTCAACCAAGGCAGACTATGAGAGTCCAGTCCTGGGAGAGCAGAGATGCAGCTGATATGGACATGGGGGCAACAGAACACAAGCCGCGGCTACCACCAGGCCCCAGGTCACTCACTCATTGCTTCTATCTGCACGTGGATGAGGTTCTCGATGTCCTCCTCCAGGGTCTGATGGGGCTTCAGGGGGATGGGCAGGTAGCCGTAGTGCTCTCTGTTGCAGAGGTACATCTGGATGCCTGAGGACACAAGAGAGGGACAAAAGCGGCCAATCAGAAAACACACGTCTGGGGCTTCCCTGGTGCCTCAGGGGGAAAGAACCCACCACCTGCCAGTGCAGGAGACACGGGTTCGATCCCTGGGTGGGGAAGATCCTACATGTCACGCAACAACTAAATCTGTGCACCCCAACTACTGAGTCCACACTCTAGAGCCCGAGTGCTGCAACTACTGAAGCCCACGTGCTTAGAGCCTGTGCTCTGCGACAAGAGAAGCCACCACAATGAGAAGACCACACACTGCAAAGAGTAGATCCCACTCACCACGATTAGAGAAAAGCCTCAACAGCAATGAAGATCCAGCAAAGCCAAAAATAAACAAATAAATAAAATTTAAAAAAGAAAATACACATTTTCATTCTACAATGACCATTAAGGAAAAGGAGACCAGACTGTTTGGCACTGAAATTGAACAAGTAGTTGTTTCGGGCAGGGTATGCAGACCTCAAAAATGTTCCTTTATTAAGAAAGTATAACACAGTATTGGAGGCAAGATAAAAAACCTGGGCCACTCTTCAGCTCAGAGGAAATTGATTTTTTCTCTCTGAAGAGAAAGCATCCTCATGGCCCGGAAGGAACACTAAAGGCACAAAGGGATCAAAAAGGAGGCAAGGAATTCCTGTTCCAGAGAACAGAATGGAACACTGTAATCCATCCACAGGAAATAAAGAGAAGACGAGGAATAAAAGCCACATTTGATATGAAAGCAAACAGGAAAATCCCATAAGGCTGACAGATTATTAAAGCTAACTCTAGGCATATGCAGAACAAAAAATAAAAAACAAAGGAAACTTAAAATTTTCCATGCGTCTCCATGGCTTGATTTCTCCTCTTAGCCCACATGGACTTGGGAGTTGACCAACAGATATGAAACTTCCGTAAAAGAGTCAGCAAGGGACAAAAGGAAGCCTGCATTTCAAGACCTGGTAAGAACCTGTAGTATGACAATACCAGGGTCATGGCACAGCCCTCTTGTTTTCAACACCTGTCTTCGCTGCCCCAGCTGGCTAACTCCAAGAGTTACACAGAATCTTGGTTCAACCAGGGAGCTGGGGATATTGGAATCAAAAGGGCCTCAGAGAGATTCAGCAACTGACCGTCCTGACAAATGAAAAGATTGCTTAAGTAAAGAGATGAACCTGCCAAGCTCTGGTCCATGTGTCCAAGCTTCTGATTTGTTAATATCTATAATCACCTATACTTTCCAGACAGAGAATTACCTGCATAGAGACTTCTCTGTTTTGTGCAGATGACATTTCCTCCAGTCAGCTACATCACCTGTCAAATCAGGTGAGGCCGTCTCACAGCATTAGCAGGGAAGAACAAAAAAAGAAAAGAGTCTTTCTCCTCCCCATGACTGAACCTGGTTCCCATCAAGGCTGGACCAGTAAGCCCTGTCACTTCTCTTGCTTTCACCAGGAGAATTCACTAGTGCTACTGTTTGCTGACACGAATGTTTCTGAGAAACTTCAAACTCAAATGGACCCACTTGCAAAGCTATGATGAATTCAGGAAACAGGAGGGAAATGATTTAATGTTTAGGTTGCCTCTCGACCCTAATTAGGGAAATAATTTTACCATTCAACTTTCCAGCTTTGGTTATAAAGGAGAGATGGGACCTAGCCAAGCTATCCATCAAGTGTGAGGAGGCAAGACAGGCAGTTTCAGACACGCAAGGTCATAGATATTTACTTGCCATCACACTTCCTCAGACAGTGGCTGGATGATGTGGAAGAAGGAGAAGAAAGAGGAGTAGGGGGAGGAAGGAGAAGGATTATAAAAAAAAGAAGATGATGATGACGAAGGACATAGTGAACAGGAGAACCAGTAAGAGAAGACGAGAGAGTTGCAGGTCCATGACTGTGGCTCGTCTCAGATTGGGGAACATTAGGGAGCTCCAGGAGAATGTTCACACACACGCACAAAGAAAGTCTGCTGAAATCTGACCACTCTGAGAGGTGTTCTAGACAATTAGGGATTGGCTTTGGGTTGTATTAGCAATAATAAAACTAAGCAAATAAAAAAGGCAATTGTTAAAGTCAGATATGAAAGGAAAACTACCCACAGTCAATAAATGGAATTTGGTTCCCATGATTATAAGAACCAAAACACTGACCATAGCTCTATCAGTACCACACAGCTATCAAGAGAACGGGGCCAGACTTCCCTGGTGATCCAGTGGTTGAGAGTCCCCCTGCCAATGCGGGGGACATGAATTCAATCCCTAATCCAGGAAGATCCCACATGCCACGGGGCAACTAATCCCATGCACCATAACTACTGAGCCCACACCCTACAGCCCAAGCTCCACAACAAGGGAAGCCATGGAGATGAGAAGTCGGCACACAGCAACTGGAGAGTAGTCCCCAGCTCGCCCCAACTAGAGAAAGCCCATGTGCAGCAACAAAGACCCAGCACAGCCAAAAATAAATAGTAACAACACAAAGAGGACAGAGTGATGGGAAGAATGCTTTTGCACAGAGAGGGCAGAGGGAGGGGACAAAACTAACTCCTCTTCAGTAGTAGAGTCAATTTGCATGCATGCCCAGTCATGTCTGGCTCTTTGTGACCCCATGGACTGGAGCCTTCCAGGCTCCTCTGTCCATGGAATTTTCTAGGCAAGAATACTGGAGTGAGTTTCCATTTTCTATTCCAGGGGATCTTCCCGACCCAGGGATTGAACCCATGTCTCCTGAGTTTCCTGCATTGGCAGGCAATTTTTTTTTAACTGCTGTGTCACCTGGGAAGCCCAGTAGAGTCAACAGGCACGGACTAAAGCAAAAACAGAAATTTGATAAGTAGCATTACAGGAGCTCCCTGGTGGTTCAGCAGTTAGGACATTGGGGTCTCATCTCACTGCTGAGGGCCTGGGTTCAATCCTTGGTCAGGGCAACTAAGATTCCACAAGCCGTGCAGCATAGCCAAAACCCCCAGAAGCTTCATTATAAGCATGCTATTTAGAAAGCTAGATGTGACTCTTACACTTGTACCACCACCTGAAAGAGTTGAAAAGTGTTGGTCTTCTAAAAGGGGGAAATGGCACAGGATGGTGACTGCTAATTTTATAATAAACCAAGGGGGACTATTTGAACTTGATGAGACCATGTGCCTGTATAGTTGGATAAGAATACAAAAATTTGAAAAGGAAAATGTGCTGATAATTACATAAAATCTATAAAACAATCTGGTATTCTCAGGTGAAAGTTACTTCTGGGGCAAACAATCTTCTCCTAGGAAATAATGGTGAGAGATACTACATATTGAAGGCCTATACTTCTCTTAGGAAGGTAGCAAACATTTTCTTGCACTCATATAGTATGTTAATGTTGCAAGATTGATTTACCTACCTTTATCCTTGGTGATGGAAACAGAGTCTGAGAACCTGTGCTCTCCCCAAGGTCACCACATAACTCATGAATGCCAAATCTCTGTCCCTAAAAAGCCAATGCCAAGTATCTCTCCACGTGCCCAGGGTCTGGAAGCCAAGTCGCAGAACCAGTAGTCAGAACCAGTCTCAGAATCAGAACTCTGGACTTCCATCCCTGCACACAGGAGGCCCTTTTGCTCACTGCCCATGATGTGCAGGAGCAGCTCTGCCTGCCCATCACCCACATCTCTTGCCTCTCTGACTCTCAGCAGACATACGGTGGATGACTGGCTGGCGCCAAAGATGGTTACTGTGGCCACGATACACAGCCCAGCTCACTGGCCACAGCGGGAGGTGAACTCCCGACCCTGGTTTCATAGGAGCCACAGAGACTTGCCCATGACCCCTGTGCTCTCTTCTTGGGCTGGATGGGCAGCCACACTCCAGCACCCTTGGACTGCTCTTCTCTTTCATCATCCACGTTTGGCAATGTCTGGAGTCGGAGGTGAGAGATTAAGGTTCAAGGTTTGTGGTTAGATGGTCCTGCCTGGGACATGTGGACCTTCTCTTTCCTTCTGGACATTTACAAAATGATACTCCAATGGATGATCCATAGCTGGGGAGCTTCATAAGAGTGAGAACAAAAGAATATATATCATCTTTCATCTTATTCTTTCAAGAGAGAAGGAAAGTGTTTTGCTTTGAACATAAGAGGGAAAGAGCTTAGAGACACTCCACGGACTGTGCAGGACTTGAGGCTCATTTAAATCTCATCTAAAAATACTCCAAGCTGAGTAAAAGTGCTACCTTAGAACCACATGACTGTCAGGAAATCTCTGTCATTCTCCCAAATGACAGTCATTCTTTCATGTCTTGACTCCTGCGCTGTTCACAGTTTATACCACTAATCTGACCCTCAGCTTTCACTGCTTCATAACTATTACTTATGTTTCCTCATGTAAAGATCTTACCTTCCTTAGCTGTCACAGAGTCTAACACAATGCTAGATAGAGCAGGAAAGCCTAGAGGACTGATCCTCTCCCCTTGATTTTCTGCCTCTCCTCTCCCCTTGCTTTTCTGCCTCTCCTCTCCCCACCTGAATCACCCAACAGTTCTGCACCTCTGCACCTGCTTTCAATGTCCTGGGTAGGCCCATGGGAATCTGACCAATAAAGCATGAAATCCAAGTGAACAGGCCAAGCAAGGGACATAGCTGAAAAATTCCTATCCAGCCTGGTGTAATTCTTCCAGCTCCAAATCCAATTCTTGGTTTAAAAGATATATCATAATAATTTAGTGCCAGGGTCACAATAATGCCTTGTGCAATGTTTATCAAGGAGGCCTTTGTTAGGCATGGATCGTTATTGTAATTGTTAATAGCTCACTTTCTTGAAACATCCTTACTTTAAGCTCTTAAGCCAAGGCACTGGCACAAGTTGAAGGATTGGGAAGGCCTTGAGTTTGCTTCCATCCTGGAGAAAGCAGAGCCAATCGCAGGCCATGTGGAAAGAAGCAGTTACCATTAACCTTGACACAAGGATTTTCACAAAACCCTCCAATCTACATGAGGATAAGAACCTTGCTTTTTTGCCCTGACACAGTCCTAAAAAGTGTCTGTACCTGGCCAAAGAGTCTAAATGGCTCTAGCAGGCAAGGGGAAAAAAGCCAGCATTCCACATTTCCACCAAATATTCTCATTTCTACCAAATTTACAACTGATGAGTGGGACACCTATGGCTTCCAGAATGGCCTGATGTGAGCTGTAACTTGAATCTATATTAATATTCTCACCTGCTAGCAACCTGCCTCAATCACCTGTGGTCTGTAGATGATCCCATCCACCTTGACTGTATGGCCACATGAATTTATACACCATTCTCCTGGTTTCTAAACTCACAGTTCCAAGTGGTTAAGTGACACATTTCTGGCTCATTGATAATGGGACCTGCCCTCTGTCAGGAAGGTTTGAATGATCCTTAGAAAGCTTTGCTTTTGGGATATCATGTATCTTTGTGTTGTCCTGCTTTAGTGAACTATATCCTCTCTGATTGCTTGTGCAAGTGACATAAAGGTAATAACTTATTTTCCTACTGACTTTTCTTCCTCAAAAGTCTACAAAGGTTCATGAAAGAGTTAAGTATGGCTTTGTTTTTCCTTTCATGAGGACTGTGGGACAGACAGCTAGCTGCCTCCCAAAATCTATCTTCTCCTTCTTATAGAGAGAGAACTGGGGCTCTAGACTGCACAGAATAAAGACAATATTCTGAGCCTCCCTTACAGCTAGCTGTTGTCTGATGACTAAATCTGGCTACTGGGCTATGCAAGGTAGTGATGTGTTCAACTTCTAGATGGTACCTTTAAAGGACAGCAGAGTGCCCTCCCCTCTCTGGTTTTCAGTTGATGACTGAAATATTACATCCATAATGATGAGACATCTTGGATCATATGATTAAGGGGTTAATACTTCACGGAGAGCAGAGAAACAATATAGAAGGAGCCTTGGTCTCTGAAAACTTTGTGGAACACAGTCACTATACTAGCTCACTTATTTGAGAAGAAATAAACATTTTTAAAGCCTGGGTCTTTCTAGTGCAGTTCTGGATCTCTGTCACAGTTTTCTAATTAATAAAAGGACTTCTTTAATGAGCAGAGAATGCAATAGCACCTTTAAGAGCCAATCACTTGCCTATGGCCACCACCACCACCACATTTTTTTTTTAAAGAGAGAGTAGATTCTTGGGTAGGGGTGAGCTCTGGCTTTTGGTCATTGGAGCTCATACAGACAGCAACCCAGAGGGTGCTGGTACGGTTACTGCAGAAACCTCTAACACTACCTCAGTACTTAGAGAGTTTTATTATAAAATGCACAAAACAAAGGAGCTGGTCATTTGTCTCCATGGTGGCAATACAACATGCATCCAAACAGTACCTGCTTGCCTGCTGGAGAAGGCAAAGACGATGATGTCATCAAAGGTCCAGGTGTAGTCCTGGTGTGGGGGATAGAACACCAGCTTGTCAGAGGCTTCCTTCCTGAGGTCAATTAGGAATGTGGAGTGGACCATGGGGACCGGAAAGCAGCCCAACCTCTTCCATTCTCTAATCTGAAGATAGTCTGGGGTCCGTTTATAGAAGCCCTGGAAAGAGCAGATGGGTGGGTTATTTCCTCTGATCTGAGGGCTTCCCCTTTCCCAACCTTCCATTAGGTGGACTCCTAATGGACACCAGTACCAGTCCTGGAGCAAAGTCACCTTCTCTCTTTTTATCTTGGTCTAAGGATTTCCAACTGAGCTTAAGAAATGCTGCTTACATTAAAAAAAAAAATCCTAAAAGGGTCTTATTATTAGAAACAGTTTGGTTTCAGCACATCTCTTCATTTAACAGTTTCATAAGAGTATACTTTATGTATATGACATCACTGAATGCATATATGACATCATTGAATATATATATGTGACGTCATTGAATATGACATGTGAGCAGTCAGAGGTGGTTGAGCAGAGCAGTGGAAAGCACATGCTCTGGGATCTGACTGCCTAAGTTCAAGTCCTGCCTCAGCTACTTATTGCATGTAGGTGTTGGTCAGGCCACTCAGACTTACTGTGTCTATTTCCTCATTGTGAAATAGGAATGATGGCACTATCTATTCCATGGGGGTTCTCTGTCAAGTAAGGAAAAACCTGAAAAATGCTTAGAATAGTGCCCAGCACCAAGAGAGTATTGATAAATATTGGCTATTATTAAAATTACATTACATTGGCTGATTTAAAAAATTTTTAATTCGAATATAATTGCTTTACAATGTTGTGTTGGTTTCTGTCGTGCAACAACATGAATCAGCTGGGTGTTGTGTGTTAGTCACTCAGTCGTGTCCAACTCTTTTTTGGACTGTGGCTGGCCAAGCTCCTCAGTCCACGGAATTTTCCAGACAAGAATACTGGAGGGGGTTGTTATTTCCTTCTCTAGGGTGAATCAACTCTATGGATACATATGTCCCCTCCCTCTTGAGCCTCCCTCCCTCCCCATCCCACCCCTCGAGGTCATCGCAGAGCACAGAGCTGAGCTCCCGTTCTATACAGCAGCTTCCCACTGGCTCTCTATTTCACACACGGTAGCGCATATATGTCAATGCTGCTCTCCCAATTCGTCTCCCCGTTCCTTCCCACCATGCCCACAAGTCTGTTCTTTACATCTGTGTCTCTACTTCAGCCTTGCAAATAGGTTCATCAGTAGAATTTTTCCAGATCCCATACATATGCAATACTGAGTATTAATATATAGTATTTGTTTTCCTCTTTCTGACTTGTTGTTTAGTTGCTGTCATGTCCAGCTCTTTTGCAAGCCCATGGACTGCAGCCCACGAGGCTCCTCTGTTCATGAGATCTCCCAGGCAAGAATACTGGAGTGGGTTGCCATTCCCTTCTCCAGGGGATCTTCCCAACCCAGGAATCAAACCAGCATCTCCTGCACTGCAGGTGGATTCTTTACCGCTGAGCCACCAGGGAAGCCCTCCTTTCTGACTTACTTCAGTCTGTACTTTTAACTAAACATGCAGTACTTAAACATATAAATGGGGCCTTCTTTCAATGCAATTATTTATTCACTATTCTGGTGGAGCTGTCACTGCTGCATGCTTTTGGGGGATTCCTCTTTGAAAGTTCCCTCCGGGCAAGTACATAGGATGACCAATGCCCTTACTCTGTGGTTCTGAACACACTAGTTTGGAGTAACCCAGCTTGCTTTCCCTCCAAGCTCAACTGTTCATTCAACAAACATCTCCTGAAAGCCTACCGCAATCCAAGCTGTGTGAGATGTTGGAGACATAGCAGTAAGTCGACAATCCCAGCTTCAGCCCATACAGGTGCAGAATCCACTGGAGCTCTACACTCCAGTGGCACCAGTGATGTAAACTGACTATTGTGAAAGCTCAAATCCATTCCAAAGAAGATGAAGATGTGTCTTGACGAAATATACTTTAAAGCATGTAGAAGCTTGGAAAGGCATTTAAAAATACATTTTAGGCAACAGCAGGCTCGTGGAATGAGTGTAAAACTTCACAGGAGCAGCACTCTGAAGGGCATGATACCCATTACTTGCACAAGTTCTCGCATACTCCTTCATCAGTCACATTACTTGGGGGTCACACTATCTGCAGTGGCGTCAGTACCCACATGGGAGGCACTGCAGCCTCTTCGTCATTTCTTTCAGTGCCCAGACTGGTGTTCTAGTCCAGCTAATGCTCACACTGACCACGTGATAAGGTAGAAGGATCACAAATGAAGCCTCAGAAGATACGTGTCTTAGCATCATCGTAACCACCTAGCTGATCAATCTTACCCCATGCTTCACCTCTTCAAGCCTAAGTTTCTCCTCCTGAAAAGAGGGGGTAAAAACCAATCTGTTGATCTCCCAGGGTTGTAGAAGGGATCACATGTGATCCGGTCTATGAAGATACCTTGGAAACTGTAATGCATTAGGTGAAGGATTATTATTTCCACAATTTTTTATTAGCCTTTAACAAAGATTACTTAACATCTTACTAGTATTCTTACTAGTATTACTAGTATTCTTCCAAGGGATAGAAGAATTCTTCCAAGGGATAAAGGGAAAACTGGTTCGTTAGAGGAACTGCCTAAGAACACACACCAAATACAAAGTTCTAGACTACTTAGGAACAATATTCTCAGACTGAGGAGCTTGGAAAATTCATGAGGATGAATCACGGAATACCCCGGGGACAGGGAGGAAGGAAGCAGAGAAGGAAGGGGAGAAGGAGACTTCATATGCTTTCTGCAGAGAGGTGGAGGCAACAGATGCGTCTCTTTTTCCACATAAACTGAATATTGTTGGTAATCATTCCCACTCAGTGGCCAGACACAACCGAGGTCATGTTGTTTTGAATGTGTTTAAAGGCACTGGACACCGAGGCCTGACTTAAGCTTATGAAGTCACTGGCTGTTTCTGTTCCTGACCTCGCAGAAGCCTGACTGAAGACGGCAGAAAGCCAGAAATAGACATGAATAAGAATTTCCCTAAAATTGCCTAGATTTTACTTTCACCGTGCAAAGTAAGTGAGCTTTTAATATTAAAGCAAATAAGACAACAGAAACCGGAAGGCCACAGTTATGAGGATAATCCACTCTCAATGCTGGTGTCAGTGCATTACTCATTAAAAACACCCTAGAGTGATGCTGCCATGTTAAGTGCTGCAGATTATTAACTGAGAAAGTATGAACTTAAATTCAATATAATATCTTCTCTTTAAGGAACTGATTGGCTTTTCTAAGTATGAACTTAATGTGTCTCTGAAAGAGATGTGGATAACATACACTCAAAATCCCTTGGAACTGCAGGAAATATTTGTAACAAAAGAACAATGCCCACTCTAGTTGTGTGCAAGAGCCAAGGACTTAAATTTTCAGGGAGTTTGCAAGGCAGTTGTCATGTTGGTAGTTTAAAATCTGCAGAAACAAACATCATGCTAATACCCACCATTCTAAGTAGACCATGAACAGCAAGCTTTGCATGTGCTTAATAATTATATCACGTGACTGTACTTCAATTTACTTAACCTTCCCCTCAGCTTAAACAATATTTGCACGGTGGGAGTACTGACACCATGAAAACTGGCAAAGGCTAGCAATCAGGGGTTTTCCCTACAGAGAGCCACCACTAAGTATTTACCAGCACACCATTAGCCTCTTTCTTCATCCATAACCAAACCAAATATAAAACAGGGACTGAAAATTTAGCTCTTTGAGCATGAGAACACACCTAATATACACTTTTTCCCTTAGAGCATCTTTAGCCTACATTGATATATATTACATTTATCAGTTTCTCTCTCTTAATTTATTAACTAAAGAATCAGAAATACAATCAGCCATAAACATTCACTGCAACACCTCTCTAACTAGACTTCGAAGATTTTTACAATGGAAAAGAGAGATGATGGAAATTTAAAATATTGTTTTTAACTTAAATTTTGTAAAAACATCTACCACAGTAGTTCCAATTATTCAATTTCTTTGGAAATAAATTTGGCAGCATATCAAGGGTCATTAAAGTATTTAATACTCTTTAACTCACTAATTCCACTTCTTAGAAGTTGTCCCAAGGAAATAATATTAAATGTGGAAAATTTTATGTTAATCATGATGGTTATTATAACAGTTAAAAGTTGCAAATAACTTGAATGTTTTTAAACTAAAAGAAAGGCTAAGTAAATTGCATAATAGCCACTTGATGATATAGTTAAAAACATGTAATCTGTTATCTATGATGTTAGAATGGGAGCAATTAACATGATGTTTTTTAAAAAACTTTTTTTCTATTTCCAGTTTTTTACAGTGTTCTCATGTGAGTTTTAACGACCAAAAATATTTAACTTTTTGAAAATCTCTGAATCAGGGAGAAGTACAAATCCCAGTAAGCGTTACTGGTTAATTTAAAGCTTCTAATCCTAAACTCATTAGAATAATGTCTTCACAATTCATTAATACAGAAGAGCTCTTTGGGTTCGGGCATTGGACATGGATTTACCGCCTTTCCTGAAAATCCTTGCTCTAGTAACACAATGATATGTGTGTTTCAAAGGAGAAAATCAGAAAAGGATTCACGGGGCTACTGTTGACAGGTGACTGCCTTGTTAAACCTTAATTTGTTAACCAGCAGACTTGCCTGAGGTGTGATTCCGCACCAGAAATTAGAGTACAAACCCCGGGACTCCAGCATGGGCGCCACAACGGTTCTGTTTTCTGCGATCAGTAGATTGAGGGTCTGCGGATTAGTCAGGAAGTTGTCAACATCTATAAACTAGGAAAAGAAAAGGACAACATCAGATGAAAAGGCACTTTTCAGTAATGGGTCTAAGAGTAACCTAACACTTGCCAAGGGATCATGGAAACTTGCCCATGACATACAGAACCAGCTATCCATGGTTTTGTTATGGAAACCCCTTGGGGCTGAATGGCTTTCATTCAGGCAAAATGCATCCAGTCTAACTTCCACATGTTTAGCTACGCATAGGCATCAAGCAATGAACTGGTGTTATCGTTGGGCAAATACTAGACTGGAACTCAATGACACCTTGATAAGTATAAGATACGAATGGGTCTCAAGCCCTTAAAAGATTTGTTTGCATTTATTGTGTGCTCATTCTAAGTGTAAATGAACAGACCTACTTAGGTTGTCTATAGTAATGTCAAACTGGCCCCAAGTGAATCCATGAATGCTCTCTTAATGCTGCAATTACATTTGTTTGTTTGTTTAAAGTATATTATATAGTAGTGAAGCTATTTCCCATTCTCATCAGAAATCCGTGTTAACACATTCACTTACAGGGACAGTGTAACTGTTTCTATTATATAAAATAATCACTCTGAGTTGTACACTTTAAAAATTAAGATGGTAGAGTTTATGTTATGTATATTTCCCCACACACAGAAAGCAAAACCTCAGATGCTTTCATTCCTTTGATAGTCAATCTCTTCACCCAAAATTTTGTGGCTCAGCACTTGTACACTTCAAAGACATTTAAACAGCTATGCTACGTTAAATATCAGCACAACTGCAAATTCTATGAAATTATCCATATTGAAAGTGGAAGTGCGATAAACTACTGGGCTGATTTCTGTTGTGATTGAGAGGCTGAAGGAGGTCAAAAGTGTTCCCTTTAGGAGTCAGAGAACAGACGTCCATTAGTTTTATGAAACATCACTGCCTTTGTTTCATTGGTCGTATTTCTAGTGTTGTATTGAAAAAGGCTTGCCAAAAGAATTAAATGGATTTGTGGGGGTGAGCAAAGAGGAAGAACTTGGTTGCCATAAACTTGTGGGGAAAGAAGACTCTGTCAGTTTTCAAATGAGAGCAGGGACCGCAGCTCCTTACTGCTCAGGGACCTGTCCTTTCCAACGGAGACCCAGGTTCCTGGAACACCAGGATGGGATAGAACATGGATTCCTAATCATCAAGGCCAGCATGTTTCTGGACCACTCTGGAAGTTCTAAGGAAAGTAATGGCACCTCTTCATGGAGAGAAATTCTCCACGAGGGTCCAGCATAATTAGGAGCAACTAGGAATCCAAGCAAGAGGTGCTGGTCCCCAGACACCCAGGAGCCAAAAGGAACAGCATTTCAGAGCTGTTAATTTGACTATTTTTATGTAATTAATTTCTCATATCCCCGAAACTCTTCTAAAAAGTTAAGACCTTTAAAAAAAAATTTTTTTTTAATGTATTTATTTGGCTGTGCCGGGTCTTAGCTGCGGTGTGTGGATCCTTGATCTTTGTTGTGGCATGCAGGCATGCAGGGTCTTTAGCGAGATCTAGTTGACCTTCATGCTGCAGCGATCAAACCCGGGCCTCCTGCATTGAGAGCTCAGAGTCTTAGCCCCTGGACCACCAGGGAAGTCCCGAGAAGTTAAGACCTTTTATATTGCTTTACCCACAGCATTCCCTCTGAACTAGAAAGATTTAGGGTTTTTCATGTTTACTACAATAAAGAGATAGAATAATTCAGGGGCTTATTTGCTAACTCACTAAAAATGCATGTGAGGAATGGGTCTGAGATGAAATCCAGGTCCCCCAATATTAAGTTCTCCAGATTCTTTCTTGTGCCTTTATTAGAACATTGAGGAGGAGAGGCCTAAAAAAGGACATTTGATTGCTTCCACAGTCTTAAGATTATCGATAATTGATTTGGACACATTCTAGATAACAGTTGTCAAGAAATTAAACATCTGTTTTTACCAGAATGTAGTCTGACCATTTTTCCCTCGCAGTTCGAAGGGCTGCCTGTCGTAGTTTCATCACGTGGGCAAAACGGGAGGCAGGCCAGTGCTTTGGTCCAATTTCATCAGGGTAAGACCTATAATAATAATTGTGATGATGATGATGGCTAATAATTATTGAGTGCTTATATATTGAAGGCACTATGTACTAATCCATTTTATCTTCCAGTAGTAACCCTAGGAAATCGATGCTATTATGGTTATCATTATCCCCTTATTACACGTAAGAAATCGGAGCAAGGAGAGATTAAGTAATTTGCTGCTTCCCATACACAGGAATCTTTATATGAAACACTAGGCTGGCGAAAAAGTTCGTTTGGGTTTTTCTGTACATCTTATGGAAAGACCCGAATGAACTTTTTGGTTGACCCAATATTTCAGCTCATTAGAATTCACTATCTTTATGATGTAAGTGCTACCACTCTCCCCTCTTCACAGCCGAGGAAATTGCTCAGAGTGGTTAAGTCATTTCCTTAACATTACGCCATTAATAAGGGCTATAGCCAGAATTTGAATCTAGGCATAACCCCAAAGCTCATATTCCTAGACACTTTCTCATACATTCAGCCATCAGATAATGTTACAGCCACTTGAAAATGTTACAGCATCAAATTAGGAGCTTCCCGGGAAAAGCAAAGGTTTCTTTTCTGTGGTCAAGTCTCCGTAAAGGACTCTACAGAGTCCAACATGTTGATCTCCCCCGGATGGAGTGAGATCAGGGAGCAAATACACAAGGCTGGAATGTCTCTCAACACCCGTAAGGTCGCCAGGACTCATCCACGGACATGGAGGCAGCTGGGCTGGCTCACCCTTAAGAAACTTTCTGAAAGCTCCCACCTGGTACGGACATTGATAAAGTCACAGGGGCCCCAAACTGGCCACCACTTCAGGTCCTTGTAGCTGCGTACTGGCAGGACATTTGCCTCAGTAAAAGAGAAACCACAAAAATGAGACCATAACCATACAAATAAGATGAAAAAAAACTGTTTATTACACAGGAAGTCTTTGAAATGTTTTCCCCAACCATTTCTACAAAAATCAGTGGAATTCCTGTTTTTTTTTCTTTTTCTGAATATGTTGCCCCTAAAAAATACCTTCTCTGATATTTCTCACACTGACCTTGGCATGCAATATATTAGTCAAAATCTGGCTATGGAGAAAATTACCAGGATGCAGGAGAGGTACATAGAGTTTTTCTGGGCCACTCTAACTGGGCTAAATTCCATTATAAGTAACTCCAAAAAAGTTCACAGTGTCCACATTTGATTGTTAAGGTTTGCTCCATCTATAGACCATGTGCTGAGATTGAGATATATATGTAGATACATATATATGTACATGTAATAAAAAATATTATACAGTGAGAGACTAAAAGAACAAAAATTTGTTCTGGAACAGCATTTATTATTTTTATAATACATATGCAGCTTCCAATAAATGACTTATCCTGGGAAAAATTTCAGCAGCTCAATTCATCCCACTTCTACAGATCCTTAATCTAGAACTATGGTAGCCTGGGGAACATTTAGAGTAGTAAGTTTGAAATATATTTATTCATATTCTCATTCACTCATTTGCTTATTCAACAAGTATAAATTTAGTGCTTACAAGAACATAGCACTGAGTGAAATAAAGTATTTGTACATTTTAGCCCCTGTGTAAAAAATAAAATAACTTAGGAAAAAATGCATGAATTAGATAGTCAATGTTTGTTAAGTTTATTGTTGTGCCAAACAAGATGCTACAGGAAATAAGCAATACAAGTATTGAGAGAAGGTAGACATTTGTAACTGGAATGATTAGCTACAGCTTTTGGTAGCAGGCAGAATTTGGGATAAAGGTTATCACAAAGAAGGGAAGGAAAGCCTGCGGTTGAATAAAATAAAAGGGACATCTGGATAATGCAGTTTTCTTTTAGGAGATATTGGTGTAAAGATATGGATATTTTAAAAGATTCATGAAATATTTCAAATCAGGCATTCTATAGGCAGTGGAGAGTCACTGAAGTTTTTTCAACAAAGAAATGAAAGGCCATCATTAATATTTTAGGTAGATTGATTTGACAGTGTGGTATACAGTATCATTTTGAAGATAAAAGCAACTAAGAAATTGCTGCTGTAGGGTCTTCCCTGTGGTTCAGTGATTAAGACTCTGCACTGCCAATGCAGGGGACGCAGGTTCAATCCCTGGTCCAGGAATTAGAATCTTGCATGCTGTGCAGTGCAGCCAAACAAACAAACAAAAAAATTGCTAGGGTAAAGACTGGAAATAATGTAAATGTCCATTAGTAGGAGGATGATTAAATAATTATGGTTCACCCATCAGTGGGTACTCTGCAGTCACAAAAATAATGAGATATTCCTTAACTGTTGCTATGGCACAATACCCAACATACGATGGGTGAAAAAGCAAGGTATAAATAAGAAGTATACAAACTTCTCACTATGATCCCTCAAGTATAAAAGGTTAATACTCGAAGTCTGAATAAGTAATATCAATATTTTAAAACATACACTACTGTGTTAATTCACTGGAGAACGAATGAGAGTCTGAACTTGGCCGGTAGCTGCATGAGCAAAGAGGAAAAGAAATACAAAGATCTGTCAAAGGAAGAAATAGCAGGTCTTTGTAACTTACTATCAGATACAGAGACAAAAGACAATGAAAAATCACATGTGTCTCTAAGACTAGAAGCCTAAGTGACCGAAAAGCTGATTAAGCGGGGGAAGGGTAAATAACGAGCTCACAGAATGTTCTCTGCTACTCACTCAGGTTCATCCATAGGCCTCCACTCCACATAGTGATAGGCTTTCTGCACATTTTTCAACCACTCCCTGAGTATTTCTGTTGTATTATCCACATTGTGGTCAGTGGCCGCCCTGCATGAGAGAAAGCACCACACAGTTCAGGTATTATGTCATCCAAAGACAAAGGAGGAAGCCAAAAGACTCCAGATAAACTGAAAGAACGGCCAGTTCTAGACACTGTGTACATGAAAATGACTCCCTCGTGTTCCAATCTAGACAATCAATTTCTGAAGCGAGAGATACGGCTTTCAACCATCTCTGTGTCATTAGATCCTTAAGCAGGACTTGGTCAACAGTAGAATCAATCTAAAAAACAGTATATGTGTAAAATGCATGGGTTAGTTAACTAATATTCTTGGAAAGTTTTCCCATTTGTTTTAATTGGAAATTAAATGGTTTTAATTTAATTATCCAGTTTTTAGGTATCTACCCTTTAACTTCATAACAGCAACTCTCAATTTAAGCAATAATTCAGTTGCATTTTCAAGTCCCAAAAAATTTTTAATCAATGTTGTTTTAATCACACACAGTAGAGGGGAAAGTCACAATAACCTTTTTTAGTATAAAATTCAAAGTCCAAGGTATCTTCACCTGTTTAGTTCAGATAACTCTACCATCACTTACACAAGATAGAATACCTTCTGAAGTTTACAAACAATATATGTAAAATCTGTTTCTGATCTATCTTGAAAGTTTAACAAACTGATTCACTTAAAAAGCAGTTTAAGTCATTTATAAAACAAAAATATTTTCAAACAGTCTCACAAAACAAACACATGGTATGAATAATATAATATATCAAAAACAAAGCTATTCAGAATACCCCAAAATGAACAGATATGCCAGTCAATTGGAAAAGAAAGAAGGAAAGCATGGGTTGCAATCTTTACATCAAATAAGGCAGAATTCAGGCCAAAATTATTGAACATGACAAGAAAAAAATTGTAATAATAATAATGCTAAATAATGTCGTTCACATCAACCATATAATAAATGTGCATATCCATGTACCTATATATAGTACAGAGGTTGGCAAACTTTTCTTTAAAAGCCAGACAGTGACTATTTTAGGCTTGGAGGCTATATACTCTCTGTTGTAACTACTTAACTCTGTCATTGTAGCAGTGAAGCTGTCATTCATAACACACGAATGAATGAGCATTATTGTGCTCCAGTAAAGATTTGTTTACGAAAATAGGGAACAGGTCTACAGGCTGTGGTTTGCCAACCCCTATATAGCAGAAAGTATAGAAAGGTAAAACAAGCACCAATAATAAGAGGTGTTAATATACTATTTTCAGTTAAAGAAAGTGCAAAGGGGAAAAAAGTAAATATGTAAAGAATCTATAGAACACAATAATAGAGGTTCTACTTCTTTCTCAAGTGCACATGAAACATTTACAAAAATTGACCAACAATTACATTATGAAGAAAGCTTTACAAAATTGGAATAATATTTATAGCATTCTCTGATCACTTCATAAAATCAAAAATTAGTAATAAAACCTCCAAAATTCCATTAAAACTTTCTATTAAACAACTATTAAGTGAAAGAAGAAATACAAATCAACTTTAGAACTTATGAAGATAAATAATAAAAACACTAGATATCAGAACTGAGGGATACAATTAAAGCAGTCGTCAGATAAAATTCAGTTTTTTATCCTTAAATCAATAAAAATTAATGACTTAAACTCCTACTCCAAAAGCTAGAGAAAGAGCAACAAAACAAACAAGCATAAAGATAAAAGTAGAAAATCATGAGGTTGAAAACAGAGAAAAAGCAGAACTAATAAACAAAAGAAATGTTACTTTTTTAAGTAAAAAAATCAACAAAAGACAATCACTAGTTAATATAACCCAGACAACACAAAAATTAAAAATAAGAAAAGACAAAGATGAAGAGAATATGACTGACATGAAAGAATTTTTTTAAAAAATCATATGCAGTTAATTCATATAACTCGATGAAAAATAAATTTGAAAATTAGATATAATAGAAGATGTCCTAGCAAGACACACGTTAGCAAAATTGATTCCAGTAGAAACATAAAACTTAAAGAGAACAGTTTTCTTGGAAGAAATAAAGGAAGAAACAAAAGAAAACACTAGACCCAGATGGTTTCATAGGGAAGTTCTACCAGATATCTTAAGAGTATGTGTGCGTGCGTGCGCACTCAGCCATGTCCAACTCTGTGACCCGTGGACTGCAGCTTGCCATGCTCCTCTGTCCATGGGAATCCTAGGCAAGAATATTGGAGTGGGTTGCCATTTCCTCCTGGGGGTTTTCCCAACTCAGGGATTGAACCCGAATCTCTTTTGTCTCCTGCATTGGCAGGCAGATTCTTTAGCACTAAGCCATCTAGAAAGCCTATCTTAACACTTAGCTACTTCTAAAGTTATGTGGCTTGTTCCAAGTCCTTTTAATAATGGAAGTGCAACAGTGATACCTAAACCTGATAAAGACACAACTACAGATCAGTTATCTTTCAATGAATATGCTACAAAAATCCTAAAGCATTAGTCAAAATTCAACACTATTTCTGATTTTTTAAAACCACACTGAATAAAATTAAAACAGGATGGAAGGGAGGAAGGAAGGAAGAAATGGAGGACAAATGGGAAAGGAAGAGTCATGGGAAAATAGAGGTATCTGAGACACTTAAGTGAGAGTAAAAATGTTTATACTTCATTGGCAATTCAGAAGTTCCTACTGGGAGGGAAAGCTATTGGCCTTATCAGCAGTGGTGGTTTCCTGGGAGCATGGCCTTGACAAGAGCAAATAAAGAGATGTAAACAGTGGTCACTTCTTCCATTTATAGCAATCCAGTACACAGGATTTTGTTAAACTCAATCTATAACGGTTTTTATTCTTCCTACTTGAGCTTTTGGGAGTCAGAGCTGCTCCAAAAGTAACAAGTGAAATCTTTAAGAGAGGATGAGAAATCTTTAAGAGAAATATTCAAGAGAAAAAAAAACACAACTGTTAAGCAGAGCATAGTGAAAGGCCGTATTACACAGGGAATAAATTTCTGTAAAACACCAAGTAACATGATGACATGTAACTTATGTCACAAGGTATAGAAAAATGAAGGACAGAGGGGTATGACTAATATTTGAAAATCTTATTTCATAAAATGGATATCTGAATGAAAACTATCGTTATTCAAAACATTATTCAAAAAATAGAGGATCAGGAGGTAATGCCAATGGCATTACTTTCAAGTCTTTTCTGGAAATTAGATAAGAACCAGCTCCTTTCTTCGAAACAAGATCGAGGAGGAAGAGACCCACAGACCCACAGGGACATTCTATTTTCTGGAGGGAAAAGAGGTGATGTGTGTAGCTGATAGTATTGGGGGACAAAGGCGGGGGAGTACAAGCAGGTGGGAAAATGGGCCAGGAAGCAACGTTCGGGGGGAGACACAGACCCTGTCCAGCTTGCAGCTGTGCCAAGAAGTACAGCGTATCAGCAAAAACCGCATCCACAGTCACACCCGGCCACAGCCACCAAAGCCCAGCACAACGTCCGCCATCATAGCCAAGAAGGGCACTAGGATTGTCAAACCACTCCATCTCACGGTAGATGGAGCATATGTAGAGCAAGTCCTGAAACTGAGAACCCGCTCTAATGCACATTCTTCTTCACTCAAAGTATTATGGGTAAGAGTAACTTAAAACAAAACCAACCCCCAAAATCTTGACTGCAGCGTGAGCCAAAAGTTTTAAGAATTCCATATTACTTCCAAATGCTTACAGTGTAGGCAACATCAGACAGCATCTACTTCTTTCCTTGACTGTTGTTTCTGCATTACATGGGACTGACATTCTCTTCGCCCTCCCTACTCGTTGATGCATTTCCTCCTAATTTTTTTAACAAAGGTTTCATCATATGAAATTTACTTTCCTGGTGTACAGACTAAACAACTCCAAACTCTGCCTGAGTATCCACTCCTGCCAAACATCCTGAGAAATTAGCTGCGTGGAGTCTGCAAAGATAGATGTGTCTAATTAAAAGTAGAGGCAGAGACTTTGAATACTCTCCTGATTAAGTTTTAAATATTTCCTATACGGTTACTTCCCCCAATTGTTTAGATTCTCTTTGTCCTCAGGCTTCCGAGGAAATGAGCAAGTCCTCCCACTGTGGTTGCAGGTCCATCCACACCCGTCTTTGATGCACACGGCCAGTCTCCTGCCTTGTCCCAGAGGAACGACAGAGGGGCCAGCTCCAGGCCACTGAGGGGGGCTTGCATTCCGCCCCCTTGAGACCTCCGCCCTGCTCCTCCACTCCCCTGGTGAAGGCAAATAAACAGAAATCCAGGCAGACACTTCTAACTGCTGCTTTTTAATCCCTCTGATGAAAATGTGTTTCCATTCAAATACATAATCATGAAAGCATGCACTGGTGTCTTCAGAGGGTTGGAGAGAGAGAGACAGAGCAAAGACCCAGATGCAAGCTCCCTGAGGAAACTTGAGGCCTGAGTTAAAGGTTCTATTTTCAGAGCCCTGTAGAAAATGTAATGGTGCAGTGCCTGACCCGTTCTACAGCCCCACCAGCTGCAGCACACACAAAACTCTGCAGCTAGACAGATTTATCCATCGAGGACACAGAGTGTGCAGGAGAAGCCGAGGTTTTCTCTCAAACCCACAGCTCGTTCCAGTCCCATGGAAGATGAGTCTGTCATCTACTCCCAATGAGAGCAAGAAAAGCACCCGGAGAGGTAATGGACATTGCTAGAAGATTCTTTGAAGAAAGCAAGGAATGATGTGACGATATACCTGGAGAGGTGACCTACAAAGTGATACACAGTGAGTAGTGATTTCGCCAATCAGACTGGAACACCACTGTTTATGAACACAAACAGGTACTGGCTGGAACACCAGGCTCCTGGGAAGCGAAGCCTGTTCAATCTTGGCCTCAATTCTCCCAACCAGAGTAGAGAGTCACATTAAATCATCTCTCCGGCTCCCAATGACATAGCAAGGAGAGCTGAGCTCTGGAGCTGTGCCAATCCTCATGTAATTAATTTTCTTTGAAGGCCTCATTGGGAGAGCGACCTGGAGTCCCAGGA